TATATTCTGCTGCCATAACATTGTACTTTTAAACTAGGTGTACAATGCAGTTGTCTGCTTGCAATATTGAGCGGAGCCAGCATATTCAATATCAATGATTTTTTTGCATTTTAAATAGAATGCCTATTTGCAGAGGTATCCAAAGTCAATCAAAAGTCAGGATTAAGTGAATGAATCGTCTACTTGCAGGAACCGTATTCTATGTTTCATCTGGTTCTCATAAATTAAATGTCTACTTGCAGTATCCAATGCCAATGATATATTTGGTTCGCATAAATGGAATGCCTATTTACAGATTCTAAAGTCAATAGTACGTATGGTTCACGTAGACGGATTGTTTACTTGTAGTATCCAAACCCAATGGTACATGTAAATGAATAGTCTACTTGCAGTATCCTCAATAAATCAATGGTCCATTTATTTTGTTCACATAAATAAAATGCCTAATTGCAGTATCCGAAGTCAATGGTAGGCTTAGGCCTACTTCTGCTTCACTTATATGGGATGTCTATGTGCAGTATTCAAAGTCAATGATACGTCGGGTTCAAGTCAACGAATTGTGTTATATTTGGTTCACATTAGTGGAATTCCTATTTGTAGACTGCAAATAGGAATTGAACATGTTCCAATCAGATAGATATTCAAAGTCTACATTAATTGCACGTCTTGCTCACATAAAATGCTGTAAGTTATTTACAGATTCCAAACGCAATATGGTGCATCAGCCTAATTCCGGCAACCCTTATTATTGGTTTAAGTCCTGTGGTCCGAATATTACCATTTCAGATTTATACCTTCCCATATGGTTGGTTACATGACTGTGCCAAATTTCCTGCAGATCGCTTAAGCCTGTCAGGTGGAGCCTGACCTGTATTTGTAAAACAAAGGCAGTGAGTGTAGTATAAGAGCTTCGCTTCACTCCGCTCAATAATTTCGATACTGCAAATGAATCATGGTAGGCCTAAGCAATACCTGTATTATTAAAAGGCAATAACGATTATTATTATATTATTATTACCCATTGTATGTAGAATTTGCTTTTCTTTATTTTTTTCAATGTCTTCTTTCTTCATTATTAAAAAAAGAATCATTTATTTGTACAGAAGACTTATTTGCATTGAACATTCATAAAACTCACCAATTCAATTACCTCAATAACTGTTTACCAGTATTATTGTTGTGAGGGATTGGGGTTAGCCTCACTTAGTATAGGCCTATAACTTAGGTCTAGTTTTATTTTAGCAGTTAAAAGTAAGAAATTGTCGTCAACCACTTTCAAAATTTCCCTATTGTGCAATAAAATTTATCAATACAACTATTTTATTGTCTAAGTTACACCATTTAGTCTTAAACCTTACCTGTAAACCACGTGGTTGTGATTTCATTTCGTAAAACGATTTTGTATTTTTAGCTACAAGAACATTTTTTACAAAGTTTCTTGCAAATCAAGGGCTGTGTGATTTTTGTTGGTATAATTATGTTGTAGTGTTTTTTTAATGACCTCGTTTTATCTTCTCCTTCTCCAAGCAACATAAACTTAGGCCTAATTAGTTGACTATTCATTGTTGTTAAAAAGAACAGAACCATTTTACAATTAAATATAAACGGCATGGAGTTTAATCACTCAATATAGAACTGATTGTTAATCATTTCGTATTACATACAATATACTATAATATGCTCTTTAGTATTATCCAATTTTTTCTTTTGTACTGTATTTATCATGTGGTAGATTTGTTGACTAATGTTGAGGCTCTTGTTTACTTTTTAGTGTTTACTCGCAAATAATGACATGGCGACCAATTAACCCAAAAGGCCCATGTTAAATTTCCAAAAGTTTGCATTCATGTAGGGAAAAGTCCTATGGTCCGATTTGTACCGTTTCAGATTTATACCTTCCCATGGTTGGTTACTATGACTGTGTTAAATTTCATGCAGATCGCTTCAGCCGTTCAGGAGGAGTATTTGTAATAAAAAAGCAGGAGTGTAGTATAAGAGCTTCGCTCGCTTCGCTCGCTTCGCTCGCTCCGCTCAATTAATCAATTTGTTAAAATGCGTTGTAGAATGTTTTATACTTAAACCCAACGAAGGCCCAACGATTCTTTCCTTTGTAGGGCCAACGAATACAAGTTTCCGTTGGGCCAACGTTGGCAAATCGTAAATATTTCTGCCAACCATTTCCCAACGTTGTGTGCTACTTGGGGGACGTATACTTCAGTATCCAATAGGCATTGGTTATTGAAGCAAGGACACTGGCACTACACGAAATCTTTGCACGACGAAATTTACCATAACTCCCAGGTCGTACTTATCGTAATATTATTGATAATTAAACGTTTATGGAAATGCCCGTTCTTGGAGACTAATCGTTTTAGTATTTAAGGAACCGGTTAGAGAATTTAGACACCCCACTTAACTCGGTTGGGAATGGGAGTGCCTTGATGGATAACCTCTCAAATTTTGTCAATGATACTCCTAAAGCAAAGACATGCACCAGGCAAATTTCAATCATTAAAGCACTCAACCAAAATCAGGACTCTAACATGTCAATTGTCAAGTCTTGTTCGAGTTCGATACGTGGTCGCCATTTCAATTAAAAGTATTAAAGTTTTAAAAGTATCACCATTGACTATATATACCTACATATTACCCACAAACATCCCTTCAATGACATACTTTGCAACTGCCAAGTTATCATTAGTTTTTAACGCAGAACACGTTCCCGGACAACATCCTGTCCCCGGAGGCACTTTCCCATGGTGGCTAAAATAAAAGAGGGCTTCAAGTCTTGGATATAAAGTTGATAGATATAGTGCAATCAAAAGTAAATAGTTCATTTATTCATACATGATAACATATCTAATACACATATATATGTATAGAGTCAACGCGCTTGATATTATTATCCCCAATACTGTTTTTTGTAGCATTTACTGATACTCTTTTGGCGGGTAGCAGACGGAAATGATGTTACGTGTCGGTTGCTTGGTTGCTTCTGCCCTGCTTGTTTACATAACAACATGGAAATTGGAAAACGTGGGATAACCTCAAACGGCATTGACCCGGTTAATTCGGGTAACAAAAACGATAAAACAAAGAAATTAGTCGGGTAAATATAGGATATGACCTTAAAAAAATTGCAAGAAAACGTTTTATGGTTTTATTTTGTAGAGTTGGGTTTGCAGAATGACATACTAAAAGTTGCCAAAAATCGGTGCACGAGAAAACCACTAAAATCACAATTTAAAATGGCGGCTTTTTTCAACATTGGACAAATTAAAAAAACATATTTCACATGCATTTGCTATGCACATTTTTCGAGATATTGACTTGGGACCACCGCCTGTATTTATTGAGTGGTTAGTACTTCATTTTGATAGGGAACATGTTTTTGGCCGCCATCTTGGATCCGCCATATTGGACATAGATAATTTTTTTTCAATGTAATGATAGTGTTGTGACACATCATTACCAACTACATTTTTACACTGATTTCAATGCCGAAATCCGTTTTTAAATATCTTTATTCATTTAGAAGATATATACAAAAGAAAACTCTGCACCATACATTTCTTATGGACGTTTCGTAGTTTGATATTTTTTTAAAATTATTTTTCTTATATCTCCAGTTCTTATTAACGCTTGTAGTTCGTTCTAGGCTTAAAATATTCAGTAATGTAAGGGCTTTCATTTGAGCTCTTGATCATTAAAATCAGACGAGTTAAAGACCTGCTACAAACCTCAGAACAATATTAAATTTAACTTTTTAGAAATATATTTTTATTAAAAGATTTATAACTCGGGTTGTTAATACGTCACCAAGTTCTTTCTGGTCTCAAATTGCTCAGTAAATGTTTGGCTTTAATTTTATTGATCATTAAACAAAATCTGACAATTTTAAAATGAGCCATGGACCATAATTTAACATTTGAATGTATTTATATTGAAATTTGTCTTTAGTTAAAGACGTATATTCCTAATTCTAAATAACTCCCAAAACTCTTTATAGTCTTAAATAATTCGCCAAAATATTGACTTTTATTTTAGCTATGGATTACTTTCCAGGAGTTATTAGGGTTTGGGATATATGTCCTTAACTAAAGACAAATTTCAAAATAAATACATTTTAATGTTAAATTATGGTCCATGGCTCATTTTAAAATTGTCAGATTTTGTTTAGTGATTAATAAAATCAAAGCTAAACATTCACTGAGTAATTTGAGACAAGAAAGAACTTGGTGACGTATTAACAACCCGAGTTATAAATATTTTAATAAAAATATATTTCTAAAAAGTTAAATTTAATATTGTTCTGAGGTTTGTAGCAGGTCTTTAACTCGTCTGATTTTAATGATCAAGAGCTCAAATGAAAGCCCTTACATTACTGAATATTTTAAGCCTAGAACGAACTACAAGCGTTAATAAGAACTGGAGATATAAGAAAAATAATTTAAAAAAAATATCAAACTACGAAACGTCCATAAGAAATGTATGGTGCAGAGTTTTCTTTTGTATATATCTTCTAAATGAATAAAGATATTTAAAAACGGATTTCGGCATTGAAATCAGTGTAAAAATGTAGTTGGTAATGATGTGTCACAACACTATCATTACATTGAAAAAAAATTATCTATGTCCAATATGGCGGATCCAAGATGGCGGCCAAAAACATGTTCCCTATCAAAATGAAGTACTAACCACTCAATAAATACAGGTGGTGGTCCCAAGTCAATATCTCGAAAAATGTGCATAGCAAATGCATGTGAAATATGTTTTTTTAATTTGTCCAATGTTGAAAAAAGCCGCCATTTTAAATTGTGATTTTAGTGGTTTTCTCGTGCACCGATTTTTGGCAACTTTTAGTATGTCATTCTGCAAACCCAACTCTACAAAATAAAACCATAAAACGTTTTCTTGCAATTTTTTTAACGGTCCCTATGTAAGTTTGTTTAGTTTGCCTGGACTAAATTCAAACGCACGCATATTACTTATCAATTGTTTGTTTGATGTATGAACACATCAAGCTGTTTTTCAATGTCTATACGCAGAGAAGTGAAGAAAATTGGCCAAAGGGTTGTTCTTCAAAGAAATATTATAATGAAGCTCCACAACAAACCAGTTGGAAGAAACCCAGGTTATAAGGTAACATTTAACTAAGTTATGTCAATGAGATGATAAGATTGCTGTGTACTTGAGTATTACTTATAAAAATTTAATTAAAACCCCGTTTTTTTTTTAAATATGCAAACATAGTTTGCAATAGGCCTACAGTAAATTTAATATGTCCAGTAGGTCTGCTGTACTTTTGAAGAAATTTATTCAACACAATGTGTGTTACATAATGTGGAGTTAATAAATAACTAAAACACTCAAGATGAAATAATTGATTTTCGTCCTACCTCATTATTAGCCTACGGTACCTATATTGGTGTTGTGGTGATATTGTTTACCCTTACTTACATGTTGAAAACTTATTAGGCCTACTAAGTTAAATAGTAATGCAAGTACAAATCAATAGAGCTAAGGTTGGTTTCCACTAGGCCTATGACTTTCTAATAATTCACTTTACACAGTCAAAGAAAGAGTTTAGCCTACCAATAGTTATCAGCTATGAATATGTCTGGTGGTATTTGGGATTTTGGGAAGAGTCACTCAATAACCACCATTTAGTTACACTATCTGTAAATAATAAACACTAATATTGCCTAATTTAAGCCTACGTTATTTATCATACATTATTAATTTACAGAGCAGGCCTGGCTAGTATAAAAGTAAATATAGGTGTATCAGATTAGTATAGACAAATTATTGAGTCTGCAGGAGCATTTAGCCTTTAGAGGGTTTAACCATCAGTACAACTAAAAACTAACATGAACAAGGGCACACTATAATAAACAGTTTTTATCAATGGAAACAAAACAGTTCAAACATTCATTTGGTATGAATACTAACTTAAATACTTGATTCCTTCATCTTTGACCAACAAAAGCTGGATAGTTAGCATAAAAAAACCTATAACTTAAAAACACCATAAACATAAAAGTTAGCCTATATACAATTTAAGCTGAACTGATGGATGTGACTTGGATTTTTTTTGGAAAGGCGAGGGGCTCGTCAATCAGTTCTTTGGTCAAGTACATTGGCTTACTGACTAGGCTCTGGTGAAGTGCAAATTTGAATTGTTTTGGTTCTAGGGTCTCGATGCTTGTCGGTAGCGTGTAGAATAATTTTATCGCTAGCGATGGGTATAAATTCAGCGTGTGGCTAAGTCGACAGCGGGGTGCATCCAGGTCATAAGCTCTGCGGGTCCCATAGTTGTGCTGTATATTTCTGGTTAAAAAGCCGTAAGTTTATGTTTTCTCTCAGAAGGACTAGGGTGTTCAATGTACAGTGAATGTTAACTGTTTAAATGCCAAGTTCTTTGAAAATAGTCCGACAGTGGTCGGTAGGGCCGAAGGATGTTATCAGTCTTGGTGCCTTCTTCTGCAGCAACAGCACACTCTGGGTCGTGTGGCTATATAATTTATACATGAAGAAATTAGACATCACCACATAGGGTTGGATTCAACAATGTATTCTATAACTTGTTAGGCTATTACACAGTATCTTGATGTAGGTATTTATTAGCCTACCTACTGTAGCTAAGAGAAGAGAGGTATTATTTTATTTGTTCTAATTGAGTCGTGGCTGGATATTTTCTAAATCATTCACAAGTTTATGCATAGAGTATGGAAGAATTGCATTTTTAAAAACTGAAATTGTTCGACCACTACAAAAACTCAACAATATTAGATTAAAGAGAAAGAAAAAGCATATATAGGTGAAAAGGGTGTGTGGGAATCATAAAGTAATTAACTTAGTTAAGACAGAGAAGTTTTCTTATTTCTGGCCAATCACGACAAGTTAAAATCGGGCCAGTTAAAAGGATGTCAATTTCTTTACAAACATAACTAGGTAGTTAAAAAGAAGAATAACAGTTCAAGTACGAGGCAGCCTTAGGTTACCATCATTCTATCAATATCAAACACCCCCGCCGCAGCAAAGCTGCCGACTAAACGAATTTCCATTTGTCTGAATTGATTTTCAACTAAACCTATTTAAATAACATGAGGTTTAATGAGTACCTAGGTTTGCTGCTACAAGGAAACTAATACAGTGTATTTTTTTAGTAAAATATTAATAGCTTAGTATAAAATAAATAAATCTGCCAAGTTTGATAAAAATATATCCATAAAGCAAACTACAAAACTTTACAATAATTCTCCATAAGAATACCATAGGAATTTTAAATTTACAAATTTTAGATTTTTATCTTTTACCAATAACCGTACAAAAACACTTTGATATACTAAATTATTTGTTTTTTTAAGCTCTTTAAAAAGGTCTAAGTAGAGAAAAATGCTTTGTTTTGAGGGTTAAAATGAGAAAAACCAATTTTATACTCCATAAACCCCTGCGTAAAACCCCTTTACCATGGTCCGATCATGCTGGTTCATGAACTCATTCAAGTTTATACTGCCTTACACCTTTAGACCAACTTTCATCAAAATCGGACAAAAATTACCTAAGTTATCGCGTTTACGGACGTATATATACAGGGTGACAAAAAAACGGGTGTGGAAACGGCTTAATATCTTTTTAACTAAATCCGTTACAAAATTCAAACCATTCACATTAAATTATATGTATGAAAACTACTTTTTGCAAGCATTACCATTTTTTACCTTCACTAGGGGACGGTACATGTGGAGTAGGTGGCCTACATAATCTTTTATGTAAGCATATGTTGATATGCACATCATTTTAAAGGGCTGATCAAATGGAGTTCATTGCTGGAAACCGCGTCTCAAAAGGTTCATCTGAACTTCAAACAAACAAACAAACAAACACACAAACTTTCACATTTATAATATTAAAAAGAAGATTTTATTTTGCAAGTTTTTCTTTTTGTGACACAGATAAGTTCTATGAAGGGCAGGGCATAGCCTAATAATATTGGTTCACATAAAACAATAGATTAACAGAATGTAACTTGTTTGATTTTGGTTTTTGTTTGGCTTTTAGACGTCGTTACGTAACAAAAGTCTGGTTTAATTGTCATTGTACTATCTTTTAGTAGCTCGTATGAAATAAAAAAAGAAGAAAGGGGCACTGTAGGCCTAGCAATAGGGGATAATAGGGGTAACTCCAACAACCATTGCAGTTTTTTTTTCAAATTAAATTACAGGACACATTAAAAAATTCTTATCACAAAGTAACAAATTGTAGGCAATTTAATTTGTATGTTTTGTTTAATTATCTAAGATTGTTGTGTCAAATTAAGATACTGCATCAACCATAAATCTAATTTTTAAAAGGAAGTAGTTATTACGTTGCTATCAGAAATAGTTTATCTTCTAAATTGAGATTCTTTGCTTTATCACTGATTGGAAACATAAGTTTGTCCAATCTTGGTTGAGAAAGATTTCAATACTTGACAGCCCACTCTTTGATTTAGTTTGATTGGCTTGTGTTAGTAGCTATCCTTGAACCACTTTTTGTTGACTGCAAAAGTGACGTGATTCAAGTTAAAGGAACATAGTTTTATTATATTGCGAGCTTTTCTGAGTAAATATACTTAAGTTTTTTGGAGTTTTAATACTTGGAACACAATGTCATCTGGAATTCAGGTATGCAAGTTACAACTCTTATAGTAAAATAATGTCATGCTATGTTACATAATGATATACCATGCTAACTCGTAGTGTAATAACTGATATTTACCAAAACATTGGCATTTTTAAATTTAAGAGACCGGTCAAATCGCTGATCGTTTTACTTACTATCTATTCCAACCCAGCCTTTTGTTACATAACTTCATTAATTGACTGCCAAATCCCAAATGACAAAATGAGATTTGGGTCGAGACCAACTCAAACTTTTAGTAGTAACTTGCTCTTATGTAAATTAGTATAACACTTTTATAAACCTGTCTTGTTGTTATAATTCAAATATAATTGTGGCCTACAATTCAAGGAAATTCAATCACTACTATACCCCTGGATAAATAATTCATTCCCTCTATCTTTGTAAACCTTACTTAATTTAGAAATTACTAGAAATGAATCTAAGAGATCTTTCTATATATCAATATGTTAGAAGTATTAACTGGAAGTGTTTCTCTATACAATAAGGTTAAGTAACAAACACTGTAGTCTACCAACACTTTTCAAATACGTTACATGATTGTAAAACCCTAATACAGGTACTGCACACACTTTCATATGTGTTGACTTTTCTAAAATGTTGGTAACAAAATGTCACACTACAACCAGGGGTTCTGCAAGGCCAGTTTTAAAGTAAGGGTCTTTTTTGATTATCAGCAGTTCGCTTGTATGCCACAAAGAGGCTCCTTGCCACTTACTGGCATCATTTGTAAACAGAATGACACATTTTGCAGCTAGCTGACACGTACGCTTTGTTGTGTGTTTAAACAAAATTGTAAACCATCCAATCTCCCACTGTGCGTGAGATAAGGTCAGTGATACGTTTTTTGATTACGAGAATCATAACCGACAAACCGATGCAGCTATTTATCGCCAGATGACTGAAGGCTATAGCCCTAGTGAGGGTAAAGTGCGGAAATGGGTTACAAAGTGTAAAAATGGCCGTGAAATCCTTTTCCCTTTGTGGTCATCTGTGAGAAGTCTACCCACCAAAAACACAACTCGTTCCAAGATGAACATTTTCATAGCCATTTTAACTCCCAAGTCTATTTCTGCACTTTCCTCGCTATCATTGCATCAGGGTCATACACTTCTGTCATGTGTGGGTGAATGCCAGCATCGGATATGCTTCTTGTGATAAATATTTATCATTATCACTGACCTTATCTCGCAAGCGGCCTGAGATTGGGTGGTTTAAACTATTTTAAAAACACACAGCGAAGCGTACATCATGTCAGCTGCAGAGATTCAAATAGTGTCATTCTGTTCACAAATGATGTCAGTAAGTGGCAAGGAGCCTCATTGCGGCATACAAGCGAACTACCAATTCATATGTAAAACTGGTCCTTACTTAAAAAACCGCCCTCAGTTTTAAAAATCTTGTATTTTAATAACAAGGAAGTAATAGTTAAGGAATAGTTATCAAATTACGGTTGGATGTCATTTTAACAAAATGTTTACTCCAAATTTTTGTTTCAGGAGGCTGTAGAAGCTTTGAATTCGTTACAAACAAATGCTCAACTTTTACAAAAATTACGAGCCAACAAGGCACTTGGACAGGAAAATAATGTTATCAGAACAAAAAAATATCTTGAAAGGTAACTAGTAAACAAATTTTCACAGTAATCATGCGTAATTTTTTTAATGCATGTCTATTTTCAAATATATTATTACTAGCTGTAACCTGCGGGCTTTGCCCCGTTTAACTTCTTAATTTTCAAGATTATCTCGTTCGCATGGCTCAATCACGTCCTGATTGAAGTTTGTTCGCTACGCTCACTCACCTTTAGGTTGGAGCTCGTTCGCTGCGCTCACTTGCCTTCAGGTTAGCTCGTTCGCTACGCTAACTCGCCTCCAGGTTGAAGTTCGTTTGCTACGCTCACTCACCTTTTGGTTGCAAATTAGCTGTTGTCATAAATGTAAAAGAAATAATAGTGCTGCACCCTGTTGGTAATCCTTCTAACTTTAATGCTATTGAACATCATAGAACAGAACCAACTTGTTTAATTGAAACAGCTGTTAAGATTCAATAATTCCATTTCTCATAAGGTTAACATGGGAAACTCCAGAGCCACTGGGGCGGAGCCCGAAAGGATTTTTGAAATAAGAATATGCCTATATGTTAATCGGGAATGTGAGCTATCATCATGCCAAATTTCAGCCCAATCCGACCAGTATTTTTCGCGTTCACTTGTCACAAACATACATCCATACATCCATACATCCATACATCCACACATCCAAACTTTCTCATTTATAATATTAGTAGGATCAACAACTCCCCTTTTGGAATACCTGAAAGAATTCATGGACATAAATTTGTGCATATCATATTTATAGATATACCTTTATACAATTTTAACAATTTATTCATTCCACTGTTGACTCTTAAATTAAAAAAAAATCACCTCAGTACTAACTGAACCAATATAATTTATTATGGCGATCTAAGTGCAACCTTGTCCTAACATTATGAATTTGTTTTAACAAACACACTAAAAGTGACCAAAAGATTGCTTGGCCTGTATTTTATTCCTAAAATATGCATGGTTTTTTATGTACTAAAACGTAACAATAATCGGATAAAACTTTTGTTAAAAGAATAACATTATTGTAACCGATCATGTCTGACTAGACTGATCAGGTGTAATATGGAACGTTAATCTCACACTTTTACTTTCAGTTCAACTGGCAAGTAATCATTATTCATAACATAACATAGTCAAGTAGTGTACACGTATTCTCAGTTACCAACCACTCTAAGGATTGCTGAACTTGAGTGAAAACTGCAACCGCAAGGATTTGATACTCCTGTAACAACATAGATGAAATTCCAAAACCGCAGCTATCGAGTTTGAAACTTGTTTAGGGCAGTTAGTTATTAAGTGTACTGGATCGTCAATTGTCTAAGTATTGATTGCAAACAGTAGTAGTTAGATTACAATAAACAATATTTTAAGCTCCGGAAACACTTAAAACTAAATATCTACCGCTAATTACCTTTTTCTCAGATCAGGGGTAAGTTTGGACAGGCTGGACCGTGAGCTGTCCGTGATCCATGTATCTGGCACCAAGGGGAAGGGATCCACCTGTGTTATGTGTGAAGCCATCCTCCGTCAGATGGGCTACAAGACAGGCTTCTTCTCCTCTCCGCACTTGGTGGCCGTCCGCGAGCGCATCCGCATCAACCAGGCACCGCTGTCTGAGACGGAGTTCACCAAACACTTCTGGACAGTGTATAACAAGCTTGCTGCCGCTAAGGTACGGTGAAACTGAAGTGGTGTGTTGTGAGATTAGATTCATACGATGCCAATACACCAGGATAACTTATGTATAATAAGGTGAAAATGAATCAAGATTTATTGCAAATTTGTTACTAATTACAGCTAAACCCCTTTAAACTAAACTCCATTTGACTGAAACTGGAAAAAATTAATCTATTAGTCTAAAAAAAAATTGTAGACAATCGGAATGGTTGGCCGTGGCGTAGATAGTTGGCTCAGCTTTGACTGAGTCATTCTCAGAAAAAATATATTTAGTGTATACAGTTGTAGATTTTAAGATCTCAGTAATTAAAATAACGTTAAAAATTGATGTTTGTCCTTTGAATTAAAATAGCAAAATAAATAGATTATCTAAAACGGTCTGGCTGCCTTTATTATTTTTGGCTCAGGTTTTATGTACAAACTATAATCATTACTAAAATGTTTGTATTTTAAATTTTTTCTCAAGCTATCATGGGTCTATCATCCCCTTCCCCTGGAGCCACCACTACTTTGGAAAATGAAATCAGTCAACAATAATTTGTGACATATAAATTATTGTTGACTTGTTTGGTTTATATTAAAAATAATTGTCACTAGAGGTCAATTCAAGATGGAGGCTAAAAATGCCTCTACAGTACAAGCTCCCAACACTCTAAAACTCATTTGTTTCCAATGATTGTGTGCTTTTTGTGCTCACAACATATCAGAGCTTGCAATGGATGGGGATAAATTTATGTTTAACTATTATATAGAAGCTAAAATTGCATGTGAAAAAGACTAATCTACAGATTTTCAAAATTATTCTGTAAATACTTAAATAAACAATTACAAAGTTTCAGTTCATCCAGGGCATAGTTTGAATGGGTCCGCGGAATTGGCTAACTCTGGAACTCGCTAACCCCATGTTAAACGCCCTATCTTCAAATTTGGTCGATGAGAGGAACTCGCTAACTTGTTCGGTTTCGGAATTGGCTAACTCCGGAACCCGCTAACCCGCTCTAGAGCCGGGTTAGCGAATTCCGTCCTCGTACGGAAGTCGCTAACTCGGTCCCTCGGCGGAACTCGCTAACTCCCAATCAGAAGCCTCGCGGGCCGTCCAATGGGAGCCAGGCACGAATATTTTTGGCCAGTGTTGCCAAAAGTGTAGTACCTATATCGTATCGGTACCATAATGTCGTATCCTACGATTAATTAGGAGTAAGAGCAACGTAGTCGATAAAATAAATATATTTAGAAGTATGTTTAACATTATTCTTATGATTATTAGGGTGGAAAATGCATTATAGTCTTACCATAGACTAACCAACACAAGTAAACTTTACATCCCATTGTAAACTTTGAAGCTCGTTTTTCGTGTCTAGTTCATGTCCGGTGACACTGATCGCTAGTGTCGACAAAATTGTGTTTATTTTATTTTATAGTCAACTTCATGATTTGTTCTTTGCTGTTTGGTTATATAACTTGGGGACGTGTTATTAGTTATGATTAGAACGTTTTATTTGGTTAAACGAGGTTTTAAATTACTGAAAACAAGAAACAATTGTAAACAAAACACGTCCTCTAAAGACAGTGCACCGGACAGAACTAACAATAATACTGTCTTCAGCTGATCCATAAGGATGAGAAATGTACTAATATAAGGGAGTATGTTTTATATGTGGGTTTCTTACTTAAATAGTAGCTTATTGGTATGCAAAAAGATAAAAAAAACGTTTTAAAAAGGAACATTTAATTTGGATCTATTACATGTTATGAAATATCTATTTTCGTAGTCCGCCATTTGTTTCTTTTATTCGAATCCATTTTGTGAACTTCTGCAAATAAAATTATTGAGTTCGTATTTTATATACTGGGCTTGTAACCTTGAATCATAAATCATAATAAAATTTACACGCTAAACGTCATAACAGAATTACATTGTAGTGGTGATGTATTTTTAAATAGAGCTATTGAATTTAAATAAAATTTATCAATACATTATAAAGTGGTAGGCCTAATATATTCATGGATTGCATTAAAAATTAGTCTATGCATAAATACAACTTGTAAATTTCTTTTATCGTAGGCTATTAGTGTAGAACCCGGGTCATCCTCTTAATTTTGCTGAATTAGGCTAATATTAATTTTACGTCTTTCAGTAGGCCTACTTTTTAAAAGTCTGGAGTTTGTCTCCAGGCTGGTTCTAAATGGACCCAGGCGTTCTTGTTTGTTACAATTCTTATGAATGGTGGCCATAGCTAAAATTACTTGATCTTATCCAAAAACAAAGCTATTGTCTATTGAGTAGCTCAGTACCGGGGAACGGTGAACCGAGTAATGGCTTGGTATAGTTTATATCGATTGTGAAAGCAATATAAAGGAAACCCAACACTCAAATCAGGAAAATCCGTCAATTCGTTTATTAAGAATCGTGAATTAAAATAACCCTGTCACGTTTCATTATATGAATATTATATCTTCTCCTATTTTTTACTAGTGGTGCTTTGGTGTACAATCTAAAAACGGTTTTAAAACATGTAACATTATTGCTAAAAAATTAAACACATTTTACAATTAGGCAACTATTTACTAGTAGGCCTACAATGCTTTGGTTCAAACTATTACTTAGGCTATATTAGTCTATGTCATCATATTTGTACACGTAAGTTGGACGGTTCAACGACGAACATTTAATTTTAAATCTATGAATTAGTTATGAAAGTTACGATGGTTGATGACTGTATTAATTAATGGTTTTGGTTTATTACGACATTACGATTAAATCTGTTTTCCGTGTTTGAGAACTTTCGTGTATTTTAGCTTAATTTCGTAGAGGTTTAATTATTTAGTACCAATTAAACTGAATTTTCAATATTTTTCATATTCTATTATTTTCTTTTATACTGATGGAATTTATATTTAAGATCGAAATCATAAGCATTTAACTGGCCATTGTACAGTTAAATAAAAAAAACACTTTTTCATGATTTTTTAATTGTCTTTGAATTACTTTGGTCTAGTTATCTGTTAAAAGTGGAATTGATAACAAAAAACAATAACATTTACTGTATCTTCATTGTCACTGACATTTTGAAATAGGTAATGCATTGTACGATTATTTTGTCGTACAAGGTTGGCAACGCTCCGTGCAGTGGGCGCGGCCGGGTTAGCGACTTCCAGAGTTAGCGAATTCCGCCGCGAGACAAAATCGAGTTAGCGGGTTCCGGAGTTAGCCAATTCCTGACTGAGACGGTTAGCCAGTTCCAGAGTTAGCCAGTTCCGACACACGACCGAGTTAGCGAGTTCCTGAGTTAGCCAATTCCTACGTCTCGTTTGAATCTTTGTGAATATTTTACAGTTTATTTCAATTCGATAAACACTTTAATAATGCCACGAGGTTCTTTTTTGTAAGACCATGTTTACGTGGTAACCAGCCGTGGGGGGGCCTCTTAATTCAAAACATGATAGGCTAACTAATTATTTTTGCAAATATTTTAGGATGATGAACATGATATGCCATCCTATTTCAAGTTCCTCACAGTAATGGCTTTTAACGTTTTTCTCACGGAGAAAGTCGATGTGGCTATCATCGAAGTTGGAATTGGCGGAGAATATGACTGTACCAATGTTTTCAAGTGAGTTTGATTTGTTAAAATTACAATTATTTTATTTTACTGCATTAATTACATAATCAGTTTGACACACAAAAGCAGTATGTATTAGTTTTATTGCAAATCTATAAAGCAAAGATAGAATAATTTAAGGTGTGTATTGTAAATTTGTCTAAAATTAAATAAGTTTAGGTAAATCTATATAATTAATACGCTACATGAAACTTTGTCGGTTGAACTCCTCCGCCATTTCTAAACCGTTTTTATCCATTGATGTCTCTTTGAAAAGAGCGTGTCACGTAGATTTGCAAACTGGCCTTACATTTTTGATAAAGGCCCTTGGGCTCTGCCCCAGTGGCTTTGAAAGTTCCCATGTTATCCTTATGAAGAACATAATTGTTTACATTTTGATCAGCTGTATAATTTAATTGCTGTTATTTATTTTTCAATTCAATGAAATGTGTTGAGCACGTTCATTTTAAAACAATGCTATTTGAGTTTGTGTAAACATAACCCTCAAGACAAGTGTTAGTATGGTTGTATCTTAAATTTGTGTATTTATCGTTGTTTTGTGTCGCTATGACGGATCGTGTTAGCATGATTATAACTTAAATTTGTGCATTTATTGTTGTTTTGTGTAGCTATGATTTGTTTATTTGTTGTTTTTTCTTTTAAATGCCTCCGAAGCGACGACAACGAAACATAGACAGGAGGCGTAATCGTGATAACGACCGCAGCTACAGAACAGTGGCGCGTGTAATAGGCTTAACTCATTACAGTCAGCACCTGACCCTGGACAATCTCAACTATTAGGTTACAAATGCGCTCTAACACTACCCCAAAACGACTTTTCGTTCTCAATTGGCCCTCTATCAATGACCTGTGTTGCCTGTACAGCGAGGCATTTTGAGAAGGAGAAAACCGGCCGGAATGCTTTAGGGTTATCAATAACAAGGATAAACATGGTCTGAGTTGCACACCGGTAATCTTTGAGTTGACTCTGTTAAACTCATTGTAAATATGACTGTTATTAGTTTTGAATACTTTGCAAACTCACTCCTGTAATACTTTGCAATTGCTCGAATTCGAGCAACATGTACACTTACTAGTTATTATTATTTTTACTCAAATATAATGGACACATTAGATTCAGTTGCATAAAATCCAGATAGACGTACCATGAACTGAAGCTGTATGGTGCGGTAGGTAGTCTGTGGTTAATGAGGTGCACACCTTTTTCTGGTCGAAAGTAAAGTTGGATTTTTCACCTAAGTATTGCTGACTAGGTAGCTTTTCCAGATTAAATAATCAGCCTTTTACTGTCTATTCTATGGTGCATATTACATTAATGTAACTCTGCTATGCAAACATGTCCATAGTGTTTATACAGTACCTGTTGTAATGAGGTTAGTTTTTTGGAACAAAACCCACTGGCTTAGAAATAGGCCTACATTCAAACAACTTAATACTTTACTTTGAAATGGCTGCAATACGAATGTAGGTATTTTAAGCCAAGTATGAATGGAGAAGAGTGTAGGATACCTAAGAAAAGAGTTCCAAGTAGTTAAAAGTAGACAAAAAGTTCACAACACAATAAACTTGATATTTCACCCCTACAAGGGACTTCTTCATCCATTCCTTCTTCCTTTATTGTATTTAAGTTGTAGTGGTACTATTGCTAGAATAGGGTAATCTGGCAGTTAGCCTGCCAGGAGTGAACTGAGAAATTATTCAATTTAGAGCAACACAGAGCCATCAGACCTAATTTATTGCAAGATTACTCTATAAAGACTATAGTGATGTTAAATACTGTGGTTACATTAATCACTAGGAGACCAGCAGTGGTGGGGATATCTTCACTTGGACTAGACCATACTAGCCTTCTGGGCTCTACCATAGAAGATATTGCTTGGCAGAAAGGAGGAATCATGAAGCCGGGCACTCTGGCATTCACCAGTCCGCAGCCCCCTTCCGCTGCAACCGTGCTGCACCAGCGAGCTGTCGAGAGGAAGGTCTGTAAATCCTCAAGCATTTCATGTAATGTGGCTGTAATTTCACAAACTGCTTTGGTAACAAAAGGTTCAATGTGTTAAAATGTGTTTTTATAGGCATACTACTTCATTTCTTAAGGAATCCACCTAACATGAATTTCAGGACAAGTAAGGATGTAACATAGAGCACAAAGGCTTAAGTTTTGAGGATTTTCACTTATCTGGCTTACCTGGATGGGAAAGGGCCCACTTACTCAAGAAGCAGTAAACACACACAAACAGAATTTTTCACTGTCACTGAAATTTAAAACACAGAATGTTTGCGTTGGAAAGAGATACTCAAATTAACTTTCTTTTTTAATAGGTACAGTAGACTCTTGCTTATCCAGATCAACCTTGTCCGGAATCCCGCTAGTCTGGATCGGCAATCATGATTTTTTTTTAGTGGCACAGTACAGTAGAAGTCTGATTATCTGAGCTAAACTGGACCGAAACTACCTCGGATGATAAAAAAATCGGATAACACGGCGGTAAAAATTATTACCGGTGGAACTGCATTTGCCCGGCTATCAATACTGTGTACCTGGAACAAAATTGAAAAAAAAACTGCTATATAGGCCTACAGTACTGTATTTGCTCGACTCTCGATGGTTCGGATATTTTCGTAATCCGGACCGGACGTCCGCCACATTAGTCCGGATGAGCAAGAGTCTACACTGATGCTCGAGACCCTTACCACTAGCTCTATTCACCAACCCTGTGATTCGAGCAAAAGTTTTTAGCAAGAATTCCAGACAGCAAAAACTTATCTTTTCCTAAATACAAACTGTGTTGATGTGTCGATACAGTGTCCACTGTGGGAGGTGCCACCACTCAGCACCTATGACTGGCAAGGACAGGAGATGAGTGTGGGACTGAGAGGGCGAGTTCAACAGATCAATGCATCACTGGCTCTATAGCTATCATGTAACTGTGTTGATGTGTCTATACAGTGTCCACTGTGGGAGGTGCCACCACTCAGCACCGATGACTGGCAAGGACAGGAGATGAGTGTGGGACTGAGAGGGCGAGTTCAACAGATCAATGCATCACTGGCTCTATAGCTATCATGTAACTGTGTTGATGTGTCTATACAGTGTCCACTGTGGGAGGTGCCACCACTCAGCACCTATGACTGGCAAGGACAGGAGATGAGTGTGGGACTGAGAGGGCGAGTTCAACAGATCAATGCATCACTGGCTCTATAGCTATCATGTAACTGTGTTGATGTGTCTATACAGTGTCCACTGTGGGAGGTGCCACCACTCAGCACCTATGACTGGCAAGGACAGGAGATGAGTGTGGGACTGAGAGGGCGAGTTCAACAGATCAATGCATCACTGGCTCTATAGCTATCATGTAACTGTGTTGATGTGTCTATACAGTGTCCACTGTGGGAGGTGCCACCACTCAGCACCTATGACTGGCAAGGCCAGGAGATGAGTGTGGGACTGAGAGGGCGAGTTCAACAGATCAATGCATCACTGGCTCTATAGCTATCATGTAACTGTGTTGATGTGTCTATACAGTGTCCACTGTGGGAGGTGCCACCACTCAGCACCTATGACTGGCAAGGACAGGAGATGAGTGTGGGACTGAGAGGGCGAGTTCAACAGATCAATGCATCACTGGCTCTATAGCTATCATGTAACTGTGTTGATGTGTCTATACAGTGTCCACTGTGGGAGGTGCCACCACTCAGCACCTACGACTGGCAAGGACAGGAGATGAGTGTGGGACTGAGAGGGCGAGTTCAACAGATCAATGCATCACTGGCTCTATAGCTATCATGTAACTGTGTTGATGTGTCTATACAGTGTCCACTGTGGGAGGTGCCACCACTCAGCACCTATGACTGGCAAGGACAGGAGATGAGTGTGGGACTGAGAGGGCGAGTTCAACAGATCAATGCATCACTGGCTCTGCAGCTAGCTAATGCTTGGCAGAACAGAAACATGTTTGGTAAGCTTTAGTCGCTGTATATTGCATTTCAAAATGCTCATAAACATTAAGTTTGAACAAAGGTTTATTGCGGACATTTTCCATCACGAATGTAAAAAACAATACACAACGTTTCGGGATCTGGAATCTGATCCCGTCTTCAGGTGGAAAAAAAACTTAACTAACACATTACAACTAACAATACACAAACGCCAAACCTAAGTTGGAATACACTACCGAGGGTAGTAGTCAAAAAATATATGCACTGTATAGCAGTCAAGTCATGATACAACATGCAATTAATAACAAATCACTAAACACTATAATCTATAAAAGGTTTAACGTAAAAAACTCACACAATGGAACACTAATAGCACCGTACGCAATGACTCCACCAATGAGATTGAAACAACATGGCTGACCAATCGGAAACACGGAGACAACAGAAATGGCTTCCGGTCCCTGGAAAAGTAAAACCAACAAAATGGCGGAGCGATGTACGATGCCGCTAGTGCCCGGTAGTGCTCGGACGCTCGGTTGGTGGGATGCTCGGTAGTGTATTCCAACTTAGGTTGGGCGTTTGTGTATTGTTAGTTGTAATGTGTTAGTTAAGTTTTTTTCACCTGAAGACGGGATCAGATTCCAGATCCCGAAACGTTGTGTATTGTTTTTTACATTCGTGATGGAAAATGTCCGCAATAAACCTTTGAACAACATTAACTCACCATCACCAACAATGAACTTCAAACAAAGAATTAAGTTTGAAGTTATAAATAATTTAGTGCATCAGTTTATATATAAGTTTTTTAGGCAGAGGGAAGAGGAAGTCTTTTTTAGTTTTTTTTTTCTGTTTTGTAGCATAAGAATTTGTATTCAATGTTCTTAACCTGAAAAGTGAAAATACACTGATTAAATTTCTTATCCACTAAACCAAATGCAGCAGTGTTCCATTGCAAAAACTTAACCTTAAATCTCCTAATGTATACGCTGTAGGTCCTAATTTGAACAAATATCACAACATTTCAAAAGGCTCAAGATCTAAAATGTGTGCTCTTTTCTTGGTTTAATCATAGACTAACCAACACAAGTAGACTTCTCATCCCATTGTAAATTTTGAAGCACGTTTTTCGTGTCTAGTTCATGTACGTGACACTGGGCGCTAGTGTCGACAAAACTTTGTTTCTATTATTTTTTTAGGGTTAATTTCTTGATTTTTGCTTTACTGTTTGGTTATATAAATAACTAGGGGACATGTTATTGTTTATGATTTGATCGTATTATTTGCCTAAACGAGGTTTTAAATGGCTGTAATAACGGGAAACAAATTGTAAACAAAACACGACCTCTACATAAACCGTACAGAACTAACAATAAAATTGTCTTCAGCTATTCCATACGCAGAGGATACGCGTCCGGTAACCGGACGTGGATTAGGCGTCCGGCAGTTACTGTCATAACCTAACCTAACCAACCAAACTTGCTGATAGTGAAAAAAATCAAATGAAGGTTCAATTCTCTTCATAACATAAAATTATAAATGCCAAAAATTCTAACAAAAGATGTACAGTTAAGAAGAAATTACATTCAAAGCAAAATCTGTGACAAAAAGTTAAAGTTACCGATGGGTTTCGAACCGGGGACCTCTCGCATATCAGCCGAGCACTCTATCCACTATACCACGAACACTGATGGCTGAACATCGTATCATTGTGGTAATGGCGTTCCGGGACCTCCTACCGGACGCCTAATCCACGTCTGGTTACCGGACGCCTAATCCACGTCTGGTTACCGGACGCCTAATCCACGTCTGGTTACCGGACGCCTAATCCACGTCTGGTTACCGGACGCGTATCCTCTGTGTATTCCATAAGGATGAGAAATCTACTAAGGGAGTATGTTTTATCTATGGTTTAATATTTGGTGTTATTTTTTCTTCCCTGAGACAAAATCGTTGGTGAACGAATGAAAGTGTTTTGTCTATTTGGACATGGTTGTTACTTGTGTAGTGAGCTGACAGATCTATCAGCTGACAGATGTTTTAAATAGTTTTATTGAATTTTGGTTGCTAAGAGGAGAAAAATAAACAAAGAGAATGTCTCTTTTAGGCTTTTCCAACAAAAGTGGTTCATTTTTATTTGGTCTAAACAATTAATTGTTATTGTTAGTTACTTTTAAAAGTAGGTATGATAAATTAAACAATAATATTTAGTGGAAACCTCTAGACTCTTATTTAAGGTATTTCTCCTATTCAAACGAGGTTCTTTTCACTAAACTTGAATAATCTATATACTGTACTATTCTTATCTTTCTTTAATTTCTTTTTTGTACTTCTTAATTCCTGAAAATTCACTCTCTCATTTTAAGCGAATTGCTCATCAACTTAGTTATTTAATTTAATTAATCCTAATTGTGTGTCAGACAAAAGTAAAGCCGGCTATGTGGGTGTGGCCAAGGCATTCCCAGTCAGCCATCCAGTGGCAGAGGGGCTGAAACACTGTTCATGGCCGGGCCGATACCAGATACTGACGAGGAAGTCTATCCACGGCACTTGCACTTACTACCTGGATGGGGCTCACACCATGGAGAGTATAGAACTGTGTGCTCAGTGGTTTCATCAAGCAACCAATAATATTGTTTCTAGGCGAGTAAATACTTGTAATGTGTCTTGCAGTGTTAGCTGAACAGGACTCAAGGAAGCGAGCTGGTGTAGTGGTTAGAGCGCGGGACTTTGTTCCCGGGTTCAAATCCCGCCATTCACCAATGGATTTTATCTAAGTGATACTGCCGCAACCCCTAGGTCTAGCCTGAAGTAATGTGAAAAACAATCCCAGGCTCGTGCCTAGCGTCCTAGGAAAACAAAACTGAACAGGACTAACAAAATCGTCATATTGATTTCCCTCAACTTTCAGTTGCACAACAGTGCAGTAGTAATAGTTAAAGTGCATTAAAAGACCTAGTTTGTTACTTATCGTTATTCTAACCCAAATAAGGCTGTAAGAGTAATTAATAAGTTTGGGTATTCAATAATCTTTTTTTATAATGTCTATTACGGTACCGATAAGTGTGAATGCTCAATAAAGGAGTACTCAGCAAGACCTCGTTAGTTAATTTTAATTTTTCTTAGTTTATAGGTTAAATTTAGTATTATTTTTGGTTACTAGGCACTCAGCAGTCGCATTATCGTTTAGAGAGTTGACTCTATAACATGCGTTACGTTCCAGTATTTTAACTATGTTTGGTTTTCAGGGGTGAGTGCCGCCACACCCTCATCTACAATGTAACGGGTGACAGAGATGCCTCGGAGCTGTTGTCTCCTCTTGTCTCTTGTCACTTTGACAGTGCCTTGTTCTGTCCCAATGTTCTCTCCTGTGATACCAAGGCTGCAGGTAACAGTTAAACATTAACATTACCTATCATTTATAACTGGGACGGGTGGCGTCGTCCTGTAATCCAGCTACTAGGAGGTTACAAATTGTGGATATTTTTAGGCATGCACTGTGGATGCGATTCTCCCTGGTGTGGATTAACGTCCGCACGATTGAGTACTACGACTATCCGCAGAACTATCCTGAAAATTAGACCAATTTGTATATTTTGCCTTTTCAAGGCAAAAATGTGGTCCGGATTCCACTATAAACTGTAGGTCCCTTACTTGCCATTAGCTGTATGGGCAATTAATTAACAGGTGTGTCTAAGGAATTAGTCGGCCTTAGTCACTAACAAGACTACAAGATCGCACCACTCATCCTACACTCATCTCCATTCACACTTGGCTTAAAATACCTACTTTGTATGGTCACCATTTCATTGAAAAGTATTCAAGTATTTTGAATATTTAAAGATTACAACACTGAGAGTGAGCAATATAATTTAGAAGTACTGTAGACTATACTAAATTCAATATATAATGTTAATTTGTGACTTTTAGTTGCAAACTGAGAAGATGTCTGGATGACTTTGAGATATAAATTTGAACTCATTATTGCTGCTTTTTTCTAGTATAAACTGATTGTCTACCCACCTAAAGCACAGTTTAGCTGCTTCCCAGTGTTTATTAATCAAATATAACTTTGATGTATTGGTTTGGTTTTCAGATTTGACCAATCACATGGTTACGTCAAGACAGCAGCTGGACCGATGTGAGGAGAACAAGAAAACTTGGCTGGGTCTTGAGAGACAAACCAATGTCTTTGCTAATGAGGTAAGAAAACATGTTAGAGGAGTTTATGCCACTACAAACTTTAATTGGTTTTCTGTTTTCCAACCTGCAGAATTTTGACAAAATATATGAAAAAATAAAGTTAAATGTACATGTTTAAGTCTTTTATTATTAGGTTTATACTTTATTGTCTCAAACTAGTTCTTGTTATGGCTAAAAAATGAGTACGACTATCCGCAGTACCTACTATCCTGATAATTAGACCAATTCGTATATACCAATGGCAAAAATGTGGTTCGGATTCCACTATAAACTGTAGGTCCTTTAGTTGCCATTAGCTGTATGGGCTATTAATTAAATGAAATGAAATGAAATGAAAAATCCTTTATTTTTTCAGGCAAAGTTAGGGCCACATGGCCCTTTCTTACACTTAACCTGACATTAAAAATATAACATAAATAATGTGACATAGGGATGACTTAATCTAACTAAACATAAAATATTTAACAATTCAAGTACCTACATATCTAAAAAAAAACATAAAAATTTAACAAATAGAAAAACACATTCACACACTCTCGCATACACGCATCAGCAAACGCGCTAGGTAACAGTAGCCCTAGGACACGCCAGCCGAGACCATCTTCTCAAAATAGAGCTTTTTCAGTGCCGCCACAAACTGGGAACGTTTTTCAAGGGCCTTAATGTGTAGGGGGGTAGGCCGTTCCACAGACGACAAGCGGTAACAACAAAAGCCCTGCCATAAGCTGTGGTCACATGATGAGGTATACGCAATGTGATCGAAGAATAACGAGACATTCGTGAACTACCCTGAGACACAAATTTAAAATCGGATTTGAAATATTTTGGGGAGCCTGTTTTCAAAATTGAAAACACCAATGACAAAATTTTAACATTAATTAACAGCTGTGTCTAAGGAATATTTCGGCCTTAGTCACTAACAAGGCTACAAGATCCCGCCACTCATCTCCATTCATACTTGGCTTAAAATACCTACTTTGTATGGTCGCCATTTCATTGAAAAGTATAAGTATAAGTAAGTATAAACAAGCTTGCACTGTGTTCTTGGAGTTTCCTGAAGACCTTAAATGTAAATGCATAATTTAAATAAAGTAATGATCGGGAATATAGCATAGTTTCACTTGTTCTACACTTTAGTGAAGAAGGTGCTGGCTCTATTTTGCCTTTTTTACTTATTTTTTAAGAGAGTGGGAGTTTTTCTGAGTCTAGTGTAGTAGTCTAGTCTAGAGTAGAAAACAAGATGTAAGAACCGGGAGTAACCTAACCTCTAGGGGCTAACCTTGCTGTCTCTACACACCACAAGCCTCACCACGTTCCCATTAACCGACCCTGAGATACTTTTTAGACTTTTCAATTTAAAACAGTGTGTTTTATCCATTCAATAATATTTTAGAATAATCTGTTCACATTAATTTAGTTATTGTAGTTCTATTGTTCGAATTGTATTTAAAAGCAAGCTATTGTAATTTTGTAACCAAGAAGCCTATACTTTGTTATCGTTATCATCAAAATTAGTAATTTAAGAATTTGTTAAGTGAGCAGTTATTATTATTTGATACCCTAAAAGGCAACACGACATTGTGTTGCACTTACGCTTTATATTTGCTGCTAGCAGTTAGGCAAAAGGTATCGTATTTTATTTTATCTCACCCGAGAAGGTGTCATAAGTACTCCCATTTTTTTGTTCTGTCCCACCTTTTTTTATCTTATGATGCTAGTTTTAGCCCTGAACTGTTTTACACATTACTTCAGGTTAGGCCTAGAAGGTTGCGGCATTATCACATCATAGATCCATTGGTGATTGGCAGGTATAAACCCGGGACCTCGGGCACCGAAGCCCCACACTCTACCACTAGACTAGCTCGCTCCCCACTCCCATGAAAGTAAGCTATGCTTGTACCATAAACACCTTCTTCCCGGCCTTGTAGCGTAATATACTGTTACTTCTCAAGTTTCAATAATGTTAAAGGTAAAGACTTTTGGATCAGTGGCAGCCACACTGAAGCACATCGAGAGTCAGCCGGGAGACCATCAAGTGTTGGTGACGGGCTCACTGCACCTCATAGGAACGGTTCTGAGTGCTCTAGACCCAGACTTGAACAGCTTCTCTGCACAACCCATCAGATAACGGGTCTATCTCAACATAGGAACAAGCATGTTTGCTTATCAAAACTTTGGTGAGGAATTATCTTTTCCTACCACTGCATGGAAATGATCACATTGCCACAGCTGTAAACAGTACGCAAAATAGCCCATTTACGCTCTAGAGCGGGAATGGATAATTCCTGCTCGCTAAATCAGCTGAATTTTACAGTTAGTGTTTCTACACCAACCACAGCCGTGGGTCTGGTGACCGGTACATAACAACCGGTAAGCAAATAAGATAACCTAGTGACATTTTATATACAGCTAAAAAGGTAATCTGCATGTTTTGATAAGTTAATTTGGTGGTAGGAAAAATCTTGTGTGTATTACGAGCACAAATAGTCATTGCCACTCTCGAAATGTATGGCCGCACTCAGCTAAGGCTTCAAGCGGCCATAATGTACTTTGTGCTCTTAATACACAAACAGCTATTTCGTTCAGTTACCTAACAAAGCGGATATTTTTGCACTGTCACAAAAAAAAAAATGGTTTCTATACACGTTCACTTTTGCCACATACCAGATTTTCAACCTAAAAATAAAATTGTAAGCCTTTCATAGCCAGGTGAGTTTGTGTATGCGTGAAAAAAAGTCGATAAACAAATACCCACAAATTGTAAATGCTGAAAAAGGGTCGCCAGAATTGTACACTTCCTCAAAAATAGTAGGCTGAATCAGTCCAAAATAGTTTGTTAGGCCTAGCCAATGAATCCAAACATGAATATTAGAACAAGTATCAACTGTTGCTCGTGGGTGCACAAAGTTAAAAAACACTCTTAAAAATGTATATTAGGTATTTTTTTATGGTAAACTGTAGTAAAATTTTGTTTTGTGTAATCCATGCTTGCCCCTTGCTACACTCAGGAAATTATTCCATGTGATTAAGGCAAGTAAATGTTTCTCTTGATTAGATAAGTGTCACTTTGCTCACCAGTGTTAGACAAGTTACTATTTAGGTTGTTGTTGTCTTGTACCACTCTGTCTTTGAATGTTTTGCTCTTTACCGATCCTATAAGATAGTTCATTTTACACTTTACTTTGGGAGTGATTGTAATCATTATGTTCATTTGAGGTCCATCACCACCATATGTTGTTTTCTAACATACGTTACAGGAGGAATATTGTGCCAGAGATTAATTAATTAATGTATCAACAGCAACGTGTATTGTTAGTTGCTATCCGGATGATATGATAGGATCTGTATTTGCTGCCACTTTGTTAAGTATTTGTAGAAAAATTGTGTTTTGTGTTCAAATGTAAATGTACCTTATTTTGTCTAGGGGTACACATTAAGCCATATATGTGTAAATCTTTATACCGGTGTAATGTAATTACCAAAATCATGTTATATTTAATTTTAGCTAGCATTTATCGAGATGAATGTATTTTAGTTACTTTTTGGAGAAAGTCATACTTTTTAACCTGCTTATCTGAGAAAATGGTGTATATGAAAAAAATTGCTCATGATGACTGATTTTTTGTCTTAATGAACATGAACATTATCGGAAAGTGGATTCATGCACAAGTGTTCTGTTGTGCATAGGTCTGCGGTTTGCACATGCCGTGCTATGGGCCCGGGAGATTGTTGCACCCCCTTTTTTGTGGGGGAATTTTTTCTTCCTGGTGCCCCTAACAAACCTAAAACCCCTCTCAGGTGCCTGGGCTGATTTAGTAAAGCAGGCAGGTTTGTATAGCTAAAAGTCCTGGACTTAACTGTCACAGGCAAGCTTTCTTAACTCTACTTTCCTCAATAACCTCCTTGAAACTACTAAAAAATCTGTCTTCAGAAATATTGTCTATGTAGTTTATGTTTGTGTACTATTGCTGTTTCTCATTAAGGACCAATGGTATCCATACCAATAAAAAACATTATTTTGGCTGTGAATTTATTATATGTTTATAAAATATTATTTTGTGATTAACCTTTTGGCGCCTCATGCAATACTTAATCTGTCCAAACAAAAATTTTGTAGTTTTTTAAATAAAAATTTGTTAAGTGTTAAATATTCTTTTATTTTCCTGTTGTTAACATCTGCTTGTTGAAAATGTGAACTGTTTCCTAGCCTGCTATGATGTGCTAGCCTTTTATGAACCCATTTCCGTTAATATTGACAATCTACCATTGTTAAATTCAGATCCAGGTTGTGTACTTGGCTGATTAAAGTCCCTAGATTAGAACCAACTTTTATTTTCAACTATTTGTGAACTTATATTTTCCATGGGTAAGAATATTGGATAGTGGTTTTGACATGTGAGTGTATCTTTTTGACATTTTACCTAACCCGCCATGTTAAACTTCCCTATCCCAAGCGTGATGTATACAACTTCCTTACTTCTCGAGTGATGTAAAGTTGAAAAAAACTCACTCGGTGATGTAATGAAACCCATTTAAATAACATTGAGTGCTTAACTTAAAAAATATACCTCTATGGAGGCATCGACGTTCAACGCTAGAAATCAGCTGTGCGCTTGAATGTTATTGTTATGCTTTAAAGCATTTTCTTAACCTAGCTTTTGTTTATAAAAGAACGTTACTGTTAGGCGATGAGTGAAATGGATAATGAAAAATATTGTAAGTAAACCCATGTATATTGTCGGGTCAGGTAAAATCTTGTACGTTACACGTTACGCAAGAGCGTGTTTACATCTCTTAGGTGAATTATGCAACTCGCTTCCGCTCGTTGCACAACATTCACCTGCGTGATGTAAAAACGCTCTTACTACACTTGTAATGTAAATAGCTATTAAATGATTTATTTTAAAGAGGTTTCAATTTCAATACATTTTATTGCTTCACTTTTCAGCATTGAATGTTTCATTTTTTGCCTTGGTTTTTATTTTATTCAAAAAGTTGTCCTTTGTCAACTGATTTTAGGTAGTTTTTCCCTACAATATTTACTGCTTGCCTCAAATTATTTTGATCCATTTCACCATCCAAACCAAATAACTAGAAGGGAGAGGAGAAAAAAGCTAGCAATTAAAAGCAATAACAAAGATTTAATGCCATGAAGCAATCTTAAGTTATTAGTAACCCATAAACTTAGCTTAACTGAACCTTAAAAAATAATTTTATTGCTCCCTGTGAAACAAGCACTTACTGGTCAAAAAGTCACAAGTAACAGTAAAACTAGGGATGGTCAAGTCTCGAAATTTCGGGAAATTTTCAATCTCGTTACACGAGACGAGATTACTTTTTGGCCGAGATTTTTATCGAGACGAGAATAAAAAAAAAAAAAATAAAAAAAAAAAATTCAAAACGCCTGCAGAAAGTCAATGCAATACCCGCAATACAGGAGCGTGTTGTAGTTGCGTTTCCTTTTCGAAGGCGTTCTTATTTAATTAATTCTTTTAATGTAAATATTACTTTAATTCTTTTAATGTAAATATTACTTTCATTATTTTAATAATATTACTTTAATAACATTTGAGAAGTTTTGTTAAGTGTAAGCAGTGTGAGGAATGTTTTATTACTATAAAAAAAGTCAAAACAAGTAACTATTTTATAAAAATTAATATTGCTTTTATTTTATGATTTATTTTATTTTAGGATAAGTTGAACTCTATCCTAACTGATATCACCATGTTTCCTAATCGTAGGAATTTTTAATAAGTTAGGCGTGATTAATAAAAAAATGTTATGCTGATGTTATTTAATGAAAGATTGTAAATATTCTTGCCTATTCTCATTATTTTAGTATTTAAACAGTCATCTAACAATGTTACAAAATCAGGTAAAAATTTTGAACGTGCATTTCCCGTTGTGTATGAGAAGAGAAATCTCGTCTCGATCTCGTCTCGAAATTTTATGAGTAATAAAAAATCTCGTCTCGTCTCGTCTCGAACTAAAAATCCAATCTCGTCCATCCCTAAGTAAAACATTACAATTTTAAAACTTAAAAACAAGTGAAAAAGCTCCTTGTGTGATGATAAAATCTATCGATGATTTCTTAATCTAATAAGTGACAAGTAAAAAATATAACCATTGCGTGAAATAGCGATAATAAATTACTAAATGAATGATTGTTCTCTAGCGTTAGTAAAACAACAATTACTTTGGCTTTCCTCAATTTTGTGTAACATTTATACACTAGGATTCAATAAATAAACATATAAACCTCTAGAAAACAAATAGAAACCATTTCACATTTTGATGTCATAGATATTTTGTTATAATTCTCTGAACAAATATATACTACGCTTAATATAACCTACACATGTATGATATAAATAATACTCTGAAAATTCAATATATATATAGTCAAAAAGGCAGAAGCGAAGCTTAGTTCTGGAAGAGAGTTCGAGTGAACTCGATGTAGTCGAGTGCTCCTGTGATTGGTCTCTCTGTCTTGGGGTCGACGAAGGGCTTCATCCTTGCGACACAGTAGTCCGCCATCTCCTTGGTGAGGTTCTGAATGGTAAACACACAATTGTCAGTACAGGTACATATTACAGTAAATTATGTTGGTAAAACAATGACTCGGGAATTTGATGAGTTTAACCTTAATTTTAACAATGCACTAAAAATAGAGAATCCTTAAGTAGAGTATAGTTTTTTTTAGGTGAAGTAAACATTTTCCTGTATTAAAATACCTAATACCAGGGTCAAAAGAGAAATTTTTGTAAAGATTTTAAGTTGTGGGTTCAATACTGACTCGAGACACTTTTTTAACACTAGAGGTTAGTGAATGTTGTTTACCGCATAGAGTTCCTCCTTGGTGACGTAAGGTCGGTCGCCAGCTGTGATGGCGCGGAAGGCGTTCTCAATCTCCTCGGAGCTCTGCACATTCTCCGTCTCCTTGCTGATCATGAAGGCCATGTACTCCTGCAGTGACACGTAGCCGTCTCGGTTGGGGTCAACAACATCTGAAAATGAAATTAAAATTACAATAATGGGCGTGACAGTTTTATGTACATATTCCACTTCCAAAGGAAAAGCTATTACTTTTAATTGTGGAATAAAAAAATCTTACAATATTGGGTTTCCCAATTTTTGCAGTTACATATATCTTCTATATTTTATATTCTACTTGCAAATTGATTGAAACACTCACAAAATTCATTCAAAGATACTCCAAATTGTACAAATAGAATATAGTTGAATGAAAACTCTAAGCTCTGAGCTTTGTGGCAGAGTTCTTTTACAATGACACCAAGAAACCTCCATGAGTCACGTGCTTTTCTTTATGCCCCACTGTTTACACCATACCTAATTTTCAGATAATCTTTCTAAATCCTATTCTTTCGCCCAGAAAACTGCTAGGATTAATTCTTTTTTACAAACATCTATTAACTGCAAACTGAACGTGAACAATTTACCAAGGATAGCCTCGAACTCGGGGTCGGGTTGTCCCTCCTCCACCATGGGCAGGTCGTAGCCGAGCGCGCGCAGGCAGGACTTGAACTCGTGGTGGTTGAGTCGGCCGCTCTTGTCCTTGTCAAAGTGTTTGAACATCATGGAGAACTCCTTGAGAGCGTCCTCACTGACTCCTGATTGGTTGCGGGCTTGTATCTGCTGTTCCAGGTTATGTTGCATCCTCATGCCCAGCTGATCCAACTGTCATCAAACACTACGGTTAGTCATATACTCTTATTGTTCTTTTAATGAAATATAGTATTAAAATACAAGCCTGTAGTCCAAATGCAAACTTATACTTTCTTATTAAATGGCGACCATACAAAGTAGGTATTTTAAGCCAAGTATGAATGGAGATGAGTGTAGGATGAGTGGCGCGATCTTGTACATGGTGTCTACTAAACCTGGTTTGAAAAATTCAAGGAGTTTTCCAGGAGAATTCAAGACAAATTCCTGCATTTTAAGGAGCTACTATCGGAACCCGTTCTAATCGCAACCCGCTAATAAATGAAAATGATTATTATTAGGCTATTATTATTATTAATAGGCCTAATGATTATTATTATTTGAAACAAAACATTTCCAAAGAATAATATTTTATACAACATAATAAAATAGTATAACTGGTAGGTAAGGCGACACCAGTTATCATCTCCCGTGATTGTGGGAATATCAGTGAGCATATCTTGCAGTATCTTCAACACCAGCGACAAAACGTCACACCGTTAATGATCACGGCAACACCCGTATGCATATTTTGCGGTTTGGACGACACCGATAACCGTCTCTCGCGATTGCGGCAATACCCGTAAGCATATCTTGCGGTTTCGGCAGCACCGATAATCGTCTACCGCGATCGCGGCAATAGCCGTGAGGAAATCTCGCGGGTTCGGCGACACCGATAATCGTCTCCCGTGATCGCGGCAACACCCGTGGGCATATCTCGTGGTTTCGAAAACACCGATAATCGTCTCTCACGATCGCGGCAATGCCCGTGGTGAGCATATCTTGCGGTTTTGGCAACACCGATAATCGTTTCCCGCAATCGCGGCAACGCCCGTAGGCATCTCACGTGGTTTCGGCGACACCGATAATCGTCTCTCGCGATCGCGGCAATACCCGTGAGCATATCTTGCGGTTTCGGAGACACCGATAATCGTCTTCCGCGATCGCGGCAACTCCCGTAGGCATATTTTGCACTTTCGGCGACACCGATAATCGTCTCTCGCGATCGCGGCAATACTCGTGAGCATATCTTGCGGTTTTAGCAACACCGATAATCATTTCCCGCGATCGCGGCAACGCCCGTAGGTATCTCACATGGTTTCGGCGACACCGATAATCGTCTCTCGCGATCGCGGCAATACCCGTGAGCATATCTTGCGGTTTCGGCAACACCGATAATCGTCTCCCGCTATCGCGGCAATACCCGTGAGCATATCTTGCGGTTTTAGCAACACCGATAATCGTTTCCCGCGATCGCGGCAACACCCGTAGGCATCTCACGTGGTTTCGGCGACACCGATAATCGTCTCTCGCTATCGCGGCAATACTCGTGATCATATCTTGCGGTTTTAGCAACACCAATAATCGTTTCCCGCGATCACGGCAACGCCCGTAGGCATCTCACGTGGTTTCGGCGACACCGATAATCGTCTCTCGCGATCGCGGCAATACCCGTGAGCATATCTTGCGGTTTCGGCAACACCGATAATCGTCTCCCGCGATTGCGGCTATACCCGTGAGCATATCTTGCGGTTTTAGCAACACCGATAATCGTTTCCCGCGATCGCGGCAACACCCGTAGGCATATCTCGTGGTTTCAGCGACACCGATAATCGTCACTCGCGATCGCGGCAATACCCGTGAGCATATCTTGCGGTTTCGGCAACACCGATAATCGTCTCCCGCTATCGTGGCAATACCCGTGAGCATATCTTGCGGTTTTAGCAACACCGATAATCGTTTCCCGCGATCGCGGCAACACCCGTAGGCATCTCACGTGGTTTCGGCGACACCGATAATCGTCTCTCGCTATCGCGGCAATACTCGTGATCATATCTTGCGGTTTTAGCAACACCAATAATCGTTTCCCGCGATCACGGCAACGCCCGTAGGCATCTCACGTGGTTTCGGCGACACCGATAATCGTCTCTCGCGATCGCGGCAATACCCGTGAGCATATCTTGCGGTTTCGGCAACACCGATAATCGTCTCCCGCGATTGCGGCTATACCCGTGAGCATATCTTGCGGTTTTAGCAACACCGATAATCGTTTCCCGCGATCGCGGCAACACCCGTAGGCATATCTCGTGGTTTCAGCGACACCGATAATCGTCACTCGCGATCGCGGCAATACCCGTGAGCATATCTTGCGGTTTCGGCAACACCGATAATCGTCTCCCGCTATCGTGGCAATACCCGTGAGCATATCTTGCGGTTTCGGCAACACCGATAATCGTCTCCCGCTATCGCGGCAATACCCGTGAGCATATCTTGCGGTTTCGGCAACACCGATAATCGTATCCCGCTATCGCGGCTATACCCGTGAGCATATCTTGCGGTTTTAGCAACACCGATAATCGTTTCCCGCGATCGCGGCAACACCCGTAGGCATATCTCGTGGTTTCAGCGACACCGATAATCGTCACTCGCGATCTCGGCAATACCCGTGAGCATATCTTGCGGTTTCGGCCACACCGATAATCGTTTCCCGCGATCGTGGCAACAAAAGCGGTAGTGTTTCGGTTAGGCGACGATTCCGATGACTGGGCTCCGGATTCCCGGAGGTTTGGGTGGATTCCTGGAGTTTTCCAGGACATTTCAAGGTAAGATAAAATTCCCGGAGGTTTCCCGGTTTTCCCGAATTTCCCGGAGAGTAGACACCATGTTGTAGTCTTGTTAGTGACTAAGGCCGACATTCCTTAGAAACAGCTGTTAGTTAATAGCCCATACAGCTAATGGCAACTAAGGGACCTACAGTTTGTAGCGGAATCCGAACCACATTTTTGCCTTGGTATATACGAATTGGTCTAATTATCAGGATAGCACTGAGGATAGTCGTAGTACTCACTAGTGCGGACGTTAACCCACACCAGGGAGTATCGCATCCACAGTGCATGCCTATAAATATCCACAATTTGAGACCTAGTAGCTGGATTACACGACGACGCCACCCGTCCCAGTCTTCAAAATTCAGGAGAAGTACATTAGAATAGAACAATCATAAGGATGGACCAATTATGAGTACACTACAGTTTGTCTTGTTCTTGTGCAATAGTTTTGAGGTCAGTTATTCATCACAAGACAAAATTGGCAGTATAGGGCTCTAGTCTTACGTTCAGAATAATTACTTTCTGTAGCCAAGTACATCTTGTTACATTTTCAAAGAATCTAAGATTTTAACATCATTTTCATTTTTAAATGTTTTACTCTGGTACAAAAGAAATTAGCCTTACAATAAGAACAATACAAGTTGCTAACTGACCTGGTCCCATTGCTGTGCCAGTCCGACCGTGCTGTGTTCCGTATACCTGTTGTCCAAGATCAAGTGTTCCTCGAGGATCGCTCCCAGGTCTTCAATCTTCTTCAAGTCTGTCTTACGAGACCTCACTTCAGCAGCTTTCCTCTACGATAGAAAAATTATGTTAATCAATAAGATGTAATTTTCAAGATCAATTATTTCACTGTTAATAACTTCTTCATCAGCATTGTATATGTTATTTAATTACCTGAAAGCACAAAAAAATATGCTAAATAACAACTGTAAATATATTATTACCACTCACCTTTGTGGCTTCCAGTTGTTGTTCTAACGACCCCGAGCCCTCCATCATTGATGTTCTGGAAAAACATAAACATTATTAAAACAAAACCTCAATGATTTTAAAACTTTTGCAACAACAACAAATGGCAGCCCATTTCATAAAAACAACGTAACAAAATAACTCTATACATAAGTAATATACTATTTGTAAATGCTACGAAAAAATGTTTTAGTTATATAGTATAAAGCTGTTTAATAAACATTAACAATAGAGAGTTGGAAGTCAGGTAAAGAAACATACAACTATTCCAAAAGATTACAAATTGAAAGAGTAAAATTTTCAGACAATGAAAGAAACCTTCGACTAAGACTTGGACTTGAAGTGCAATTTATCCTTAGCTTTTTTAACAGCACATTAAGTAATTGAAAAATTGTATATTTACCTTATATGGTACATAATGAATTAGTGGGTCTAACGATTAACCAACAATCAATGACAATAATTAAAATAATACCTGTGCAAAGCATGGGTAAGTAGCTTAATCCATTATTTTTGTTAGGTAAATTAAAATTAAATCTATCGCTCATAACAGGACAGAACAGGACGATACCACATTCATGTTAAAAATTAGTTAGTCATTCTACAATAATTTTATTACTAATTGTCAAAACAAATTTTAAACAATAGTTTGACAGAACAAAATATATTTGTAGCATTAGATTATCTAGTAAAAACTAGCCACGTTACAAAATTAAGGTCAAATAAGCCTTTTGTTATTCGGAGTTAGTAAAAGTAGATAGTGAAATAATCACCCATCCCATCCAAGGAGCTGGAACCTGATAAAACATAGATATGTCAGAAATTAAGTTGAATAAGACCTAAAAATACCAAAAGGGAAATTTTACAGTGGTTACTGCACTTGAATATAAGTATAACTTAACTGTTTGTTGGTATAATAGTCTTCCTTAGCGTAACTAAAGTAATATAAAAATGAAGTAAATTTTTTTCATTTTTAAGAGGAATATTAGCTTTTGCAGAACAGGATTTTGATTTTGAAAAGATAATTAATGTCTAATACAGATAATAATCATACAAGGCTGAGTAGGATTAGATGTTGTGACGGGGTGGCAATAAAACATTAATTGGAGGATAAAATAAATATAAACCATATAGCAAATGGAATGATAATGAATAAACTATAAACGATATAGTACAAGAATCAACATGATCTTAATTTTCCAAAAGCTGTAAAAATGTATCTTATACAGTTGCATCGTAGAATACTTGTTCCAAGTGGACGTCTACTGCACATTCAGTAGGAGTAGGTTGCAGCCTGGTCTAAAAAAAAATTGTATTTGCTGTTCTTTTTGCTCCTAGTGACGCCGACCAAGGTTATAAATACGAACTAAATTCAGAATCTTTTTCTTAAACTACTTTGTGCCCATAGTGAATCACCACCTCGTGTTCATACTGCTTAAAACGACTTCTTTAAACTACCATAATCACCACCTCGTATTCATACTGCTTAAAACGACTTCTTTAAACTACCATATCTCTAAATTTTATAAACATTATGAAATTTTATACGTATCAACAATAAATTTGATAATTTATGTGATTTGGACCGAAACATATTATGTAAAATGAAAGTGACTGTGTGAATTGTGATTTTATTAAACTATGTCATTAAATAAAAAGAACTAACATTTTTATTTCAATATTCGAAAATATGAGAAACAGCAAAATGTTTCCAGTTTAAATGGTTTAAAATTACTCTTCCCAGCCTACATTCAGTGCTAAATGACATCATTTAGAGAACTAGCAAGTAGCAAGTACCTGGTCTCCGTCAGCCACTGGTGGAAGGCGTTGGCGTGTTTGGCAAACTCCTTCCTCAGCTTGTCGTTCTCCTCCTGTCTCTGAGCCTCCTTGGCCAACTCAATGTCTCTCTCCTGTAACAAAAATATTAATTTTAAAAAACACTTAGAAAAAAAGTTCTAAAAGTTTTGGTTCCATCATAACAAAGCCAGAAACTCTCAAGTCAGAGCTACTTCATCTGAGTTAAACGCAACTTGGTAAGGCTCATGAACCACAGTAAATTGTCACAGTTTCAGCCGTCGCAAGACCTCATTGATATTTTCCCGCTTGCACTTCCATGAATACCATGCCTACTCGCAACTGGTTATAAGTCCATTCCTTATGGGGATCTGTATGCAACCTGCCCTATGTATCGGAAATAAAGAACTTATTTCTGCTAAAACAAGGTTCTTGATGGTACTGCTGAACCTTACATGGAAAAACGTTTATTCTCTACTTTGTGTATACCACAACAAAAGGTCAAACAGTGAATCACTGATATTTCATTCTAGTACAAGACTTCTTCACAGAATATAATCTTGACAACATTTTCTCAGTTGAACTAGCCTGTTTATCTATACCTTAAAAAACTCTATTCATGCACATGGATTGTCCATGCAATAACAACAATATCTCAATGGCAAATCAAAGACAGAGGTTGTATGGCTAATAAACAGGTACACCTGACTCAAGACACATTCAAGAGGTTCTCATCTGTAATTCATGTCGGAAAACATACCTTGATGATCTTCTGCAGGTTTCTCCACGTGTCCTCGAGTGCCTCCATGGTGAACCAAGTGTAAGGGTTGGGTCCTACATTGAAGCTCTTGATCTGTCTATCCAAAGCAGCCAGGGCCTCAAAGTCAGCCTGGGCTGATGACAGCGAGGCCTGTCAACACATTGGCAAACTGTCACTAATACTGGCTAAAAAAATCATAAATAACCCTTTATCATAGGGGTATTTTTATTAAATGCACCTAGCTAAAGAAACAGCTGATCTTAGTCAGTAACAAAGCTACACATATCATCCGCTTCATTCATATTCAGCTTAAACATAAGGCTGTCTTTAAGTGGCCAATAATCTCGTTCAGTTTGGACAGTCATACACAAAAAAGCATATTTAAGGAAACTTCACCAGAAGAAGAAGAATGGGTATATTGTGACCAAATGTGAAGCCTCACCTGGAACTGTGCATGGGCGTCCCTCAGTGCACGGATCTCCTCAATGGAGTTGCACCTCACCGGGTCTGTCAAGTCTTCCTCCGCGTTCTCAAACCACGAGTTGAACGCAGATGCCTTCTTGGCAAACGTCAAATAGAGCTCTTCAATCTGGCGGAACTGGTCTTGCATCTGCAACAGCCGCTGTTTGCGAGCATCGGAGTCTCCCAGCAGCTTCTGCCATCTGCATTAACCAGTACATTGATAAGTGATATTTATAAAAATAATGGGTTGGCTGATGGCTTATCTTTAAGATTTTAGCACGATATGTTATCAGGTTAAATATCAAAATAAAATTGTTTTAAAAGCCAAAACTAATGCAGGAAATCTAAATGAATACTTAACCTAACAAGTGTATCCAAGAAGCATTTAAGTCTCTATCAATGATGCATGAAGGAAGGACTTCATAAAAGTATTCTGGTGTATTAGAGTATAGTCAGCCAATGGAAAAATATCCCTATAACATTTCTGGATCGTTCTGACTCACCTGGCAATGACATCAGCATGACGCTTGAGAATGGCCGGAGTCTGTTCATGCTTGGCCTCTACCAGTTGGTCCTTGAGTGCTGTGATGTTCTGGATACCCTCGTGCTCAAACGCATGGAGACCTGCAATGTAACATTGTATTTAGGACAAATTTATAACTTACAAAAAATATTTCTGTTCAACGTCTAGTTTCATGTTTTCTTTGAATAGGGATATTTCATTCTAAGAAAGATTAATAAAAAGTATAGTTTATATCAGGAAAGTGTCTAACAAGAAGATATCAATGAACGTTCAGGAAATGACAAGGAAAGTCAAACATTCCTGATAGTAAAGTCAAGGTTTAAGAATTGAGGTGAAATGTGAGTTTAAGTTATAAGCTAGAGTTTTCTTCAGTGTTGCCAAGTGTGGTCACCAAATAAAAAAGGTAATTTTCTGTATTTACACAAAAACTTAAAATCTTTGAAAAATCTAACTGAGGAGAATGGTTGCGGTTACAATAATAAATTGAGGTTAGGAGTTTTAGAGTTTGTAATACACTGGCAGCCTAATTCCCTGTTTTCTAGATACTTTCTAATCATGTTTCCTAGGCACTGACCGGCATCAAAAGTCTCCTGTTTTGTAAGCAGGGTCTGCACAGTGGACAGGTCCCGGCCAAACTCCTCCGACCTGACGTGGGTCTCCTTGTCGGCGATCCACGACTCAACCACGTCCGCCTTCCACATGAACTGCAGATAGGCTGAGTTGTCCATCAGTCGAGCCTTGCGTCGCGCGGCCAGACTGCACAGGTTCTCCAACTTGGTCTGCAACCGAGCGTTAAAGTATAAATATTTACCTCAGAATTACTCAACAAAATCACTACCAGTTGTCACATGACCTGAGATGGACGAGAGAGTCACCTGGTTGGGAGTGTGTTAAGCACAAACAAGATAGAATGTAGAACCACAGCACACACACTGTAAAATCTATTCCAATCAATTGCAATTAGATGAATACTGGTTACATCATGCCTCTATGTTGTTGTATATGATCTCAAAATCTAAAGTAAACAAAGATAGGCCTAGTTTAAGTTCTTAAGTTCAACTATTATGCAGGTTATGCTGTTTGTTCTTACAAAAATTACTACAGTAGAAAACTCCAACTATTAAAAATAATAGGGACACAACCACATTCAGATTTAATAAAACATTCAGATGGTTTCATTTTTACCGAATTGCGGGAAATTTGATAGAAAATAGGCTGAGAAAAGCCTAGCATTCATCGCATCTGCAAAATATTAACGTTTTTGTTGCGATTCGGGAGGACGATGAAGAAGACTACAAGCGCAAAGGATGTTTAAGATTATGCTGCTATCTCGGAAAAGGATTATGTTACCGTGGCCCGTGAGAGACAATAATGATGGCTTAACGACAGCAGGTGAAGTTCAGGATTTTTCCCCGATCATGGCTTATACCTTCATTAATAATTAACAACGATTCTTATTACTGTAGATTTTTAAATTCTTTCTGTAAGCAATTTGGATGGATGGAGTTCTACTATAGGTGATAAACTGAGTTGTATTGTTAGTTACCCACAAACTCAAACCTTTCTCAATAAAAATCCTGAAACATTCAAATTATTGTGATTAATGGAAATCTTTTGTGTTTATTGAGCCAGTATGCACTCTTGCTCATTCAGATGATCCTGATTACATAATAAATTCATTCACCTGATGCTTTATAAAAACCTATTTGACATCATAAACCTCAAGTCAAACTGGGAAAAGTTAATTTGACACCTCTAGTACTTATTTCAACAGTATGTTGTTAGCTACACTACACAGGTTGTCAAGCTGGCATACCTGCAGCTGGTGGCAGCGCTGAGCTATGCTGTCAGAGTGGTGGTTGTTAGCCTCTGTCAGTTTGGCCCCGGCACTGCAGATATCCGCACATCTGTCCCGGTGGGCAGCAAAGTCTGTCTCAAACGCGTCGTGTTTCTTCAGCAGACCCTGCACTGCGGCCATCGTGTCTCCATAGTCTTCCACAGAGAGCAGCTGCTGCTTCTCACTATCATCATATCAATCACATGTACTCAATGCAAGTCATTGCTTAAAACACTCAGTGTGCTTTAACTTCATTTGTTGAACTCTTTGGTATACATAACTATAATAACTCATTCATCCTTTACTGTGCAAATTTCATCTGAGTTAATGGGGTAATAATTGTAAGTTTTGGATTTTTAACTTGATGCCATATAATGTACACAATGTTTAGGTACTACAATTTCTTAGTTGCAATAGTGAATAATTGTAATAATTCATGAACTCCAGTTAATAAAGTTTGAAGACATATTAAACCACTTTAGTTGGATTGACGTTTTCTAAATCCTAAGAGGTTTAAATTATGGAGGAAGTCGAAGAAAACACAAATTTTTGTCATATGTATGTTTGTTTTCTTCTCAGTTACCCACTTCTTGTGTATCCTTACAAGCTAAAGTTAAATTTTTGCAGGGTGAACTAAGAGAAATATCTTTGTCTTTGCATATGGATAAAACTAGACATTCTCTTACCATGATCAAGCTGTGGCCAGATTTAGAATAAAAAAGAAAAAAATGAATATGTTTATTTACTTAGGTAACAGTAACAAAATGTTTACAAAAATATATACAAGATCTCAAGCTCAAGCTGAATTATTCCAAACTAATTTAGCCACCAACATAGTGTGCTGAATTACTGGTTTATATCAAATATATAGATAGACTTTTCAACCAAACCAAACCAAACGGACCTTTTGTAAACTATCACATCTTTTACGTTGCAGTACCTAAATTAAACTAAGAGCGAAAATAGAATGTTAAGACTGTTGCAGTACACTTTGAGTAGCTCATTCAACTATGCCTGCAGCTGGTCCATATAGGTAACATTCTTAAGAATGTCAGTAGATACTGACCTAATCCAAGCCTCTTCCTCCTCCACCTTGGCCAGGAACTGTTGGTAAGTGAGAGACTCGTCCAGCTTCTGTCCCCGAGTAGCAGCAAGCTGCTTCAGCTCAGACCAAGCTTGGTTCAGCAACTTCAGCCTCTGTAACATCACAACATTTACATTCACTAGCTTTGTTACAAGAAACATAAAATTATTCATTTTATCACTGTAACCATCATTCAAGTAGCGGTTTTTTCACTTTAATTGTCTTGCCACTTTTCTTTGGTCCCTTATTGACCTAACTTTACTTTTTGATTGAGAAAATAGCAAACATCCATTTCTATTTAAATGAAGGGTTAAAGTGTCAACCAGTATCGTCATGAAGTATCTCTAGTGTCACCTACGTGTCCATCTTTCTGTGTCATATGCTTTTACCCGTTAGTAATTAGTCAGGATTTTTTCAATGAATTGAATTTTTTTTTTAATGAATAAGTGTTTAAAAAAATGAATCATTGTCAATAATTGTGGGAAAACTTAGAATTTTTTGGGGGAAATCAACATTTTTTAAGGTAGACCAATTGGTTGGAAAAGACCTTAAATAAATATTATAAACTCAGGTGTATAATGCACCTATAATGTAGGTTTCGGAATGGTTTTAAAATTCAAGATTTCTGAATCCAAGTGTAGTAGTACTGCACAGCCTACCTCAAGGTTCTTAATCCGAACTAAACGCATGAACTATCCGTGCGTGTATGTAATACTGTGCCCAATTGATAAATCACTTATGATAAAGGCCACAAAGCAAAGAGAGGCAAGTTATTATAATCTGATAACAGCTAACACCAAACACCTCTCTACAAAATTAAATAAGCAGAGTTTTAAAGAAAAGCCTCTTTTTGGCCCGTTTTCCCAGCTGGTAGAAACCCCCACTAAAACTACACTCAACACAGGAGGCAGGAAGGATGATAACTGACCTGTTCAATCTCTGGCACGCCCAGGTTACTGACGTCCATCAGCTTCTCACCAGCCTCCTGCACGGCCTGGATTGCCGGCTCATGAGATGCAAGCTCCGCCTCCAGCCTCTTGTGTTTCTTCTTCAGATTCTGCACTCCAGTCAGGTCTCGGCCGTAGTCGTCTGAACCCACTAGCAGCTTCTTCTCCCTGAAGGATGAGATTTTAAGCATGTAAAATTTGAGGAAGGTACCATGTTAAAAAGATTTACTATCATAATAATTTGAAAAGAAAATTACATTTGAAAAGCTTCTAATGGTACTCATTAGTGGGGATTAAACCCTGAATAAACCATTTTCTGTTCATCAAAGTAACAAAAACTGATGTACAACGATAATGGAAAGATTATTTGGACTTGGAGTATCTGCCAGAAACTTTTGATGTACAAACCATTGACTTGTGAAGCATGTGTCGACCTTAAAAAATGTGATTGTTTATTGCATGTTTTAGGGAACTTTAACAACTGAACAGTCTACTAATTAGGAATGATAGAATTAAGGAAATTATTAAGGAATGAATCAGTCTTAAGACAATGCAGACCTGGAAGTTCACTCAGGTTACATCAAAGCAATGAATTATACTGCCTTAGTTAAACTTTAAAATTAAAAAAAAAAAACTGTTACAAATGAACTAACTTGATCCAAGACTCCTCATCAGCGATGTCTCGGAAGAACTGATGCAGTGTGTTGGCCTCATTGAGCCGAGCCTGTCTATGAGCCGCAAGGTTCTTGATGCGTTCGTATCGCTCGTTGATCGATTGTCTCTTTTCTTGGATGCTCGCTGTGTCAAACTGTCCGCTCTCTATCAGTGAGTCGGCTTGGGAGTTCATGTCTAAGAAAATATCCGTAATGTTAGTATAAATAAGATTGCGAATTGGGGAATATAATGAGAAACTGTTCCTACAGTTATTTTTTGAATGGCCTTAAAAGAGCAAATTTTGGGGGGGGGGTGGTTATTTGAATGAGAACTTTCTGGGAGGAAGTGTACAATTGGCATATGCACCTCTCGATACATGTTGGAGGTGGTTCTTAGTGAAAGAAAACTTTACATTTTTCAGATGAGGATTCTTAAAGAAATTGTCAAGTATGAGGTTTTGGGGAAAATACTGGTTGAACTAAAAAAAAAAATACGTGATAATGGAATGTTTGGTTCTATAGTCAAAGGATGAATTCAGAATTCCTTTAATTAACACTCTATAGTATCCTAGATTATCCAAAAACCTCTATCCATGTATTTCAAGATGATGTACAAGAATGTGTTGTGCGTACCCTTGATCCTCTCCTCGTGAGCGTGTATGTCGGCCTCCACCAGCTGGTGTTTCTTGTTGAGGTTCTGCACAGAGGCCAAGTCCTTGCCAGAGTCCTCGGAGGTGAGTAGACTCTCCACCTCACCCAGCCAGAAGTCCAGGTCCTTGACTGCAGCCACGTAAGTGCGCTGCTTGTTGGCCTCCTTCAGCTTCAGAGACTTCTCTGTCGTCTTCTGTGTCAGGAACTCCCACTGGTCGGCGATGGATGCTAGACGAGCCTGTGCACCAATCACGGTTAGAACTAACCCTTCACACCATATTAGGAGTTGTAATAAAGGTTTTGAAAGAAAGAGAAAGTTGAATTTCAACGGCGAGCTTTGCTTAACCCTTTGGGCACCAACGATTTTTATAGGTGACTTGCTAAGGGGACCGGGCACTAAAGCCATATTGTTACAGTTGTTTCTTTAAAACTGTATAACTCCTAAACTATTTGTGTTATCCAGGTGAAATTTTCACCAGTTTATATGAGATAAATTGCACTTTACAGCAATATATAATATGTATATACATATTTATATATATATTTATTTATTTATATACTTATATATGCATGTGCAAACACGGAAATTATTTTTTTGAAAATAAGATAATTTTTAGCCACTTCAAAAAATTACTAGGTATTTGAAATTACTATCATTTTATTCCCTAACTAGTTCCTTACATGTAAAAAAAAAATTATACTTCCAAAAAATATATTTATTGGTTTTTATTATTTTTGAATTTTTTTATTTTTTTTTCAAAATTGACTAAATTTTACGCATTTACAACTTTATAATTTTTTTTTTATTTTATACCTGAAAATATTTCTAAAAATAACACACAAATGCTGAATTCAACAAAATAAATGTTTTTATCATGCATGTAAAAACTTACCAAAAACATAAACAGGTAGGCCTATATACATGTCCTCCTGGTAAGCCGTGGTAGAATTAGGCCTAGGCTTGTGTTTGGAACACGCAACACTAAACACTATAAATTGAAGTAGGGCCTATAGTCTCTAAGTTCTCTTTTTTTAATTATAACGAATGAATAAGTATTTACATATTTACATACATTAGCTAGCACTGATCTTCAATCTAACATGTGTGCCTAGGATAACACAGTCCGTGAACTCCCCGGCCACATCTGGCGCAAGCAGTCCTGCTTTTTTTTCTCTTTCCTCCTTCTGCTGTACTTATTCGACTGCACACAGAACAATTTCTTCACCCTGTAAAGGGCCATCACCTCCACCACGGATATTCAGTGGTACTGCGGGTTGCGCACCAACAGTAGGCCTATTTGCAAGCCATTGCCTCGACACTTCCTCAATAACCGAAACAGTATAGTGGTATCTTGAAAGTGGCTTGTTTGTACAATTTAGCTTGTAAAGTATATAACTATTCAGAACCATACGTCCTACTATATTCCAAACCACTTTTTTCCAGTACTTGACTGTACGACGTTCATCCAAATATGAATAAAGCATCATATCTGAAGAATCGATGCCACCCATGAAGTCACAATATTGACGGATGATCATAGGCTTAGTTAGGGTTCTCATAACTCCTTCTCTAACTCTAACAACTTTGTCTACATCTTTTGCTTGAGCCTTAGAAGAAATAAGTATAACCGGACCTTTTTGACTTTTTTTAGCTTTGTGTGCCAAAAGCAGCATGTACTCTTTTCTAAAATAATTTTTTTGACCAACAGCAAACTTTTCTTTTACTTTTGCAGGCAAATATTTTCTAGATTTTCTTATTGTGCCAGTGAAATATGTTTCATTACTAAACAAATACTTTACAACCGGAACACTGGAGAAAAAATTGTCACACACTACATGATATCCTTTTCTTAGATAGTTTCCTAATTCCAGAAGCTTTTTTATGACCACATAGCCTAGCCCAAACTCTTTTACATCCCTCCTTTCTTCCCTGTCTGGGTTTTTTTCCCCCTGTAACATGTAAATCCTAAACAATAATTAGTCACGCTGTCACATAACATCCATAACTTAACCCCCCATCGGTGGTGATGTTTGTTTGGGAGGTACTGCATTAGTTGAGTATGGTTTTTGGTGCCTACAAGACTTTCATCAATCGACAAATATTCATTAGGTGTATAGTGTCGGCAAAAAACATTATTAGCATGTGTCATCATTGGGTCAAATTTAGCACAGGGGTCATAACCTGGCTCATTTACTTTGGGCAATCTATCATTATCAACAAGATGAAAAAATGAATAAATGCTTTGAAAGCGACTTCTGGCAAACATTCTGCCAAACCAAGGAGAGGCTTGGGATCCGGTCTTGCTCCAATATGCTTTTATGTTAGGTTTTTTATTGAGTCCCATGTTTATTATTACAATAAGAAAAGCCTTCATTTCTTCTACAGTCACATTTTTCCATTTTCTAAATTTATTTGTAAGCGACATGTTTAGAATGTTTTTTTCAATATATTTGTTAGCAAATCTATTTGTTTCTGTGACCAAAATGTTCAATAATGTTGCTGTAAAAAAGAGATTGAAATAACAGATTGGCGGTGAATTTGGTGCAGGACAGTGCTTTGGACCGGGCATTTCATTATAACTAAATGTTTGATTAGAATTTAGAGGCATATAATTTTGATCAAGTCCATCTTCCACTTCATCCCACGGGCTGTCTTCGTCAGCTTCAGTATTTAGGCCTATGTCCGGAGCGTCATTGTCACCAACATTACCACCTCTTGGTCTACCTCTTCCCCTGCCTACACCTCTGTTTCTTGGAGGCCTGCCACGACCCCTAGGCCTACCACGGCCCCTAGACATACTACGACCCCTAGTCCCCCCTCTTGGATTCAAAGGTAATTGGATAGGATCATCAACCTCATGGTTATTGCAGCTCCCACTAGGGCTCAGGTCTGGTAAAACATAGTAGTCACACAGCCCTAGTAGTCCTAATTCCTATTTCCAGAAGCCAGAAGCACAGTTGTCAGCTGTCGCGTCACGCGCATAGAGATATAAAGTTGTAAATATTGCTATTGCGCAATTTTTTAGGTGATATATACTATATATTATACAAGTATAATATCTTAGTAACATTTTGGTAACAAAGTTGCGATCCTATAGTAGTTTTTACTCATTTTATTTTTCAATTGTTTTGACGTCCGACAGATCGGACGTCGGTACTTTTCGGCAGTACCACGACGTCCGATAGATCGGACGTTAGTCCCCAAAGGGTTAATACACAGATAGGCAAAAAATTCAATAGGTTCAAAATAGGTATTAGGTTTAACAAAAATATTCATTATTTTATTTTACGGTCACAGAACATTTGTTCAATCGCAGAGAGGGAGGGGATATGCTGCAAAGTATCAATCATCACAAAATATTTTATATTTATACATTTTTAAATATATTATTAAGTAATTATTTTTGAATAGTTATAGAAGAATAAATTGGTTTATCATATTAGCATCATATGTTTTATGTGTTTAGAGTTCTCAAAAATGTCCAACTTTTACGACTTAAAACAATGGTACTGACAACTTATCACATGTAACACATAACAACATTCAAGTTTTATTGTACATTTATCTTGACTATAATTAGATCTGAATACCATAACATAAATTCCTCTTCTGAGGTGTTTATGGATAAATATGGGTAAACACAGTTAATTTCTAAAACAATACATAATTAGTATTGTTCTACAAGTAAGCAAAATGAAAATACCCCCGCTGCAGCAGACCTGCAGACTAAGTAAACAAATTTTATAAAAAATTTCATCAAATCGGATCATTCCTTCTCGAGTTATCGTGCTACGAATATAAATATCTATGAGTTTTAACAGATTGTGTTTTCGGCCTCTGAGAACTCCAAAACTAAAAAGTTGGTCCCAAGTAGAGATCTTACCGAGATACCTAGGCCTATGGTAATAGCTTATTCCCTAAAAGGGAAAGTCGCTAAAATTGAACATGCTCTTGTTTAGATAACAGCACCTACACCTTTACCTAGATGCTAACAGTATTCTAGCATCCTACCTGGACGGCCTCCTCTGAGCCAGCACACTGGTGTTTGTCAATGAGGTTCTGTCCCATGGCCAGCACACTCTGTATACGGTCAGCATTGGCTGCCAACTCTGCCTCAAACGCTTGGTGCTTCTGGTGCTTGGACTGAATATTGGCTGGGTCCTGTAAACATTAGTTACCCCACTGTGTCACTGCAGTCATCACATAAAGAATATATAAAAATATCTTATATTCACACAAAGCTCAAAATTGACCAAACTATAGACAGATCCCCAAAGAGCAATGTTAATGTGTTTTTGGATAGGCTTGAGAGTATTATCAACTCTTTTGTTTCCAAAAATTTGAAAAATACACATTTAATAGTTGCAGGTGATATTAATATCGATCAAATCAAATCAAATCAAATCAAATCTCTTTATTGCCATTAAGTATATACATTTATACAATAGGCCAAGTCAAAATTTGTTATAAACTTAACTAAACAGGTACAATGAGACTATAACTGAACATTAGGTGCATGCGGATTTTAACTAAAAGATTACAGTTGTATTTTTTTAAAATCAAAATACTCTTTAACATGATAAAAAGGATTTACAGTTAACCAGCTGTAAAGTCTAACTTTAAATACAGAATCTGGTAAAAGTCTTGATTCAGGGTGAAGTATATTGAACATATTTAAACTCAAATTTGGCAAAATTAGGTAGATTAAGGAATAAAATCTATAGAAAAAAACTGATTGAAGTAAAAAAACAGTTTTATGATAGCAAGATTAAGAAATCCAAAAATGTAATTAAAACTACTTGGGATATTATAAACTCAGAAACCAGGAAAAGTTCAGTTAATTGCACAAATAATATATTTTTAGTAAATGGAAACAAAAGAGTTACAGATCCTCTCGAAATTAGTAATTTATTCAATTCTTATTTTATCAATGTTGTGAAAGACAGGCCTATTAATGTGTCCCCTTCTTGTAGCCAACAGACTTCCAGAGATATCCGTGAACAACTATCTCCAACCGGCTCAACCTGTGTCAATATTCAAAATCAATTCTATTTTCGTGACACTAATAAAGATGAAATTGAAAAAATTATAAATTCTTTTAAAAACAAACTATCCTCCAGCCATGACGGGATTCCAATGTCAGTCATAAAATTTGTAAGAAAGCAGCTAAGTAAAATTCTCTCTCATTTAATCAACTCCTCTTTTGTTAGTGGCATTTTTCTAGACAATTTAAAAATTGCTAAAGTAATACCAATTCCTAAATCTAATGAGGCTACAGATATTGGTAATTACCGACCAATATCTTTGCTATCACCAATATCTAAAATTTACGAGAAAATTGTTTCTAATCAATTAACTGTGTTCTTAGAAGAAAATTCAATCCTAGAAGACATCCAACACGCATTTAGGAAAGATAAGTCCACTATTACAGCGATTGTTAGCTTTGTTGAATCAGTCATTGAGTCAATTGACAAGGGTGAGCACGTGTTGGGAGTGTTCATGGATTTATCGAAGGCGTTTGATAGCGTTAATCATGAACTATTACTTTTTAAATTAGAAAAAAAATGGAATCAGGTATAACTCTCTTAATTGGTTTAAATCATACTTATCAAATAGACAACAGTTTGTTGAAATAACTCACATCACTAAAGACAATTATAAATCAAAATACAGTTCAAATATGGGCACAATAAGATCTGGTTAACAAATTTTAAAAAGTGTCTAAATTTTGCCCCATGTACAGGTTTGTATCTTTATGCAGATGACTCTAATCTTAAAGTATCTGGGAAAACTGCAGAAGATGTTGAGTTGCTATCCACAATAGAAATAGCTTGTATTGAGGATTTTTTTAATAATCACAATTTAAAATTAAATGAAAGTAAAACCAAATGTGTCACATTCAAAACAAAACAAAACAAAAACAATTCCAATCCTAATATTGAAGTAAATAACCAACCAATTGAAATAACAGAAGCCGTAAGGTTCCTTGGCCTGACATTGGACAGCAACTTGTCTTGGGACAAACATTGTAAACTTGTTATCAATAAAATAAATTCTGGTCTTTGTGTGATTAGAAAAATGTCAAAACTATGCAGTGTTGATGTTTTAAAAATGATCTATTTTTCCCATATTCAATCCCATATATCTTATGGCATATGTGTATATGGAGCCACCTCAAATTCGAATCTAGACCAAATTTTGACAATACAGAAGCAATCAATCAGAGCTATGTTAAAAATGAACAAAGATGATTCTGCAAAAGAACACTTTAAACGTCTAAGGATCCTCACTGTTTATGGTTTGTATGTTCTTGAATGTATTATGTTTGTCAAAAACAAAAATTTTATTCCACCAATTAAAGAAAATAATCATAACTACAATACACGTAACAAAAATAATTTTGTAATTGGAAAACACAAATTAGAGCTCTTCAAAAAAAAAGACTGTCAATGCAGGACATGAATTTTTAAAATTTATTCCTTTGAAAATTAAAACATAACAAAAACCCAACATTTTTAAAAAACGTCTCAAGGAATATTTAATGGACCTGTCCTTGTACTCTTTAGACGAATTGAAAATGGCGATATCATAGTTTTAAGCATTAGTTTTAACTTATTTGACACTATTCATGTACAACTATGTATATTATGAATGAAGATTCTTGACTATGACTATGACTATGACTATAATATCCTACGTCTAATACTCACTGATGGTGCAGAGACATGGGTCCCTCACAAAGTAACAGAGAAAAAGTTGATCAGTTTTGAAAGTTAAAGTTTTAAGGAACGTGTTAAGACAAACAAGAGAAAATTTACGATTGAGTATTAAGCCAAACAGGGAATTAATAACTAAGAGATCTGTAAGAAGTGTAACCTTTATGATATAGTAGCTGAAACTAAAAGCCTGAGATTGAGGTGGATTAGACATGTGATCATAAGAACTGTTGGGGCTTTCGGAAAGCAAGTGTGGGGTGAAAACATGGACGGGAGGAAACCTTTAAGATGTCCAAAGAAGAGGTGGAACGACAAAATGAGGGATGGATGAGCAAATTCTGGGGACCGAAAGACAAGGAAATTGTCGGTGAGACCAAATACAAAACCACCTTGGGGATAAATGGCCGTTGACCAACAACAGCTAAAGCATGTAAACTCACCTTGTAGCTCTCCTCAGTGGCTAGCTGCAGTTTCTCTGCAATCCAGTTCTCCATCTCGTCAGCGTCTCGGCTGAACTGCTGCAGTGTCTGAGACTCTCCCAGGCGTGACCGCTTCTCTATCAGCGCCTCCTTGAGGTGGCGCCACCTGTCCAGCACCTGTCGTCGCTTCTCGTCTATCGGCTTGGCTGCGTAGTGCTCGGCCGCCATCAGCTGGTCAGCCAGAGTCTGCAGAGCGGCGATCTTCTCCTCCTGTAAAAGTCAATGGTTGAACAATTTCCAAAGTTCAAAATATTGTATTATTTTTGTTCATCTATATGATTTTCTTTCTCAGGAGTAATTGGAGTGTCTATCAGCACCCAAAGAAAATTTAAAAGAATGTTTACTGGTATTTTAATATTACAAACAATACGTAATCTGTGGATACAACATGAAGTTCTCGTACTAAATTATTTTGAATTTTCGGATACAATTTGTTTTGCCATCAAAATTATTACAAATGGCAAACATTTTTGTTCAGGAACTCAGAAATGTAAAACAAAACTGAACCATACATGATATTCTTGTATAGTTGTATATACTCTGGATATTCCTCGTTTTCTACATTGATAAAAACGGGTTGGACACAGATAACCATAATTAAACTAAAACACAACATTAAAATTATTACAAAAAATAAATTTTTGAAACAAGATTTAAACAATTATGGACTAAAAACCAAGAAAACCCCATTCAAAGCTAACTCTTGGGGGTGATTTTAGATACTAAAGATACACCTACATGAGCGTTGATCGCTTTGTCAAAGTCCTCGTGTTTCTTGATGAGGGCCTCGACATTGTCCCCCTTGGAGTCTACCTCCTCGGCAGCCAGGAAGGCCTCTCGCGCAGACATCCAGTTCTCAGCCTGCTCACAGTCACGGTAGAACAGCTGCAGCTCTAGGCACTGGTCTAACTGCATGCGTCGTGCAATCCATGCCCTGCAACAGGGGTGAAACTTCATAAACAGGAGAAATTATTATGTTGTTAATTAAATGCCGATACAACTCCTGGATCATTGGTACATGTTGAATGAACTTGTAATTATCTGCACAAGATAATTTTCAGACTACTCAACAACTAATTTTAGCACAAATAAGTTGCTAATTTCAGTCTGCAAATAGACTTATCATAACATTTTTGTCATCTTCTTTTAGAGACCACTGATTTTGGTGTTATACACTAAATAAACAATATCCACCCAAAGAACTTACAAATTTAAATATGTATTCTCTTAGAGCCTGAAAATGGCACCACATTTTGGTTGTAACTATTACCGCCAGATGAAATTTGACAAATAAACAAGCAGGCCTATACCAGAATCGAATTGAACATCGCCATATTTTGTTCTTGCCATCATCTCTCATAATCACGGCAACACGATGATCATTGTGACAACTCGATAATTTCCTGTGATTGCAGCATCTTAGCTTAGAGTAAAAGAGAAAAATAGTTAATACTGTATTTATTTCTTTGAATACAAAGTGTTTGTGTTGTTTATTTTTACTGCTTTAGCTAAATTCTAGCTTTGTTTTATCTTAATTGCTTTTTAGAATCAAGATGATCGAAAGACAGGTGACAAGACCTCGCCAACCTCAAAAATTTGGGAAATTAGTTGTACCAACTCACTTTTCTAACTCCTGCCGAGCCTCAGCCATGCTCTCGAGTTTCTCCTGTATTTCAACACTGGCGTAGTGGCCAGACTGCAGTAGCTGCTGTCCAAACAGGTCGAAGGCCTGGAATGTTCCAGAACGAGCGTCGATCTCCGTTCTGTGTTCCTGCAACATCAATCACCATCGTCAAACTCCCAAGTGGTAGAAATCTGTGATAACTTGTTTATAGTGGGGGGTGGTTGTAAAGGTTTGAATCAAATATCAAATCCACAAAGAAATTCCACTCAAAGAAATATTTCAAATCCAGATCTAATTGGATGACTCATGTATACACCTTGCATTTATTATTTATACATTTAAGGTGGAAAACTTCAGGAATTCTTTATTTTTCTTATCCAAACAGAGATCTTCAGACACAATCTTGATTGCAGAAATGAGTAAATGATAACGGGAGATTTTAACATATTGCCGTGATGGTTATGGTGTGAAGAGGTTTAAACATCTAGTAAATAACAGCGAAAACCAATTTTAACAGTAGATTGTATATTGTATATAAATAAAAATTTTACTTGAACTCCAAATTTAATATTTTAGTATTTGAATTCAAATTTTGAAATTGAAATCATCATCTTTAAGATAGCATTTGATACATTGAGAAGGAAGTACAGGCCAAAAGTTTCGGCCAAGCCAACAAAAACGGTACTTTTATTAAATCTTTTTTTGTGATACAGTATTTTTTAACCAGCACTCTGGAAAGGGTTTTGACAAAATATGTTTCTGTTATCTCCAACACCAGATGGCAATACACCATAAAAAGGCATGGTTGTGAAGTGAAATGTAAGTAAGCGTGTTTTCGGTCCATCGCTTTATTAGGGGTCTGTCAGACAAGACATAAATTGTCACCTTGTTTTATGTTTGCTCCAGATGAACGTTAACTTTTATGTTTTAATATTTATAAATCAACATGTGTATGTGAACATGTGACTTTAATTTGTGATACAAAAAAACTTGGTTAGTTAAACTATTTTGGCATACTATTTACTTAGAAATATAAATTGTTATTTGTTACTTATTAATTTGTCAGCAATATAGAAAGTAGAGGAGATTATTTCAACACTACAATTTATCTTTTTATTTAGCAAGCAAACATTAATTAAAGTTGGTTAAAAAGTGATGCTAATGCTAATATAGACTACTATAATAATACATTATTTCCCTAAAATAAAAATAAGAATCTACTTAAATTATACACACAAAGGAACCAATTAAATTTTGTAACTATTATTTTACAGTATTTTATAGTATGTTATAGTATTTTACTTTACATCATATTGGTTGGTTGAAAATTTAACCAACAGAATTTCTAGTTTAGATTTTAATTTAGAGAAGCCTAAATGTTATAGAGAGGATATTTAAATTGTAAGATAAGGCTCAATTTATAGCAATGTATTTTTGTGTAAAATATTATAATTTTGTTCACAGTAAAAAAACTTGACACAGTCTGTGATTTTAGGAAAAATAGATGCATCGTATTCACTCGACAATATTTAGTCCAAACAAATGATAACCTTTAAACATATCTGGCCATTGATAAGCAATAATTTGTTTTTGTTTATAATGTTTACAATAATTTTTACTCAACATGTTTAGTAAACATTTAATAATAATTATTAATTGTTTACTGACTGAGTAAATGTATTTCCTAGCTTAATGTTACTTGTTTTCACCAGCCATTTAATCATTATTTAATGTGTGTGCTCACAACAAATCGTTTAACCCTCTGTCAGTTGCACTGCATCATTTTGATACAAGCAGCAGCCTTTTCGGCCACAATTTTTTCGTGCGAGTAACAATCACTATCCTCGACTATCGAAAATGTTTAGTTTAAAGACAGTCTGAGGATGTAAGTATTACAACAACAAAAACTATCCAAATTAGAAAAGAATAAATAAGACCTTAGAGATTATGTTTTGAGCCACTTGATAGAATAAATTTCATTGGGATACAAACAAATAAAATGTTTTATGAAACCGAATCCCTAAATTAGAAGAAAAAAATCCCTTCCTCAATTTAAGTGAAGCATAGTTAGTTTTACAATTTACAAATCTTACAATTGACATTCTAAATCCACTTATAATGTCCTCTGGTTACAGACACACAACTGACGAACGACAGGTAAAGCGGTAAAAGCGTTATTCTGTTAAGACACAGCCGCATGACACTCGTCAATTACCTGGGCCAACCCATAGTGAGCGTCAATCTCAGCTCGATGGTTCTACAACACAACACCAGTCACAGGGTGTTCAGGGTGCGGACGACACGAGTCAGCTGTCCCGACGTTTGCCAACACACCACTCATTGATTGAGACATTGATGATTTGTGGGTAGCAAATTTTAAGGGGGGCAAAACTTGGGGAGAATAGCTTAAAGAGTTGGTTGGTACAAACATTATTTTTTTCTTTAAGTGTAAAGGGGTGGTGGAATGAAAAAAACAAAGGGTTATCCTTGGCAAAAGAAATAGTAGGGAAGTAAAACAAAATGGATTGTGGAAATATTGGGGTTATATTATTAAGGAACTGAATTGTAATTCATTAGGCCTACAGCCTTACAGGAAAAATAAATATTTAAATTTAGATGTGTGATAGAAGACAAAACCTAGGCCTTCATATTACTTAATATCGTAAAATTTGGTGGTTGACAGAAAATTTGAGAAAAGCTCAGTTGGTGATTTAGTCAAGATTGTATGATTCTATAGAACATAGATTGTGTGCTTTCATCCATCTTCAAACCATGATTGTGTATACAATAGGTTGTGTGTGTGAAGGTATCTAGCGGACTAGAATAAGTAAATTTTCAAAATTCAAATTTTACTTCTATAAAGTTGTCATTGTACTAGCTTCTTAATGTTGTTGTATCATTTTTTTTATGTAGCATTAGCATAAAAGAAATTTTCTCCAATTAGTTAAGGATCCTGTTTTAACGAATAAATGCTAATAAGTTGTTCATTCCAGTTTGAGTTTTAAGATTAAAACCAGTGAACAGATGTTGGCAAACCTCGAGATGAAATACAGACTCTCTGTTCAAATACCTCACCAATCCCACACAAAAACATCAGGGTTTCCAAAGTGTTTTGTTTTTGAAAATACATTATCAAAAAACCTTATTCTTCATTAGGCATTTTTCCTTAGTCTATATCAATACAAAATATGAACATAACCTTTTGGGGTATTAAAATTTACAATTATTCCATTAGGGCCCTACATTACTCACAAATTAATCAAGTATTCTTTAAAGTCTTTCACACAATGAAGTTTTGACCAGTGGAAACCCTGATAACAAGCATCAGTGATTTTTAGAAGTTATATTTAGTTATTTCAGAAGCTATTATTAAATTACAGTGTTTAGCAGTGGGTGTTGGTTCTCACAAACTGATAAAATCTTTTACGTGCCACCGTCAAAAAATTAGTCTGTGTAGCAAAAACTTTAAAAATAGGTAGGCTACAATCAATTTTTCAACACGCATATTTTTCAGTGTATGAATAACTCTTTAGGTCCAACTATGTTATTAAGTACACAAATTATTGTGTTAAGACTTATTCTAGTGAAAAATCACTTCACAGCTTTGTTATTAAATTTATTATTGGTTAAGTCACTTAAGGAACCCAAAAGATGTGTAAAACCATTTAGTCTATTTACAGGTTTGTATTGTGAAGTGGTTTTTTGAATGTGCTACTTTAAGAACCAATCAAAAGTAGCACGAGAAATTAACCTGTAAAAACTTAAATTGAATTAAAAAAGTTGAAATGTGTTTAAGTCAAGTATTTCTTCATGTTATGTAACATGAGCACTGTGGCCTGAGATTCAAATATTGTCATTGGAATAGCAGAACATAGGAAAGAGTAAATCATGGAACAAGAAACACTCAAACTAAACAATACATACACAAATTAGAATATTTCACTTTCACAAAACAGCACTTTGAACCAAAGAAGCTTTGAGTGAGAAAAAGATGCCTTCGAATCCATTGGTAACCAGGATATGTTATTGGTACAATTTAGACGAAACGCTGCCAGGAACAGTGAAATATCCTATTCATTGTGTATAATGACACAATAGAACCTCGCTAGCTCTTTGTGGACTCAGAAAATCCAATTTGAATGAAACTAGTAAATAAAAACGCCACAGACTAGTATGTACAACCATTAGTACCAATGCTGAGTTTATCAGGTAGAAAAGGAATATGGTACATAAGGTTCATCGAAGCAAGAGGATGTGTAAACAGTGACCTCCCCTCCCCCAACCACCCTGCAAACTATAGACTGACTTGTTATTCCCGTGTGAAGCCAAAATGACCCTCTTTCCGTCTTAACTCATTTGGACCGTCCTTAGAAGTTGGATTAAACATAATTTGAAACCAACAAGTCGTGTTCACTTTCTTCCAGTGACTGCAGAGTTAGTGAGGTTCTATTGTAGTGAACAATAGTGTTTTTATCCCAACAACAATATGGTGATGGTGGTGGTATTACCTGGTGTCGCTCCAGCAGCGCCTCAGCTCCGGTCACATCACTGGCCAGCTCATCACTGCTCACCAGACCCATCATGCTGTTGATCCAGCTCATCAGATCACGGTAGTCACTGAGGAAACGCTGCAAGTCGTACGAGTCTAGCAGCTTCTCCTTGCGGCTGTGCGCAAAATAAAGTGTTAACACAGTGGGTACTCACCCTACATTTCTTAAGCTTCTGAATTCCAACCATAATTCATTCAGAAAAGAGCTATTTAGGAGCTTCAAGTTTCTTTACTTTTTAAATTCAAATTTATTATATGAAGTTTAGACTCCTTGACACTATGATGTTAGTTGTCCCCAGTTTAAAATTGTAGTTTTAATGTAACTGTTTCAGCTTTCACCCAATTATCAAATACCATAATTGCAGGAAACATTACTGTCCGTTATTGCTTTGTCAATGTTTATAAATGCTAATAGCACAATACCTGTTAGCCTTGGCAGTGAGAGCGGTCCACTCCTCGTTGATCTCACGCTGTTTTGCGTACGTCTGCTCTGCAGTCTCAGGGTGGGTTTGCATCAGACGGTTGGCAGTCTCGTCCAGTTGACGAATCTGTTCATGTTCGATTAATTATTTAAATCATCTACACTGTTATGGATCTGGGTTTGTAACAGTAAAACAAGTTTAAGTTTTCTATGGCATGGAAGATCTAAACAGTAAACAAATTGCACAGCAAGATAAATTTTTATGTTTACCAGTGGTGCTAATCTTTGATAGAGAGCTGAATACCACTGGTCCAGTATTGGTTATTGCCTGTGATTATCTTATTGTCCTTCCATACAAGCCGGACTACGTGGGCCCTCCACAACAGTTAGGCCACACAATATTAAGCTTAATATGGATTGCCAATTTACAGGATTCAAACCGGCGCATGTAGAAAGGCGCTTGTCAGTGCCTTTAGCACCTTTAACACCTTTAGCCAACTGAGCTGCCATGTTATACAATTACTGATTTGTCATATATACACTTTAGAATCATGGCAAACTGAAAGGACGATTTATTGTGAAGCATATTCTATGCCACATTAATTATTAAAGTATTAGACACTGAGAGAAGAAATAGAATGCTTACATTAGCACACTCTTTTATTGGTTAAGTCAACTATATTATTTTGTATTGAAAACTTGGCTTCCTCTGGTCCATATGGATGGAAAGTCTACCTCAGTATAATAAGTCAACACCTACCTTGTCTCCAAGCGCCGCTAAGTCTCTCTCCAGCCCCTCGTGTTTGCGCTGCAGCGCCTGCACAGTGCGCAGGTCCTTGCCCAGGTCGTCGTTGTTGAGTGCCTCGTCTTTCTCCTGTATCCAGTCCTTGGTCTCGTCCACATCTCGGTGGAACCGCTGCACCTCGTGAGCCGAGCCCAGCTGTGTGGCTCGCTCCTGAGTCAGCTGTTGTAGTGACGTCCACTTCTCGTTCAGGTCCTGCATAAATACATTAGTTTTAGCATAAAGGAAGCAATCCGAAGGAAAATAACGTATAGCATTTTATATTAATTACTTATCTGATTAGAGTATCAAACATTATTACGGAATCCACCATCCACAAAAAGATCTATTATGGTGGGAGCGATTAAAAGCCGTAACGTTGGACTTGTACACATTTAAAAAAAAAAAAAAAACTAATTCAGTAGTAAAAAGTAGTAGTGGGACCACATTGTGAAAGTCCCTGAAGGCAGAAAACAGTTGGAAGACCCAAAGCTAGAGGGATATGAGAAAGTTGGGGTTCAAAAAGGAAGGATGCTTTTTGGTCCAAACCTAAAGACTATAAATTAAAGAGTTATTTAAACAAGTTTATTGATACCTATGTATTGTTTTGTGTAAATTTACTTAGTCATCAATCCAATTTCCTACAAAAAGTTGTGAGTGAGTAAGATTATGCAGCTAATGGTGCTATTTAGATGTTCCATTATACTTATACCAAAGAGTATTTTTCATACAATTCTGGTTCATAGTCTGGGTAGTAGATCAACTGACAATGCCAGTTACATGTTGTATCCCTCACCTGTAGTTGTGTCTGTATCTTGAGAGCAGCCTCCGTCTGTCCGAGACTCATCAGTTGCATCGCAATCTCGTTCATCTCAGCCAGACGAACCTCGTTGGCCTTGAGGTCTGACTGGAAGTCATCAAACTTCTTCTGCATCACTTCCACCTGCTCCAAGTCCTCACCCACATCTTGCACTTGGGCATGATTCTCCTACAACAGAATTATAAGTTACCACACATACTTGTGTATAGAGGTGGAGTTGCTATGGGACTGAGTGTGGTATTATATTTGAAAGTAAACTCATTTAAGCAAAAAGTACAAATACGTTAAGGAAAATTATTTTTGAATAAAAAACAAAAGGTATTAGGCCTAATAGATTTTTATATCAAGGACAGGTCAAATAAAGCCACTGTAGCCTTTTACAGCGAGCAAAATAGTCACTGGGATCTGTAGGGTGGGGCATGTTTCAATTCAACTGTTCTCAAAATAAAAAATGCAATGGCTTCAGAAAACACCACTTTTAGGATTTCAACTGCAATTCAACTGTTCTCAAAATAAAAAATGCAATGGCTTCAGAAAACACCACTTTTAGGATTTAAGGAGACCAAATTTCATTCAGGATCAAGTCAGATTTCAAAAGCAGATTTTTCAGCTTGGGCATTTATTTATCAGCACCCTAAGACAGTGGCAAGAAGGACCTGTTGTAGCTGAAGAGGAAAATTTGTATTACAACACATAATAACATCCTAGCTTTTCTAAAAATTGCCGTCTTAAAAAAAAAAAAAATAATAATATCAACTTGCACTATACTTTTAAGCAGCAAGAATGTTATTTATCACAATACAATCAACTTTTCAACCATACCTTGTCCTTAATCCAGGTGGACAACTCAGCGGCCTCTCTGACAAGCACGTAAGCTCGCACAGTCTCGTTGAGTTTGTTCTGTCGTTCACGAGCCAGTGACAGCAGCTGGTCGTACTGCGACTCTATCTGGTTCTGACGCGCTGCAATGGAGCTGCTATCAGCCAAGTTCTGCTGAGAAGCAGTCAAGCTGGCCTCGATCTTCTTGACGTAAGCGGCTGGGACAAAACCTTGACGGTCGTTGACCTCCACCTTCCACCAATCCTGGACAAACAAACCAAACATTAGATTTTGAACTTTAAAAATCTCTTTTCTTGTCCCTAGATAACAGGAATAGTTTTGGAACTGAAAGATTTTCCCAGGAGTTGATGAATGCAAAGAATAAAAACAAATTTCTATTGTCAGTGAGAGAGAGAGAGAAAGAGAGAGAGAAATTCTTTATTTATACACATTATTTTGCAGCAAATACATTAAGAAATAAAAATATCACATGGGTCACAATGACCTGTGCGTGATAGAGTCCTTACTGGCTGCTTCATCAAAATAAAAGTTCTTCACACTTCACTACACATAAAAAAAAGAATAAAAAAAAAAACAATTACTTGGTAAAATAAGCATACAATTTAATTTAATATACAATTATAATTATAACAACCTAATAACCATACACAATGTGCAACTCAATAACTTTTTTTTTTTCAATTCCCAATTTTACTGAGGCGTAGATTCCGTCAAGTAAAGAGTGCTGTAGAAGGTACAATAGATAGTCCAGTTATCAGTTGGTTAGGTCTAAACGAGATATTCTGGGCTGATAAGCGACTCTGTATTGTCAAGGCCTATCTCCATCAGCCAATTAGCGATAACCCTCTTATATACACTCAGTGACACTCGCAGGTCCCTAATTTCTGAAGGAATATTACGCAACAAGCAATTAGCAATGTAAAAGGAATTTGTTAAATTGATTGATTTGAGAACTCTTGGTACCCGTAATCCTATCATCACTGAGTTTCTGGTATGATAGTTATGAACTACGGGCAAGGCGATAAGGTCCAAATGAATGTATGAATAAGCTAATAAATCTTTAACATATAGCTGCCTTATTGATAAAAGCTGAGATTCTTTGAACAAATGATCAGTAGAATAACGTCTCGGTTTTCTTAACGCAGCTCTAATTATTGATTTTTGAATTACGAACAAAGGTTCAATTACCGATGAATAAGCCCCTCCCCAAGCTATTAAACCATACTGCAGATGAGATTGAACGTATGCGTAGTAAATTCTTTTAATTTCGTCATGTCGTAAAATTTGACCCAATTGATAAAAAACATAAATCATTTTTCTAAGCTTTGTTTTTAAAAAAATTATATGGCTTTCCCATTTCAATTTAGAATCCATTATAATGCCCAGGTATTTATACTGCGACACAGTTTCAATAATTTGGCAGTTGCAATCGCTGCCTGCGGTGCCACATGAGTGCAAGGTTAGTCTGAGTTCGGCGGGCGGCTCGCTAGCGGGACGAAGTGCGATAGGCAAACATTTTGTTTTACTGACATTCATTGTTAAAATATTTTCTGAGAACCATCTTTTTAAAATTTGTAATTCTGATGATGCAATATTAAAAACCTCTTCCCAAGTACGTGCCCTAAAGATTACTGCTGTGTCATCTGCAAACAAGAATATTTTTCCAGAAATATCAATTTTATATATGTTATTTATGTAAATTAAAAATAATAAGGGCCCCATTGTAGAACCTTGAATAATTCCAAAATCTACATTCATTTGATCACTAATTACGTTATTAATTGATACTACTTGAGTCCTATTGCTTAAATAACTTTTAAACCATGCCAGGGCTAAACCCCTAACTCCCAAATATTCTAACTTTTTGAAAAGAATTTTCCTATCAATAGAGTCAAACGCTTTAGCAAGATCTATGAATGCAATTAGTATTTTTTCATTTCTATTCACTGACTCGATTAATGTTTTATTGATAAGAAATAGTGCATCAGTAGTATTTTTACCTTTTCTAAACCCAAACTGTTGTTCTGATAAAATTCCATGTTCATCCAAATAATTTTGGAGTTGAATTTTGACACATTTCTCTAACACTTTAGATAATACACTTAACAATGAGATTGGTCTATAATTATTTTTGTCATTTTTTTGCCCGGACTTATAAAGAGGAATTACCTTAGCTATTTTAAATCTGTTTGGAAAAATGCCTGAAGTAATACTCAAGTTAATAAGATGTTTGAGAGGTAGTAAAATGTCTTGCAGATGATTTTTTAGTATTTTGGCTGGAAATTCATCGAACCCGGGAGCAGAACCGCCTCGCATTTCCCTCACACACTCAGCCAACTGACTGTCAGAGACAGGCTCCAGTCGCAGTTCACGCCCCTGTCCTACACTGAACAAAGCATCGTCGACCAGTGGCGGACCCACGGGCGGTGGCAACTCGCTCGCCAACCTATTACCAACACTAGAGAAAAATTCATTAAACGAGTTAGCCACCGCCCCCAAACCCCCTCCACTTGAGTCTGACGGTTGCTGGAAAAGTGAAACAGGAAAATTGCATCTCTTTATATTTGCTCCATTAAATTCATTTATATGTTTCCAAAATAATCTGGGGTTGTCAACAGAGGCTGTTATTTTTTCTCTGTAAAAGTTTTGTTTTGTAGTTTTGATTTTATTTGATAACTGGTTTCTAAAAGCTTGAAATTGAAATTTTAATTGCTCATCAAAAGGTCGGGCTTTAACCAGTTTACTCATTTTATCTCGTTTTCTAATAGCAAATATTAACTCTGTGTTTATCCATGGCTTTAATTTCTTAAATCTAGAGGTGGGTTTTATTACACGCATAGCTTTAAGTTTTAAACTAGAAAATGTGTTTAAAAATGCGTCACAACAATCATTAACATCCTGATGTGCAAGGACGTGATCCCACGACTGGACCGCCATCAAGCCACTCAGAACACCCGAGTCCAAGTACATGTTGCAGGTTTCGGGTTGAGCTGTAATGTTGTCAAGTTCAATTTTTGCTATAAGAGTGTAATGATCAGTTATGTCAGTTGTAAGTACACACGAAGTCAGCTTGTTACAGTCATAGTGTTTGACAAAAATGTGATCAATGCAAGTTTTAGAGTTGTTAACTTCTCTTGTAGGTTTATTTATTAATTCAATAAAACCCGCTGAATACATTATATTTAAGTAAACCTCTTTAAGATTGGTTTGTTTTGACTCTGGTAAAATGTCAATGTTTATATCACCCATGAAAATGTGAGTATTTGAATTGTTGGTAGTAATGCAGTAGGTTTCTAGATCATTTAAAAACAAATCAATATTCATGGATGGGCTACGGTAAACTGTAAGTATGCTGTAATGTTTGGAGTCCAATGTATAGTCAAGTCGTAATCCAGTCGCTTCACCCAGTCTTATCTGTTGCATTGTTCCGCAAAGTTCCGTTTTCAAGTACACAATAACACCGTCGTTTCTGTTCCAGTTGTTGTCTGTATTAAATAGATCATATCCGTCGATGTGATTCAGTGTATTCAAATCATGGGTCCACGCCTCAGTAAATGCAATACAATCAAATTCTAAGTTTAGACTTTGTAACAAAACCAATGCGGCATCAATGTTCCTACTGTAACTTCTAATATTTAAATGGATAAATAGTAAACCTTTCCCCTCATTGAAAAAGTTAGACACTTGTATATGGTTTACAAAATTCATGCATTGTATAGTTTTAAAGTTTTCCAAGTCAGTTTCTCTATCAAAGTGAACCATGCTACTATCCTAACCGCGTCTTCCCCAAATTGTATAAATATATAGAATAATAATAAAATCACATAAAGTATTTCCTCACCATGTACTAATTTGAGAATACTATTACATTTAAAAGTTGAATTGACTTAATAAGGGATGCTCAAAACTGCCTTTTTTATTAACAGGGAGCAAAATTACACTAAGCAATATGCATTAGATCGGCGATAAATTGAGACAAATAAAAACTCTAGTATAGTGTTCTATGGACTTTTAGTAAAATTATTATTACTATTTAGCGATCCAACACAAAATTACAGCCAAAGTATTTTCCTAAGTACAGTACCTCATTCATGCATGGTTTAATTTAGGTTATTAGTATGGAGTTAGCTCGAAACACTTAAATAATAAGTTGATTTTAGAGAGAGTTTATAAATACTTAATTATAGGCCTAATCCGTGGCAAACAAACTAAAATTGAAAGTAGTAATCATTCCAGGTTATAATTGTATAAAAAATAAAAAAAAATTAAACATTTTGAAATTGCATTAAGTTTGTAAAGAGAGCAGAATTTACTAAATAAATAATTATCCCTATGACTATCTATGCTTAATAACTTAAAATTCAAACCTTTTTAAATAATCAACTTATTGATACTTATCTAATACTAACAATTAAAGTGCATTTCAAGTTTGTTTTTGTTTGAACGCATAATACGTTTTTTATTGACCTAAGTAATAATAGTAGTAAGAAACAAAAATAAATTAATAAATAAAATAAATAATAATGTAAATAAATAGCCCTGTGTGTCATAAGCTTGTAAATGTTATATGGAATAAAATAAATAAATAGTGGGAACGGTACTTAATGTCCACAAAGTCTCTTACAGTGTTACTGTACTATTTTACAATGAACATATTGTCTGTTCACCTTGTTGTTAGAGTTGAGGAGTGTAAGTACATCTCCCTTCTTCATGGACACTTCCCGAGGTGACTTCTCAGTGTAGTCATACAAAGCCACAACACATTCCTTGCCTGTCACGTCAATCACTGGTGTCTCTTGTTGCTGCAAAACGACAGATACATATAGGTTTATCAATTAGATACCCTACAGCTTAGTGCAAAAAAAATATTTCTTTATTTGAAGACTAGAACTGCAGAAGGTTAACTAAGGTTGCATTGTTTAAAAAACAGCAACTAATACTTAAATAGTATTAAACCATTTTAAGGCACCTTTTAGACTAAATCGCCTTTAGAGGAAGTAAACAAATTAAGCCATGAAAGCCCTTATTCACTTGTAAGCCCCACAATCACTTGTAACCCAATAAAAGCTGGGAAACAAAATACCCAACCTCACCATGCTACTGATCAACTCATTATTGAGTACCGGAATGAGCTCCTCTAGACTTGAGATCATATTTGAGTTGCAACAACACATCCTACTACAATACTCACCCTGCATGCCTGGGCTGTCTCCCGTAGCGCCTGTATGGTGTTGCCGAACGCCTCCAGGTCACTGACCAGAGCCTCGTGTTTCTTCAGCAAAGCCTCACTGGAGTCCTCGTCCTTCCCGTAGTCCTGGTTCAGCACCAGCGGCTCCTTCTCTTTGATCCAGGACTCGGCCTCGTTGGCATCAGCAAAGTACTGGTGCGCCTGAAGTGAGTCTTCCAAATCTGCTTTCCTCTGCAATTGTCACGTTTTTATTAAAAAATCTGGGTAAAGAGTTTTAAAAGCAGTGGATAGTTTTAAACACAGTTTATTAGTTATAAGACTATTTTCTTACAGGGTGTCTAGTTTATTTCCATTACAAAATTCAAGACTAATTCCAGACTTTTCAAGACTAATTCCAGATTTTTCAAGACTAGTTTTTTCAACAATTAGTGGGTGATGATACCAAAATGTATCGATTCTCGATTCTTGATACCGATACCAATTTGTTTGGCTTAACCAAATTTTCTAAATAATACTACACCAACCCCTGTCTTTGTCATAAAGTAGTATTATGATAACGTCGTGTTTTCAAGTAAAGAAATAATGCAGCAATAAAAAACTAAATAGCAACTAGCAAATTTGTTTTTTTTATCATGAAATCTTCCGCGTACCGTACGTTTAGACATCATCATTGACTGCAGCGGTTACAGAAACGTGATCGTCGTCGTCCGCGATCACGGCAAAATCATGAACATTTCCCGCGGCCGTGTAGACATCATCGTCGTCTCCCGCGGTCACGGAAACGTCATCGTCATCTCCCGCGGTCACGGAAACGTCATCGTCGTTTCGCGATCGCGACAAAATCAAGAACATTTCCCGCGGCCGAGCAGATATCATCGTCGTCTCCCACGGTCACGGAAACGTCATCGTAGTCTCCCGCGGTCACGGAAACGTCATCGTTGTCTCCCGCGGTCACGGAAACGTCATCGTCATCTCCCGCGGTCACGGAAACGTCGTTGTCATCTCCCGCGGTTACGGAAAAGTCATCATCGTCTCCCACGGTCACGGAAACGTCATCGTACTCTCCCGCGGTCACGGAAACGTCATCGTCGTCTCCCGCGGTCACGGAAACGTCATCGTCATCTCCCGTGGTCACGGAAACGTCATCGTTATCTCCCGCGGTCACGGAAACGTCATCCGCGATCGCGAAAAAACCATGAACATTTCCCGCAGCCGAGCAGATATCATCGTTGTCTCCCGCGGTCACGGATACGTCATCGTCATCTCCCGCGGTCACGGAAACGTCATCGTCATCTCCCACGATCGCGACAAAATCATGAATATTTCCCGCCGCCGAGCAGATATCATCGTCGTCTCCCGCGGTCACGGAAACGTCATCGTCATCTCCCGCGGTCACGGAAACGTCATCGTCATCTCCCGCGGTCACGGAAACGTCATCGTCGTCGTCCGCGATCGCGGCAAAATCATGAACATTTCCCGCGGTTTTTTAGACATCACCGTCATCTCCCACGGTCACGGGAACGTTATCGTCGTCGTCCGCGATCACGGCAAAATCATGAACATTTCCCGCGGCCGTGTAGACATCATCGTCGTCTCCCGCGGTCACGGAAACGTCATCGTCATCTCCCGCGGTCACGGAAACGTCGTCGTCATCTCCCGCGATCGCGACAAAATCATGAATATTTCCCGCGGCCGAGCAGATATCATCGTCGTCTCCCGCGGTCACGGAAACGTCATCGTCATCTCCCGTGGTCACGGAAACGTCATCGTCGTCGTCCGCGATCGCGGCAAAATCATGAACATTTCCCGCAGTTTTTTAGACATCACCGTCATCTCCCACGGTCACGGGAACGTTATCATCGTCCGCGATCACGGCAAAATCATGAACATTTCCCGCGGCCGTGTAGACATCATCGTCGTCTCCCGCGGTCACGGAAACGTCATCGTCATCTCCCGCGGTCACGGAAACGTCGTCGTCATCTCCCGCGATCGCGACAAAATCATGAATATTTCCCGCGGCCGAGCAGATATCATCGTCGTCTCCCGCGGTCACGGAAACGTCATCGTCATCTCCCGTGGTCACGGAAACGTCATCGTCGTCGTCTGCGATCGCGGCAAAATCATGAACATTTCCCGCGGTTGTTTAGACATCACCGTCATCGCCCACGGTCACGGAAACGTTATCGTCATCTCCCGCGGTCACGGAAACGTCATCGTCGTCGTCCACGATCGCGACAAAATCATGTACATTTCCCGCGGCCGAGCAGATATTTTCATTGGCTTTCGCGGTTACGTAAACGCAAGACGACAATCGCGGCAAAATCATGAAAATTCCCGACTTTGAAATCAAATTTAAGACTAAATCCCGACTTTTCAAGACCATTTTGAAATTCAATACTAATTCCCGACTTTCCCGATTTTCCCGACTACTAGACACCCTGTTTCTAATTGATTTAAAAACTCATAAAACAAATTTTAAATTTTAAATGTTCATCAACGCTAGGTAATTGTGTTGAATTTTGTGTCAGCTCTAGATGTCCTTGATCTTGTGAATTGTGTATATAGTAATCCCTTTATTTTCTGTTTATGTAACTGCTTAAATGTCCGATACAAAGTGGCAACAAGAAAAAAATTAACTGAATTGTAGTAGGCTAGATGTAATTAAAAAAAGGCATTGAAGTTCTAAAAAAACTAAAATGACAACCCTCAAAAGGTAAAAACTCAATTTAGAACTCTTGACAGTAAAAAAGACAAAATATCTCTTTGCTCGGTTTACCTAAAAAATACAGGGTCATAGTGAGCTTAAAAAATAACAAGGTCGACCATAGTTTCCGTCTAATGTGCCTGACGTTCCACTTGGAATCGTAACTACAAGACTCAGTTTGTAAAGTATGTACCTGCAAAGCCTTCTCCTTGAGTTGAGTCCAGTGGTCGCTGAGGTTGCCGGCCCGCAGTCTGATCTCGTCAGACGCAAAGTGACCTCCGTCCACCATCTGCTGTGCCGAGTGTGACACGGCTGTGATGCGGTGCTCGTGGTTGTTGATCTCAGCCAGCACAGCTTGGTGCTTCTTCATCAGGTTCTGCACTCCAATCAGATCTCGGCCTGCATGGAAAAATCACCATTCGTTTGTCTATTCAATATTTTAATTTTGAGATCCTAAAAATGAACTGATTTAAAATTTGTAATATTGTGCATCGTGGATATCCTTCATTTGATCGAATCCTGTAAGAGCTGATATTTATTAGGTTTAGTTAAAACCACTTACTGTTTATCAACGTTTTGTATCCACATTACGAGGGTACATAAAACACTTTTCATTAAATTTTAGGCAATATGGGAAAATTGCAGTCTCTAAGTACACAATAAACAATCACATAACACAACACTAAAATTTCATACTAGAGTAGGACTTTTTTGTGTAGGAGAGTATATCAATTTTGAATGATTTCTTAACAGGATCTACTAAAAGGTGTCCTGGAACACCAGTGATATTTTATATGACCATTTACTGCCTATCCAAAAGCCCCTTAACTCTAATATTCGTAGGTTCAATAGTTAAACACTATCCAATTCCCCGAACAATCCTTAATCAGCCACTTTACTTTCAATTAGTAACAGTTTTTGTTATTTATTTTATAAGCGCATGTCATGGGACACTCATTACTGACCTCTGTTGGTGGAGGCGGCCACAGGTTCCTTCTCTCGTATCCAGGCTTCCTCATCCTCAATGTCTCTGAACAGTTGCTGCACCTGCAGTGAGTCCAGCAGACGTTGCTTCCTCAGACTCATCGGCTTCTGGAGTTGAGCGTAACGCTCACACAATGCCTCCTACACAAAGCATCATACCATTGGCCCATTAGCTCATGTAAAGGAGATTCATTAACGTTTTGTATGATACACAAAGATTAGTTTTCTTAACAAATAGCAACCAAAAATAATTCACATGACTAGAGCAGGCACGTCAATACAGTACACTTTTGTACTGTACTTGTCACATTTGTAACATATTCAGCATAATTTAAATTAAAACTTTGACATTATTTTCTATTTTAGTTCCTGTTTAAGGTATGACGCCCATGTGGTTGGGAAAATACACAAAGTTAAGAGAGGACGCTAATGTTTCCTTAGACATATTTAAATTTTAAAACAAAATGTTGATGTCCAGATCAAGGCATTCAACATTATTGGTGTGATTTTAGCTAGAAATTAATATAGGAAAACACATCACACTGACCTGTTTAGCCCTGATGTTGTCGGCGTCAAAGTGTCCGTTGTCCACAAACTGTTGAGCGTTCTGTTTGATGCCTTCGATTCTGTCCTGGTGAGATCCAACATCTGCCTCCAGCAGAGCATGCTTCTTCTGCGAGTTCTGCACACTGGTGAGGTCCTGAACAACAAAAGCCAACTGCATTGAAAGCTATCCAAAAGCCCCATGATCGGAAGCTGTTCATTATATAATGTTGGTGCTCTGTGTTCATGAAAAAACGTTTTACAAAAAAGTCTGTCCGTGTACAGCAAACGTGCACTGAATTTTAATAATTTAGTTTAATTGTAGCTTGCTCTGATGATGGATTGAGGCAATGCATCCAATACAGTCAGGTCCTGTAGCTCTCATACACTGTTCATCTGCAAGTTAATCTATGTATCAATTCCTACTAGTTTAGTTGAACAATTGAAGAGTAGGAATGTTTACCTTGCCGTAGTCCTCGCTCATCAGTTGTCCCTCCACCTCAGACAGCCACAGCTCCACGTCCTCCACTGTTCTGTTGAACGTCTGCTGTTGAGAAGCCTCCTGTAGCTTGGAGCCCTTCTTGTCTGTAGCAGCGGCCAGGGTCTCCCACAACTGTACGATCTCATCCATACGAGACTGTATGCGATCTGTCAATCACCAGTTATTAGAACCACAAACTTAATTCAAGACTAAACGTTTAACATCATGTAGTTAAAACAACCACTCAATGGAAACAATAGATGATCCAGCTTGTACACACTACCATAGACTAACCAACAAAAGTAGACTTCTCATCCCATTGTAAATTTTGAAGCACGTTTTTTGTGTCTATTTCATGTACGTGACACATGGGCGTTTGTGTCGACGAAACTTTGTTTCTATTATTTTAGGGTTTATTTCTTGATTTGTGCTTTACTGTTTGGTTATATAACTAGGGGACGAGTTATTGTTTATGATTAGATCGTATTATTTGGTTAAACGAGGTTTTAAATGGCTGTAATAACGGGAAACAAATTGTAAACAAAACACGACCTCTACATAAACCGTACAGAACTAATAATAAAATTGTCTTCAGCTGTTCCATAAGGATGAGAAATCTATTAAGGGAGTATGTTTTATCTATGACACTACATAAGGTTTGCCACCTTTGGATTGGGAAAAATCGGGACAGACCCCCTCCCCCACCTGTAATAACATGGACATAAACACGGGCACAGCTGACCGTGATAACTGCATCTCCCCTTAGAAAACTTGGATTGTATAAAAAACTCTTAATTTCTTAAGGGATTGTTTTGAAAATAAAACTACCACAAATGCATCTCTAGAAAAACAGACTACAGTTTTTTCTTCTTGTTTACTAAATACTCGACAAGTCAAATATGTAACACTTATTACTATTAAAAACTAACTCTTTTTACCTGTGGCATAGTGACGAGCTTCAATCAATTCTTGTCCGGTGGAAGTGATCTCTTCCATTCGGGACTTGTTAGCGTTTAATTCTTGTTCAAAGTTCTGGTGTTTTTGAACTTTTCCATTCAGGTTTGTAGGGTCCTGAGACAATCATAAATTTTGTAAAAATAACTACAATTGAATAAATAGTTAGCAACTTAAAAATAGGGTAAATGTTAACAGGGTTGCCACCATAGTCGGATGATAAAATTCATGCAGAATTCATTGTTTTCATTGGTAGATTCAAACAAATTCATGGTCGATGCGCTTATACAATTTCAACACAATTGAGTTTTGCTGATTTCATAAACTGACGTTAAAGAGGCAGTTTCTTTGTGTGTTACTTTTCAATAACCTTTCATACTTAATGTAGAACATACAACTTTTTTAGGGTGATTTATAAACATTCAAAACAAAGTTGAAAACAAGACAGGTCTAGCTATTCTATATGAGATATTGGAGAAGAATTGTAAAATACATTAAGTCTAGGTCCAATTCAGTCTTTCCACCGGAATAAAACAAAAATCCCACTCACACAGCCAAAAAAGTCCGGTTTTATCCCCCTACATAATTGTCATAAAATGTGCATTCTGGTTTATCTTATTCCACAACGTAATATAATATGATGGTTTTATCCAAAAAGCTAAAAAAATCAGGCGTCAGAGTCGGAAATTTGGTTCTATTGCGCTCCCCGTTTCAATTCCGTGCATGGTCTAAAACTTCTGTTTTTGTGATTTAAGTCCCCATTCCCCTTTTTCATACGCAGGGGTTGGCCTACTAATGATTTTTCGAACCATATACAGTCCTCAGGAAGTCTCAGCTGACTTCAGCATCTTTGGATGACTTGGAACGAGCTAAGCAATTGTTTCTGATCGTGGGACATGTTAAGTAATCATCTCCACACAGTATTTTCATGGTGTTTGTCTCTATGAACTGTTTTTAAATATGAAATATTTGTTATTTGGAAAATTTAATGGTACTGGTTGAATAATTCTTCCTGATTTTGAAAATTCATGGTCCATTAGAGAAATCCATGCATAATCCATGCCTTTTTTCATGGTCACAAGAATTCATGCATAATTCAAGCTTTTCAAGGTTTTCATGGCTGGTGGCAACCCTGTGTTATGAATCTTCTGGAATAGACTAATTGGAATAAATTTATACAAAATATTAGTTTGTTAGCTAATTACAAGTGTACACAACTATGCACTTATATTTTACCCTAGTAGCACTTAGACCTATAATGTGGTCGAATCATTGGTACATTCTTTTAAATCACACAACCTAATCTCTTTTGTCGTAAGTATTTTGTAAACAACAAATTGTCTTTATTTTAATTTTCAGCTAATAATAGCTCAAATTAAAACATTGATACAACATGTTAATGTTTAAGGATTTTGGTCAGACTAACCCGAATGAGAAAAAGTCCACTCTAGCACAGGAAACACAAAAATGAGAATATTTGCTGTCACTGACAGCACTTTCAAACAAGAGTGAGTTAAGTTGGTGAGAGATGAAGACTGGGATCTTTTCCATACATCATGTTATCCTTACTAAAATCTAAAACCTATGCCCTAGTGCTCTATAAACATTCAAAAGTGTTTACAACAAAAGATCATCTTATTACTGCAAGAAAGGAAATATTGACAACTTAAGGTAAACAATTTTCATTGATAGTAGCCTTACAAAATTTTAGTTAAACTACTTATCATAAAACTGCGTACCAAGTAGCTGTCATCTGTAGCAAACTTGAGTTTCTCGTTGATCCAGCCCTTGGTCTCGTCGCAGTCTCTCTCAAACTGTTGCAGTCTGTACGCGTCCTCCAGGATGGCTCGTCTCTGTGAAGACTTCTCCAGCAGAACAGAGCGTCTCTCCAGCAGCTGCCAATCACAAAGCATTCACAAGATCAATGTTGTCACTGATCAATGGTTTTGTGTTAAATTACAAAGCTACATACTCAAGAGCACAATGTGAGATCTTAAATGCTGATTGAAAAAGATACTAAAATTTGGACAAAATACATATTGCTGTAAAATGTCTTCAAAAGATAACCATGATGATAAAATCAAAAATGTTTAACACTGATTTAAAACTTATGTTTGTTTTTTTTTATCCAGTAATTGGACCTGGGAGTGTACTGATCAAACTGATGATGGCATAGCCTGTTGAAAACACAATTTGTTGTTATGAACTTAGCAACACCATAATACCGTTCACACAGTTAATATCATACTGTTCTATATGTGCATACCATATTATTCCTTTGAATAAAATACAAAGGTAAAGAGCGACAATTTTGTGAAAAATGAAAATGGTTTACAACACTACTGAGAACAAAAGTTGTATCCTTCACAATAATAAAAAACCTACATTTGAGATAGGCCAATTTTTTATCTATGAAAATGTAGGCTTAGCTCTGAAATTTGTTCAACAGGATACACAGTGATTGCAATATTTGATATTCTATTTGATAGTCTAAATTTGTTCATAAAACGACAACTATCAACTCACCATAGCTCGGCGCTGCGCCACATCGTCTGCAGCGTAATGCTGGCCCTCAATCAGTTTGGTGGCAAACTCATCCAGAGCTTTGATCTTCTCTTCCTGAGCGGCCAAAGACTTCTCAAAGTCCTCGTGTTTCTTGATCAAAGCTTCGACTGAGTCCAACGAGTCGCCCAAGTCTTCATTGGCAAGGAAAGCCTAACGAATCAAATAAATTATTTACACAAATGTTTTTTAATTAGATAGGCCAGTTATCACTACCAATTAAGGTGGGGACGAAACTGGGCACATTTTAATACATATGTTCGAAGGTGTAGAAAGGCAGCTAGGTTTGGTTTCCATATATTCAAAAGCTATTGACTTTACTTAATTATAGAATCGACAAACTTCTAATTACTAGTACCAAAAAGATGAATAACAATACTATATCAACAAATTGAGTAAAATAACCTAAAGGTGTTTTCAATAGTACTTAAAACAAAAACACCAAATGTGTGTGTACAAATAAAAGTTAAGGATATATGCTTTAAAATATTGATCTATATAAAAAATTAGATTGTGAGTTGAGGTTCTAGTTTCATAATGTAATTTTAACAGGTTTATCTGGGAACAATAAGTATCTTCATGCTAAAAACTTTAATGGCTAAAATATTTACAATACTATAGCTGATCATGAGAGGATTGCAAAAAATCCTGGGAATATTGACAACTAAAAGACTAATGTCAAAGGCTGGCTGCCACTGTTCTCTTACCCAGGGATCATGAAGACCTTAAGTTTTTCCCTTCAAGAAAAATTGTAATGAATATTGTTGCTAGCAAGTTGAGGCCTACCTCCTGCTTGGCCATCCAGGTGTCGGCTTGTTCAGTGTCCCTGTAGAAGAGCTGCAGGTCCATGCACTGCTCGTACAGAATACGCCTTTCCTCCCACATCTGCAGCAGGGATGTCTTCTCTGAAGCCAACACCACCAGCTTCTCCTTCACCTCCTCCGCAGCATAGTGCTGTCTCTCCAACAACACCTGGCCGGCCTCCGCTGTGCTGCGGAAACTGTCCTCCCTTGCGTCAATCTCACCCTGCACACCACAGATATACTTGATACAAATAGCATTTAAGATCTGGGAGTAAAATTAAAAAGCATAGCCTACTCATAAATATTCCAAGGAAATGCAAACCCTTAACTCTTTATTAATAGATCTCCCTTTGGAAGGTAGGCCAACAGCATGGCTATAAACAGAATGTAGTAATAATGTACTGTAATAAAAAGTAGCCAATACTGATACTCTAAGACCTTACTGGGTGTGGGAGGGAAGGCTTATGTATATTCAAACATTTTATGGAGATGGGGTGGGTAAGCAAGAAGGTTAGAGTGAGAGAGGGACCTCTGACCGTAGCCCAACCTAACCTTATGGGCAAGTTAGCTTCCAAGCATTCACACTACACACCAATCCAGAATTACTTTTTGAAAACTTTGGTTACGTATCCTGTGACTCATATCAGTGTCAATAACCCTATCATTGTGAAGTCCCAGGGTACTAAGAAACCCATCATAACCCCTTACCACTCCTAAGTCTCCTCCACAGCCACAACACAACCATCCTGTGTGGCCCTTATGATTCCTGCCGGACATTCTTATCATCCAACCTGATAACCCTCACCTTGTGTTCCTGGTGTCGCTCTATCAGAGCCTCAGCACCAGCCACATCCTTGGCCAGCTCGTCAGCGGAGATGATCGCCTTCATGTCATTGATCCAAGAGATAAGGTCTCTGAAGTCCGCCAGGAAGCGGTGTAGACAGTAGCTCTCGTCCAGCTTCTGTCGGCGTTCCTTGGCTTTAGCCGTCAGACGTTCCCAGTAGGCAACAATCTCGGCACGTTTTGCCTGCCAATCAAAAAATCAATCAATTAATCTTTATTCACATATATATTGAGTACAGTATTGGGTCAAGACTTAACCTCATTATTATACATGTCCTTTGAGTTACAATATGTATTTGGAATGTATATACACAGCGTATAAGGAAATCAGTGGTTCATTGTGTGTTCCTCCATTCGAGAAACTCCTGGTCAAGTATATTGTTCACATGTTCTGATATCAACATTTCAATTGATCCCAATTTACTAATTTTAATACTACATACAAGTCTGGACTATATATTTAATTATATGCTTAGTGAGAAATGTCTTGAACACTTGTTCCAAAAATAACTTATAAAGTAAGTGACACAGCAATTTAAGCAAAGTAAGTGACCTACTAAATTTAATTCTTTACTAAAAAAAGAAATCAAATAATAAATCAATACTAATAGCAATGCCATGGACTTTTACAACTAATTCAACACAAACACTGCTCTTTGATACCTACACTGTAAAGCTTTCTGTATTTAGAACTGTGCTTTTTCACTGGAATTGTAAATCTTAAATGTTTGATAAAACTCAACTATACTGTTTCAGTAAAACAAGTGTGATGACCTAATCGTTTCACACAGAGACGAGCATGTCAGGTGTAGGTGTAACATACCTGTATCTGATCAGCGTGGTCCGCATGGATGCCACACAGACGGTCAGCCTCCTGTCCCAAAGTGACTACCTTGTCCTCTAGAGCAGCCAAGTCCCTCTCCACTCCCTCGTGTTTGCGCTACAACATACAGCATACACATTACCATGTTGTATTATCGTAAACGTAGAAAATTAGAGCAAAGGAACTAACAGGTACACAATAAAAGCTCACTTAACAGTGTGAATTTTACCAATAAAAGCTATAAAATCATAAGCACAAAAATAAACAGCAAAATATTCATTGTGAAACAACTCTACTACAAAATCAAAACCACATATTGAGTTTATTTTAAAATCTGTGTAAGAACTAAACCGAACTAGTACAAAACCATAGAGAAACTCATTGACATGAGAACCACCACACAATAGTTAGCTAAATTAACTAAGAAACAACAGTAGTTCAAAGTATAGTGAAAAATTAATAAGATATGATTCAAAGGTACACTTAACATAGTAATGAACATTATTTGTTTAGTTTTATGGATCAGGGTGTCTACTAAATTCTGGATAAAAAATTCATGGACAATTCCCGTACATTTAAGGACCTTTGTCAGTGTGATTACAGAATAATATTCCTGATTTGTCAAACTGTATTAATCTTGTTCTTCACTGTAGTTGTTCCAGAGAGAAAAGTAAATAATAATAGACAAGAATGAAATTTCAAAATAGAAACTTATTGAAAGTAAACAAACATATACTTTAGGTACAGCTTTTATAGTGTAACAGAAAAACGCAATCATTGTCTCCTGCAATAGCGACAAAATCCTAAATATCTCCATCGGTCACGGAAACATCATAACATAGCTTATCCGATCCAGGCGGATTAATTTGGCATTATTCAACCTGGCACAATGTTAGGTTCTCGACTACTTAAAAAAAAAAAATCTTTAATGCATAATGAATATATTGTAACTCGGTTCTAGGTACAAAATCGGTATGGTAAGCAGCTACCAGTAAGCACAGAGTAAGATTATTGTCTTTTCATCTGCAAAGTTAATATCGACACATAGCAATCATTAGTTTACCTTAGGCTCAATTACATTTTCTTAGTATATTTTACAGCTCTTTCAAAGAATCAAAATACCCAGGCCTAGGTCTAATTATTTAGGAGGGCCTATATAAACTGAGTAACAAACAATGAGGTTATAATATCAGCAAAGTCACTACAATATCATCATTCTAGTTCATAAGATTTAGATTGCTTAAAGCATACAACGCAATAAATAAATATGGGAAATAAAAAAAATTGAAACCTGAATGCCAACAATGTACAAAGATACAGAAAATGCAATGACATAATTTGAAACCAAGTAGGCCTACGTAGTGATAAAAAATTAATGCAAACGACAATGCTTGTGGTTTTGTCAATTGAAAGATAAAATATTCATAAAAAAGGGTTTAACTTACAAAATAAGACTGTAGAATAGTTACATGTTTTATATGAAACCATAAACAGTTTTATGGCACTAGGCAATGGCCAGCAGCAAATTGAATCTTCAAGACGAAAGTACAAGTAAGAAGTGAAATTTAACAGCCATTATAAAACTATTATTTCCATCATAAAATATGTTTGGGATCTAATAATGATTACCTTAGTAATAAATAAAGAAGTTGTAAAGGAATAAAAGTGATAGGCCTACAACTTTTATGAGCTAAGCTACTACTGAGTCAACAGTTCTTGGAAGTACTTGACTTGACACTTGATTGTCGTGATAAAATATTAATGGGTTTGAGACTGCTAATGGGGTTTTTATTGCATAATTACTCTAGTAATAAATTATGAAAATGTAAACAAACATCTGATAAACCTTTTATGTGCTCCTAACCAACTAGCGATCGATAAAATTATGGTCCATTAAAGATTTAAGGACAGTCTGGCATTTAAGGACAATTCCCTTACATTTCATGGCCAGTAAAAAAATAAGTGCAATTCCCGGTTTTCCCGGATTTCCCGGTTGGTAGACACCCTGATAGATACATAATAAATTACCTAGTTTAACCATCAAACTCACCTGTAGTGTTTGCACTGTGGCAAGATCTCTGCCGTAGTCATCAGAAGAGAGAACAACGTCCTTCTCGGCGATCCAAGCAACAGTCTCGTCAGCGTCTCTGTTCAGTCGCTGGATCTCGTGTGCTCCAAACAGTTTCTCTTGTCTCATCAACGCCAGCTGCTTCAGCCGCATCCACGCTTCAATCAGCTCCTGTCAGCAGAAAATGTCATTTTAGTAATACAAAACAATAGTAAATTATTTACAACCATTGATTTGTTGACAATTAAAAAGACACACATATAGATTTTCTTGATAGATTCTTAAAAATAAAAATATTACATTCTGTGTCAATTTTGCAAGTTTTGTAACGTAATATAATTTTCTGTGCAAACTGCAAACTAAAGTTTATAAGATTTATATTTGTACATGTATGATTTAGAAGGTGATGGTACCCCCAGAAAAATATACCTGAAAACATGCTTCATAATCTATGCTTAGCTATAATTTTAGCTTTATGGTTATTTACTAGCCTTTAAATAGCAATAGCAATATTTAAAAATTTGCCTGAGTGAAATTATTTTTATAAAAATTATTCATCCAAAAAGTGACTCAAATTAAGACAAAACCAATTGATTTTCTTCATGTACGTACACACATAACACAGTACCATAGAATTCTAAGAACATCCAAATACTCTCTTAACAAGTCAAGAAGTTAATCCAGTCACAAACCTCTTTGCGCTTCAGTATGACGTCTCTCTCTGGGTGTCCATCCAGCACCAACTTATCAGCCAACTCATTGACCTCAGTAACTCGATACTCTTGAGACGCCATGTCCTTCTGGAACTCGTCGAACTTGCGCTGGAGAACCTCCACATGTTCAAGGTCGTGGCCAAACTCATCCGTGGTGACAAATGTCTCCTGTCAACCAAAAGTTATTCTGTTAATCAACTTTAAATTTGCTTTGGTTACAGCTTAACCTTGGAACAATAATTACTTACAAAGCTAGCAGCAAGTCAAACAAACAAAACTGACAAATTTGTACAAACCCTATTAAGAGTTTAAGTCATCTAATCAACTCCCATGAAATCAGCAGCTTGTCCTAACGCATTCACCTATAAATTGCAAAAATAACAGAAGTACGACAATGAGTCACTTGAGCAAGTCAGGTAATCCAATTTAAGATTATTAAAAACACACAAAAACACACATGTCATGAATATGACAAGAATTGAACTTACACTACATCACCTGCTCACAACATGACAATGGACATACCTTGTCATTGATCCAAAACATGACTTCGTCGCATTGTCGCAAGAACTGCACCAACACCAGAGCCTGCTGCAGCTTCATACCCTTCTCTGCCAGCTTAGACAACAGCAGTTCCCACAGTCTGTGCAGCTCCTCTGCAAAACACCACACAAACAGTTCAAAATTTCTATCTACAAGGGAGGTGCTATCCTCCCATTACTTGCGTCCCATGACCCACAGCGTACTACTGTAATATGCATTTATATGTACGTTATTTGTGGTAGTGGACTTCAAAATGTAAAAAGTTTGGGGTTTTGATTGAAAACTAACTTAACTTTTTATGTCTAAGCCAGCGGAATTTTCACTTGAAGAGTTACGAGAGAAAGTACTTAATTTCTTTTAGAGAAACCCATGTGTTGTGGATATGCCGGGAATTTAACTGTCCCTCCCGCACCAAAGTCTGAGATGCTAACCACTAGGCTAGCAACACACCAAACATCTCAAGTAGGATTGAAAACAGAGAAACCTACGACGGCCCTGAAGGGACATTCCAGTTTCTTTTTGTCTTTCATTCACTTCAACTTTTATCTCGAAATATTTCGACTTTATTTTCGAAGTACTTCGAAATTATTCTCGAAGTATTTCGACTTTATTCTCGAATGTGCTTATTATAGTTTGTTATAATTTTACGGCAACCACAACCCAACTAACTGTTGATGTAGGGGTGTTTCTGCTGTAGAAATATTTTTGATAAGAATTGGCAGATAGAAAGGGGTTTGAGCTTTAGGTCACATAATGGAATATGACATTAATGAACTGATTGAACAATATTTCAATCAATATTTCAATATTTTTTTAGTTTAGGCCTTCAACAGCCTGAAATGCTTGCAATTCTTTTATTGAAGCATAACATTTGCATAAGTGAGCGGACACTTAAAAGGTATACCAAGAAGCTCGGACTTCATAGAAGGAAACACTTTTCTGATATTGACTCTGTCAAGGATTTTATTAGGTCTGAGTGCGGTGCGACAGAGACGAGAGACAGTGAGACAGCAGACAGAGAAAGAATTAGAAACAGAATAGAATGAACGTATTCGTATTGAAGTTGAGTTGAAGTAAAACTAGACTAGATAGAAATGTCGAAGTACTTCGAGAAAAAAGTCGAAGTAAAATGAAAGACAAAAAGAAACTGAGTGTCCCTTCAGGGCCGTCGTAGAAACCCTATCATATTACAGTAGAACCCCTAATATCTGGACTCTGAATTTCTGGTCCTCAGTTTATCTGGTCACATCCCGGAATTGATACCAAAAATATTTCCCACAGCTGAACAAGTAGTCTCTATGATTTGGACATGGTCACGGTTTATCTGTTTCCTGTTCATATACATTTTTAGCAGGTTTTCTACTCAGTTGAGCAAGTAGATTCCAAAAAGAGACTTAAACATTACTTTTAACCAATCACAAGTTGTTAATTTAAAAATTATCGTTTTAATAATAGGTTGGTTTATCCGACCAAGTGGTCGGTCCCACACAGGCCAGATACGACGAGTTTTACAATAATGATTTTTAGCATGTTTACAATGGTTTCTTATTATTTTCGGGTTACCCAGCTTTACCACTTATCCAATCCCTCTACATCCGGTTCCGGTAAGTTAATCATTTACATTGGTCAATCTGTTTTAATTACATCAATAGACAAAAATAGAAAATAAAGAAGTACCTTTAAAAACATTCAGTTGACATAAGTTCATTATTATAAGTGAAAACTAACAATTATTGTTGACTTCCAGTATGGGGATGTTTTGAATCAAAAGAATAGACCTACTAATGATATTTCATCCAACCAACATCTGAATTGTAACTAAAACTTTTTAAACAGAAAATTAAATACTGTATGTGTGATAACATTTACCAAGCCTCTTGCGGATGATGTCGGAGGCGAAGTGGTTCTGGTTGATCATCTCTTTGCCGGTGTTGTCGAGCACTACGATAGCATTGCTGTGCGCTGCAACCTCTGCCTCAAATGCTTGGTGCTTCTGGATCTTAGCCTATAACACCCATCCCTCAGGTCAGTAAATAAATATTGTACTAAATTAATTAATATCCTTAATTAAACATATCAATATGGAACTATAAAAAAATTCTGTCTGTTATGTTAGCGCTCTAATGGATGATAGTAATTTTATTTTATTAATTAATAACAGCCATAACTATGTAATTCAATGTAAAAACTACTTAATTACATTTGCATTACTAAGAAAGCCTAAATAGTCGTTTCAGTTTTCTTTTGCTTTTTTGTTTTTTTGTTTTTGCTGAAAAGGTTTTAAGGCAGTTGCCAGTTTATTAAATCCCGTTTTTCAATAAACTTGTGTAGCCTTTCAGTATCTGCAAATATTTCCAGATTCAGATGGGAAACAGTTCTAGTTTCCATTTGTGGACAGTCACATTTTGTGTGATGATATAGTTGATCATCGATCATATCGTTTACAATAGAACCTGAGAATAAACAATTTTTAACCTTCCAGACTATGCAATTTAATGTTAATGTAATGTAATTTAAGTTCCACTGTTTAAACAAACATGCTGGTAAAGCTATTCTAATAGTTTTATTTAGAAAAACATAGCTTCTACAGATAAACTATTGAAAATAAATAAATGTTCTTGATTTGATATATCGACACTCCTTCAAGAGACAATAATGTTAATTTTCCATTTCATTGTCAATATTGCCTTTACCTGCAGATTTGTAGGATCTTTGTAGCTCTCGTCTGAAGCAGCTTGGAGCTTCTCGTAAATCCATGATTCAAGTTCGTCAGCATCTCGTTTAAAATACTGCAAGGAAAAAGATAATGTTAGGCAAAAATTCTATTTCAAAAATATATACAGTATATTGAGTAAATCACATCAGGGGACTAAATTCAATAGGAAATCAAGAATGTAAATGGTAATATAAAATTACTTTCTCACTAAATCACAATATTGAAGATTACCTTGAGTTAAGTTTTGTAGCCTGATCCGAACTCCAAATTATTTTTCACACCATTAGGCCTACCTATTGCTAGCGTTTATTTATTGATAAAATAAACGTTCTCATGATTACCTGGAATCGGCGAGAGTCTTCAAGTTTCTCGCGCTTGGCACGAGCCTCAGACTTAAAGTCACTGTATCTCGTGAGGACTTGTTCTCTTCGCTCCTGGATGTCCTCAGCAGTCTCTAGGATCCTCACCTCCTTGGGTGTGATCTGATCCATCTTGTCCTTAACACAAAGTTAAAAGCATTTTTAAATAATGAAACTTAAAAAAAGGACAAGACTAGGCTAGCCAAAGTCATAAAGTGACTGTATGGGTGTTTAAAGTATGTCAGTTATGGTTAAATTTGGGCAGACTGAATGCAGGAAAGAAATAACATACATAATCAAACTGGTAGATACTTCATGGTTAAAATGTTTATTTTTATATAGACTATTTATTTGCTTGCACATATTCGAAAAACCCTGGGAACATCAATCAATCAATTTTTAAGATGGGGACGCCACTATGTGCGTATTTTAACCCAAATATGAGTGAAGGATGAGTGTAGGATGAGTGGCGCGATCTTGTAGTCTTGTTAGCGGCTAAGACCGACGTTCCTTAGACACAGCTGTTAATTAATAGCCCATACAGCTTATGACAACTAACAGACCTACAGTTTATAGTGGATTCCGAACCAAATTTGTCCTTGTAATTAACAAATTGGTCTAATTATCAGGGTGATACTGCGGATAGTCATAGTACTCACTAGTGCGGACGTTAATCCACACCATGGGGCATCGCATCCACAGTGCATGCCTATTAATATCCACAAGGCCTACAAACAAGTAAATCAGTCCGGGACCTAGTTCTTACCATAAGATCTATGGTAATAGTTTATTCCCAATAAGATAAAATCAATAAAAGAAGTGGAAACATAATTTTAGTTTTATTTTAAGGGAAGGTAGTGCAAATTTTAAGTCTACCTACATTATGAAAAAAAAATAAATAAACCCTTCAACTGGCAGTGCGACTAAAGGCTAATAGTTGAACGTAAGTTGGTGTCTGTAGTGGCGGAGACTATAATAGTTGCGTTTGGTTAGTTTTTTCTTTACTCCAAGTAAATATGGTTGAAAACAGTTAAATTGAATTATTTGTATTGGCCTGCCAATTGAAAGACAAAATTCAAAACTTCCATTTAACTTAATAAATGAAATTGTATTACAAATGGACCAATTAAATTTAAGCTTCGCATTCAAGTGAACAAAAATGTTGAGCCAAGTCAAGTCAGATGCAACATGAACGCCACAAAACTGCCAAAATACAGTATTTTTCAAAGAAATTAGAGCAAGTGGGATATTTTTACAAAGAAACAGGTGGTATCACTGCAACCGGGGGAAATAAATAGAGCAGAGTGACTATAATAGTCACAGTCATAAAACATGTTTTTTTTTCAATAGTTGTTTAAATGGAAAAATAATGTATAAACTATTTATAGTGAGTGGGGATTTTTATTTAAATGTAGAAAATGATTTAGAAAAATAATTTGGCAAGAGTGATGCTAATCATATGTCAATTGATGGCAAGACAACACTCTAATCACAATTACTTACATGACATCACAAACCATTTACAAAATTATAATATGTAGGCTCTTGTAACTACAAAGCAATAATGTATTCCTGTAATCAATTTTAAGTTAAAAAAAAAAACATAACTGTATTGCTTACAAAAAACTCACAATTTGTCTGCTGATTTTTAAAGTCATAATTTAGATTTTTTGTGCTAGACAAAATTTAGGAATTTTAATTTTTGATGAAGTAATTAACCATGAAGTCTTAATCCACAAGAAATTCAAGTTTATAATGTAGGTATACCTTTCCCAAAAAAAAAAGAGTAAACAAAAGAATAAGCTTATTAATAAGTAGGAAATAAGTCTTCAAACAATTTTTTTTTATGAACGAACAATTTTGATACAACTAAAGATAAGATATGGGAGTTGTGTTTGAGTAAGTTACAAGGTTTTTAACTCTTAAATTATAGAGCTTTGTAGCTTTAGGTATGTTTAGTTAGAGAAAAAAAATATGTTGCATACGTTTGACATTTAATAATTAGGCTGATGGTGTAAGATTTTTTAGCCCTAGATTACTAACCATTAAGTAAATTTTATAACTATAATATTTTATACTAGAGAATCCGTGCGGATCAATGAGCCGCATAGTATGAAACATAACTCCGAGGAAAACGTTATGCTTAAATTCGAGTAATTCTAGTTACATCTTAGAGTTGTTTAAACACTTGTTAGTTAAACTAATTTTAAATATCTCTATTTGCGTTGTAAAAGGTTCACCTACATTATTTCTGCTCTCAGTTTTAACTGATAACTTCTAATGAATGCTAAACGATCTGCTTCAATTCGAGTAACATGTTACAAGTTAGCCTGTGTTAAGTAATTTAAGTTTGGGTCATTTTATTAATTTCATTTGAGGCTTCCCTCTAATCAAACAAATTTTCTCCATAGAGAATCCTGAAAAGTTGGGTGATATCAACCATTTATGTGCTCCATTTTTACCCACAAACTCTGGGTTACCAACGGGACAGCCATAATCTGCTTTGAATAGGCTAAAGCAGCAACATCATTGAAAGTTGGTTACCTAACGTATTTTAACAGGTTGTCTATCAGTAACAGTATATGCCCCGCATCAGAAAGTTCTCACGTTGTTCAGTGGATTTCCTCTTTTTATACCTCTCCCAGAGGTTTGAAAGTATGGATTCATATGTCGAATTAGGTTGGATAACTCTTGTAGCTATAAAATTTGGATATCAATTTTCATTTTCTCTTTTTGAAAAGCATATTATTTGCCTCTCCTGAATAATATAAATAAACTTGACAGTAACTACTCGATCGTTAAATACATACACACTAATTCCTTCACTTATGTTTGGTAAATATTGCCACTATTACTTTCAATAGCAAATGACCAATTTCAACGTTAAGGTGTAAAAAGATTGTGGCATTATTATAGTTTCTTCTAAATGTTTTGAAATTTCTTGATCTGTCAGTGTCAGAAGTAAACATTTCTTGCATGCATTCATTTGATTATTATTTAAATTTATTTAAATTTTTCGGCGAGTATAGGTTGCCATTCAAGCAGTCGGGAAAATGGCGCCCGGCAACCTAAACTCGCCATTTGAACGCAAATATAAACATTTTTTGTTTTTTTTTTGGCAAATTTCCCTATAGGGAAGTAGCTATTACTGTAGGTCTCATGGTAAGACTTAAGCCCGGGACCGATTTCCTTTTCGTTTTAAGGTCCCCAGAGGCCAAAAGCACTATTCGTTCAAATTTTTATATATGTATATATAAGTTATAGGCCTATTTAACTTATGTGTCCGTGAACGCGATACCTAACTTGAGTAGACTAATTTTTGTTCGATTTTGGTGAAATTTGGTTTGAAGTGTAAGGCGGGATAAACTTGAATGAGTTCGAGAACCGATCAGACGATGAGAACAGGTTTCACAGGGGGTTTTGTGGGTTAAAAATTTGTTTTTCTCATTTTTTACCATCAAAATACAAAATTTCCTAATTTCTCACTAGACAATTTTAAAGAGCTTAAAAATACAAATAATTTAGTATATTGAAGTGTTTTTGTGCAGTTATTAGTTACAGAGAAGATAAAAAAAATAAAATTGAAAATTCTTTTATTGTTATTCTTATGGAGAATATTGTAAAATGTTGTAGTTCGCTTGTTTATTGATATATTTTGTTCAAGCTTGGCAAATTTATTTATTTGATACTAAGCTATTGATATTTTACCAAAAACACACTATTTCCCTGTAGCAGCAAACCTAGGTACTCGTTAAACCTAGGCCTAATGTTATTTAAATAGATTTAATTGAAAATCAATTCAGGCAAATGGAAATTCGCTTAGACGGCAGGTTTTCTGCGGTTCCTACGTACAACTTGCAGAAGACTGTTTGGACCTATGGACACTTCGTCGTAGGCTATCTCATGTTTTGTATATGTTGATTTCCATTATGAGTTGTGATAAAAATCTTTATTTTAGGTAATAATTATTTGATTTTTATGACATAAAATATTTTGAGTTAAATAATATAATACATAATTTACATTACTAATGAAGTTCCGTTGCATATTGCTCAAATGTTGCTTCGAAAGTGTATGTGCACTGAGTATTGTTCAGTTCTTTTATCAAAAATTTGTCTTTAGCCTGTTTAGAATTTTTAAATTACTATAACAGCTGACGATTTTAAGGTAATCCATTGCATTATATAAATAAACATCATTCATTTCTGTTCTTCTTGAAAACATGACTTTTATTTTTCTCTCTTAAATTTTTCATTAATTTAAAACACTCCACAAGTACGGTATAATGTAGACGAATTTACACGTTCTTGGCATTACGTTCTAAGCAAGCCCGATTATTTCTCTTACGATTTAATCAAAAGACATTATGTAGACAGAAATTATTGAAGGGTAGGCTATATATAGCCTACCCTTCAATAATTTCAATAATTTAAAAACTTGAATTCAATAGTCAAGATTTATGAGAAAATAAAATTTCCTTAGTAGGCCTAAGTTTATACTTATATGTTTTTTTTTTTATTTTTTCTCCAATTTTATTGACTTGTATTTAAAAGTCAAAGAGCTAATAGGCCTTAATTACAATATTTTTATCATGTTAAAACTGGTATAAAAGAGCTAAAATTAGTTTCCATGCTCTTTTTATAAAACACAAACACTAAGTTAATTAGTATAAATCTTTTGTATAAAATGTATGAATAATCTATCTAATACGTGAAGCCGTTTTTTGTTAACCCAACTCCTCCCTTATTTGTGGACCATTTTCAACTTTTAAGGTGTCAAAAGATTCCTCTCAGTAGGGATGTAGCCTAGTTTTGCAATAAGGTTTTAAAATTCCTACTCTTAAGGGCGTGAGACCCTCTCAAAGGTCAGGTTTTCCCCATAAGAAATACACAGAACAAATTTTAAAACAAAAAACAGCTGTTTATAACAAGAAACTCATTAGCTTTTTGGGAGTAAATGTTATTGTTCGTGATATTCAGTAGGCTAAGACTAAGTTAATCAGTTAACACGTTCGCGGCGGCATGGGAGCGATCGCTCCCATACGGAACCGTAATGCCATCCTGGTGGGTGCGATCGCTCCCAAGCTGCAATGCAGTACGAAATGATTTATTTTTAAGCCAGGATTAGAGCTTGAAACTTGAAACCTCGCACAGCACTGCTCAATAGTATACTGTATTTTGTTGTGGTGTTGGTTGGTAGTAAATCATCCCGTAAATCCCCGTCTGGCAATCTCAAAATTCTACTTTTGTCCCGTCTTTTTCCCTCCATTTGGCAATACAATTCCAATGGGACCGGCTACGTTACAAGCAGTGCTGATATCTGTTGGTGTTTAGCGAACTACGTCGACTCTCGTTGTAAAGCAGGACATCCTCGCACGTTATTTGCTATTTGTCAGCCCGAAATTGAAAAGCCAATCACACGCGGCAATCGGGTTTGTTCGATGCTGAGGGCTGCGCCGGACCTGGGATACGCCCGCCATTTCACGTGCCGCCGCGAACGTGTTAATCAGTTTTGTTGGAAGAACAGTAAATGCCTCAAGTTCAAAGAAGATATATTGAAAACGGGAGGAGGAGACGATTAATAATAAGATATCTTATGCGTATGAGGAGAGTAGAAAAAGAGAGGCATGGTCTAACAGATACCCATCCAGATACAAATTCACTTGGTGAGATGAATAATATTTGACAATTATCGAGTTATGCTATGCAACTTACTTTGGAAGTGAAAAAATATACGAAGCACATAGTGTTTTCACGGTGGTAAAGTAAACTTGCCTAATCACAGAGGTTATACAAGTTTTATTTCGTTGTTGTAAATAATTTATATTTATATTTACAAATTGACGCAGTTTATCCAGCTAAGCTGGTCAACAACGCAGCTTTGGTAATAAGGTAATAAGGTACCCTATTTGGTTTTTGGATAGGCTAACTTATCTTAGGCTTACTTAACCCTTTGAGTGCCAACGTCCGGGGAACCGGATGTTTTTAAAACGAGCCAAAAGTGCCGACGTCCGGCCGACCGGACGTTTTTAGAACGAGCCAAAAGTGAGTTGTCATAACAACCGAATGGATACTCGGATTCTTTTAACCCATATATTAACATTGAGTCGAAAGTTACTAGATGCGATACATTGATTTTCGTTGGTCGAAATATCGAAAATTCGATTTTAACGAAATTTTATCCTAAAAATCGCCAGATTGCGCTCGGCATTTTTAGCGCGACCTTCGGGAAAAATCATCGGCATTTTTTGAGCCGTTACTTTTATTTCTCGCCTGGCACTCTAAGGGTTAAGTTAAGTAGGGCTTAACTTAGGCTACGTTTGTATGGGGTGGTAATCCCAACAAAAATAGAGGCTGCAATTTAGTTTACGTCCTACACTCATTCAAATTAAAAATATCGATTTCATTCAACTATTCGATATTTCAAATATTTCATTCCGTTAGTTTACGTTAGGTTAACCTAACTAACCAAACTTGATATATCGAATGAAATAAGTTAATCGATACAATATATATGTATTTTGATATATACAAAAATACCAAAATAGACACCTAGGCCCTAGCATCAAGCGTTTAGAATGGTAGCCTACTTTGTGTAATTTATTCAAGAATCACTAAAAAGAGGGGAAACCTAAGCTACACTCAACTACAAACTCCTAAGCTAGGTCTATTGGAAGTCTTGAAATAGCCTAATTGAAGTAGGTAAGGTTGACTAGCCTATGTAGGTACCGAAAAAAAGTAGTAAAATTAGGCTGGACATAGGCCTAGGCTAGTACTAAATTTACACCCAAATCAAAAGTTACGATTTAGTTTTTTATTTATTGTTAACATCAAACAATTGAGAATGATGGGGAACCCAAATTTGTTTGTACAAGTTAACTTATATTGTAGTAATGGACGAGTTAATTAATTGTAAATAGGGCTAGTGTGGCCACAATATAAACAAATTGTGTGTATCTTCAAGTGGCGAATTGTAATGTTTAATAATGATTTGGCTGCTAAAAATATATTTTATTATTACTAGCTAAGTGCAACAAAACTTAATGCAAGAATTTTCCTTAAATTTATCTTGTAGTCTGAATAAAAATATCTGTTAGATAGTTCACCAAGGATTTTCATCTGTCAAAATGGCTTCTGCTGCAATGGGTGTGGCAAATCCTCCTTCACAATTTACCTTTGGAAACGTATTTAACACACAAATAATAAAGCAAAGTTTATATAGATAGAACATTTCTTCATTTTACTTACCAGAAATGATATTATTTACTCATCAAATTATAAAACTGCAGTATTTCTTCGCAGGTGAATCCAAAATGTAGTGATAATAACAACGAGCCTCAGACAGACAGGACGAAAACCGACAATCAGCGAAATGCAAAGAAGAATGCCGAACCAGCCGAACAGCCAATAAGCGGACAGAGATTAACCAGCATAAATGCGCAGACGCCCCAAGGAAAGTTCGAACGTTTATGGCTGTAACTAAAGAACTGAACCAAGTAGACCGTAAACTCTCAACTAAGCCAACTGAAGTTACTTTGGTTCTACTACATAACTTGGGAAAAAATATTGAATGCTGACCAATGAAAATGTTGAATCTTAGTTCGTTTCGTGAGTTTGAGAACTAACTCCCCCTCTTTCCAAAGGTCCCGCTCCCATTCAGTCTGGTCTAATACTATTTCTACTGAGGGAAATTTAGGAATGACGTCATGATAAAACAATTCTCTAAAATTAAGCAATTATCCTATTGATCAGAGAGGGTATATTTAGTCGTTACGTCATACCATTGACTTCATCTATGGTCATAATGTTTTCAGAAATATTTCAAAGTACAATTTGAAATTGGAACATACATTTTGAGGAGGGACACAACAAACTATAGGAGACTTATTGAAATCCATCCCAAAATATTACAAAAAATTTTTTTTTTTAAATAAGCACAATATGGGTACTACCACAGACTCATACCATTATTAGTTCCATACAGTCAGTGGTACTACCATAGACCAGCTATGTTACTAAAAAGTACTGTAGACATATACAAAAAAGTATTTAATTTTTTGAACTAAGTTACCTTAAGCCTTTGTTCTTGCAGGATGAAGTTATATTTCTACAATATATTTCACCACTGTGTGTGGCATCTTCAGGGAGTCTAGAAGTTCTATTTACAGATTTATACAGTTTATACCTTTACTTTGAAATCGAACAGTTACGAACATCGTCACAGCAAAAAATAAAATACGAAATGTTTTTTTAATACAAACTGTTCTTATATGTTTGTCAAGAAAATTAATATGATTATTTTTCAAATTCCATCCACTGTACCGTACATGCAATCGTCATAGCAATTTTTCATATGTTAACAACAACGCCACTGGCATAGCACAGGCCATGGCCTTTGAAGTGGCAACATCACAAGTGGGGTTGTAGCAGCTGTTTTGTTTGAAGGTGGCTAGTAGTAATTTGTGTTTTTTTTAAGAATACAAAAGTTTGTTTACTGGGCGATGAAAATATTGACTCCAATTTAATGTACAAAAAATAGATTTTCAATTTAAACATTGTATTGGTTTTCAATTCTACATATTTTATTTTCAATCTTTTAATACATTATGTTCAGAAATTGAAATTTAAATTAATAATACGCGAATTAATGAGCTGGTGTCACCTCTCTACCACGTTATCATATGATGGGACGTCCAGCTTGGTCTAGCGCTAGACACCACTTGCAACGTTGCCAACTCTACCAGGCCATGGCCTCGCCTGTGGGCATAGTCACGGCCACCTTTAACTACAGGCCACGGCCTTGTAGAATTGGCAACGTCGCAAGTGGTGTTGTCTAGCGCCAGACGTCCCATAAGATAACATGGCAGACAGGTGACACCAGCTCATTATTTTATTTCGCGTATTATTCATTTAAATTAAAATTTATGAAAATATTTTTTTTAAAATATTGAAAATAAAACATGCAGAATTGAAATTCGAAACAATATGAATTAAAAATCTATACTGTATCCGTACATTTTAAACGGAACCAGTATTGTCATAGTCCAGTAGCCAATCTTTCGTAAATACACAAATACCATTAGCTGCTTCCAACACTTGCGACGTTGCCATTTCGAAGGCCGCGGCCTGGAGTTAAAGGCGGCCGTGGCATAGTCAAGGTTTTTTTTAAGGAAATGGTCCAAATTCTTGTCCTGCAACTATCAATTTATTTTATTTATTCCAATGGAATGGACACCTCTATGTTTGCATCTAATTTAGATATTGTCACCCATATTACAATAATATCCTGCTCCATTTGATAATCAATTATATTGATTTTTTTACCGCTTGTATATTATAGATTAATGCCTGCCTTTCTATAAACAGATTTTCTTTTCTCTGTCATTCGTTCACTTCAATTCAATCGCTTTTTCCGTTTTTGTTCTTCTTAGTTCTTCTCTTTCTGTCCTGTCTGCTGAATTTTTATTTCAGGCTTAGTGTTGCCTACAGTATTTTTTTGAGGATTCTGATTGGCTGAGGGAACATCATTACCGCAACGGTACGGATCGACGTCAACGGCCTCGGTGGTATAGTGGATAGAGTGCTGGGCAGATAATCCGAAGGACCTGGGTTCGAATCCCACCCGTAGCACTATTTTTTGCATTGGACTTTTTCATTTGGTTGGACACGTTTGGTTGGTTTGGTTAGGTTATGATGGTTTAATTTTATAATTAAAACATTATAAAATTGAATTTGACCCATTTATAGTTTTATTTTATGAACAGAAACATATTTTCGAATAAAACCTTCATTCGATTTTTCATTATCAGCAAGTCTGGTTAGTTTGGTTAGGTTATGATAGTTTAATTTTATAATTAAAAAATTATAAAATAGGATCTGAGGCATTTATAATTTTATTTTATGAACACAACTATTTTTTCGATTAATAAACCTTCATTAGATTTTTTCATTGTCAGCACGTTTGGTTGGTTTGGTTAGGTTATGACGATTTAATTTCACAATAAAAAAATATAAAATCGAATTTGAGGCATTTATAATTTTATTCTATGAACAAAACTAATTTTTCAATTAGTAAACCTTCATTATAGTCAATCAGAAGCCTCTAAATGACACTGTTGGCAAAATTAATCCTGAAAAACAAATTGTGCGTCCTGTCTATGTATCTGTTCTAGTCTGTCTAACCGAAAAAACCAATTGATTCTCTGCTTCTCTCTCTACTGAACTGAGCCAGGGTTGCTGTCATTTACAAATAATTTTACAAAAGTTAACAAACAGATTTTTTAATTATTATTACACAACATTGATTCATAACATGGAGGATTTAGGCGAGGAGGTAAGAACATAATGTGACAATTATTTTGTAAATTATCTTGCCATGGTCCTAATTTCTTGTTATGACATTTTCAGAATAGGTTATCCTAATAATATTGTCTAGGCCTAGGCCTATAAAAGTAAAAAATCTTTCAATCTAAAATTTACTAAATTGAAATGAAAAATAAAATTACCAGGTTTTCTTTGTGTTATAATTATAATGTGTAAACATATCACTACAAGGCTATTAAGTTATAGCAATGGTTTTACTACCAAATGTCAAACTTGACTTTTGCTAGGCCTAGTTCTAACTTAACTTTTAAATGATGGAAATTAAAGAACGTAACATTTTGTGAAGTATGTAGGCATAATTAGCATAGCCCAGTTAAGAAACTTAACCCTAGGCATATTACCTATTTCTCTCATTTGCTTGTAAGGTGTTGTAACAGCATACATTTAATATTTACAACAGCTGATGATACTACAATAGTATCAAGACATAATAGGGAATCATCTCGCTTAGTACACAGGTCACGATAAGGCATACTAGAAAAATTCCGGCATGGATCATAAACTTAAACAAATGACGTTTTTGGCCTGAAAATAAACATTTTAGCATTGCTTAAATGGAACTGCCAAAACATAACTTATGTTCAATGCTATTAGTATAGGATTCGGGCAAACAACGTCATTTGTTTATGTTTATAATCCATAGGCCTACCGGTATTTTTCTAATATTTTCTAGTGATTGTGGGGGTGGTAGAACCATTTGGGGGGTTAAAGTTTGTGGGGGTTACGGTATTGATTTTGAGAACACTCTTATTTATGGGATCCAAGCAAGTGAGCTGTCGTTTTCTATGTTTCTTAGGATGTAGAATCGAAGAAAGCAAAACAAAATCAATACAACAAACAGTTTATGAGAAAAAGACAAATTTATTCATGAAAAACTAAATGTGACAAATCATTAATTAAGGTAAAATAATCCAGTTAATATCAATTATTACAAAATTCATCATGAGTCTGTCATATGTTAACGTTGTGAGGAAAATTAACCAAGAAACTGGTAGTTACGCCTCTTTAACCACTACATTGTTCATCAGCTACTCATGCATTATCACCTACGATGGAATTGTCATGGTCTGTAACTCGTTCTTCTCCACGTCGTCTTGACTTGACACAATTTCACTGCCAACTGACAGCACAGGAGTTGGGTTTTTAGAATTTGTACATGCCCCTCCTTCATAAAAGCAGTTTCAAAAAGAACATATTTTAATCCCACTCTTTAAGGAGCATTGTGATGTTGAGCAGCTAACTTAACACGAACAAGATACTGATTTCAGTATTGTCACAGAAAACATACTAGTTAATATAAACCAGAATGCTAACCACACGGTAAAAAGTGTTAGGTACTCGGAGAGAGTACTTACTTACTAGCGTTACTCTCTCCGAGTACTTAACGCTTTTTACCATGCGGTTGGCATTCTGGGTTATAGTAGTATGTTTTCTGTGGTATTGTCTTTGGAGCTGGCTTAGTAGTTGTTCTGATTGGTAGAAAGTAGTCATTGTGTCTAGCCCAACCCCACTATAATGGAAGCAGCTTATTCCCTATCAAGAGTTGTATCTGATAGAAGTAGGAAGATAGAATAAAAGATAGAAGGTGCGGTAGGGGTTTTGAGCAGCACTGTCCGATGTTGGGGGTAGGGAGCCCAATCTGGCTACACTTGTCTTTAATGATTTCCTGAAACAGATTAATTAGATTTAGTGCAAGCATCCTGCCCTTGAATCTGTAGGCCTACAAGAAAAGTAATATATTACCCTGCTTGTTGACCTCAATGTGATTGGCGTCAGGTTTGTGGAAGGTGTGTACACGTGGTTCTTGGTGGTTAGCCAAACCACTTTCAGTCTCTGGCAGTTTGAGTAGTTGTTTTTTTATTTGCCAAAAAATGTGCTGGTGTTATCACAACCACTGAATAAGTGTGCTTAGAGAATGTAATTATTTTATGGTTACAGTGAACCCGATAGTGTTAAAACATGTGAGTAGCTACGCAGGTATTGACTTTCTGCTCGTCAGATAAAAATAACTTAAAATACCGCTGTGTGAACAAATCAAGAAACATTTCTTGCTAATGCTGACAACAAACATCAGTTAATAATCATGTTAACAAGGACATTTCGTGAGGCAGGAATCGAAGTAAGACAGCCTACTAGAGACGCTGATAGGATAATTGTGCAGTCAAACTTAGAAAAGACGTGTAGCTCTATTAACAACCAAGATATTGACTGCCCTTGCTTCAGTGAATCATGAAATTCTTCTTATCAGGCCAAAAAAGGGCTGTACTAGTGAGAGAGTATTTTCTTCAACCAGCCTTCAACATCAGCATCAAGATGTAAAAAATGACATGCACCTTCAGTGAAATACCGGCTTTCATTTATTAATTTAGCTCCAGTATTGTTCATGTTTTTATATTTTTTATACTCACAATAATCAATAAATTATAGGCTTCAATTTGAGCTATCGATCGTTTAAATCAGTTAAATTCAAGATACTCAATTACTCAATCAAAAATCATAACTTTGATTATATTTATTTTAACACTGCAGAGTAGCATGGGTCCTCTAATATGAACTAAACAAACAACAGGCCCCCAAGTGGTTTTTGACCTCAAAAAAGTAGGAAAAGTAGGACTTTTTCAGCAAAAAGTAGGACTTTTTACTGAAAAGTAGGACTTAATTTTACATACAAATCAAACTTTTTTGCTGATACAATCTATATAAATAAAATTAGAGTTTTGTCTGTACATTGCTTAGAATAATGAACTTTTTGGTTATTTTTACATTTCATAGGTCAGAGAAACCGAATCAAACCTTATCTCAATTTCTGTCTGTCTGTCTGTCTGTCTGTCTATCTGTCATTCTCTTGGTAACGCTAAAATACGCACTTTATTACAACTACTCCTCAATAACTATAGCACTGTCCCGCCTGAAACTTATTTTCCAAATACTATACATATATGAGATGGTTTTAGACGTATTTCATCGAATATGAGACAGTTAGATATTTAACAGTAAACCCTTGAAAATCAAGTTTTTGTCGATTTTTGACGTGGAATTTCTGGAAGCCCATGTTAACCTTATGAGAAATGAAATTATTGAATCTTAACAGCTGTTTCAATTAAACAAGTTGGTTCTGTTCTGTGATGTTCAATAGCATTAAAGTTACAAGGATTACCAACAGGGTGCAGCACTAGCACTATTATTTCTTTTACATTTATGACAACAGCTAATTTGCAACCTGGAGGCGAGTGAGCGTAGCGAACGAGCTAACCTGAAGGCAAGTGAGCGTAGCGAACGAGCTAACCTGAAGGAAAGTGAGCGCAGCGAACGAGCTCCAACATACAGGTGAGTGAGCGTAGCGAACGAACTTCAACCAGGACGTGATTGAGCCATGCAAACGAGATCAGATAGTAAAAATAAAAGTAAGCCTACCGTTATAGGATCGACCGGCAGACACAGAGGTAATTTAACCTTTTATTGATTGTCATACCGATCCGGAACAACAAAAAACAACATAAAATGAAGCTATGTATAATAGTTTGGCCAGCATATCTTAAAATATGCAAACCAACTGCTGTTCTTTATATAAGAAGGTTTCAACTGAATATTATAAGATCCCCGTGCGTAGAACGGGTACACAGCTAGTATATATTAAAAACCAAATAATACTAGCATACACAATAGTTTATCAAATAGAATAGTGTATATAAATATACAGGGTGTTTCCAAATTGTCTGGACATATTTTGTGGACTTGTTTCTGGGGCTAAGACAAACATAAAATTCCATATTAGTATGCATGGGTCTAAAATGCCTAAATTTTTGTTGGTCGGTCTGTTTGTGACATTTAAAAATTATTTTATATCTTGGGCATTTTTCAAGATAGAACTTTTAAAATGGTTATAAATGTGTATTTTAGAAGGTGAAAAGAGCTTGCAAAGTTTCGATCCAATATCTCAAGCCGTTTCAATATGGCAGCCATTTAAAATCTTTAATGCCAAATTTCATGAAAACCGTAAATATTTAGAAAATGGTTTCCAGGATCAAAAAGATAGAGAATTCAAATCCAAATCAAATGAGACCTTGTTTGTAAAATCGGATGACAAACAACCATAAATAAGTTTTTTTTTCAACATTCGGTTACACAGTTTAATAGCACTACCATACTGTATTCTTATTTGTTATTTTTCAGAGCAGTATGGGTAGTCCTATTAAATTGCGTAAACAAATTTAGAAAAAACTGATTTGGTTGTTTGTCATCAGATTTTAAAAAACAAGGTCCCATTTGATTTGTATTTGAATTCTCTATCTTTTTGATCCAGGAAACTATATTCTAAATATTTACGGTTTCAAATTAAATTTGGCATTAAATATTTTAAATGGCTGCCATATTGAAACGGCTTGAGATATTGGATCGAAACTTTGCAAGCTCTTATCACCTTCTAAAATACACATTTATATCCATTTTAAAAGTTCTATCTTGAAAAATGCCTAAGATATAAAATAACTCTTAAAAATCACAAACAGACCGACAAATTAAAATCTAGGCATTTTAGACCCATACTTATATGGAATTTTATGTTTGTCTTAAGCTGGGTTTTCCTAGGCGCGGAAGCGGAGAGCGGAGAGAGGAACGCGGAGAGCGGAAAAGAAATTAACATGGTGTTCCGCTCCGCTTCTGGGAAAACAGAAACATTAAATTACCTAAGACAAGTGGAGTCCGCTCTCCGCGTTTCTCTCTCCGCTTCCGCGCCTAGGAAAACCCGGCTTTAGCCCAAGAAAGAAGTCCACAAAATATGTCCAGACAATTTGGAAACATAACTAAAATAATTCTAGGCCTATACATAAATTTTAAAATTAATATCAATAATTAATTATTTTTATTTAAAAAATCTTCAACTAAAAGGCCGGATAAAGTTTTAGCTGAGATTGTACACCAAATATTCAGAAGTACCGGTAACGCACAAGAGAAATTAAAATGTTAAGGTGTCATTATCTACAGTCATCACGAAAAAATATTTAGAACAAGCAGCATTAAATAAAGGATAAAAATAAATATGTTTCCCTAACGTTACCAACCAGCCCTAATTTGTGTTTAAAATGGTGCTGTAAATAAGAAATTTGTTCTTTTTTTTATATTATTTAATATTTCAGAACTAAAATTAATATCAAAGTAAAATGAATTTTTTTGGGTGGAAAACAGAAGCATGAATAGTTATTTAAGTAGGCCTATAAAGTACGGAACTATATATAATATAAAATTCTAAAAATATGTTCCAAAAGTATTTTGAATTAGTTAGATTAGAGCTATCTTAAAAGTAGTAGGAATGTTTGAATTGTAATGAGTAAAAACTATTTGGGCCAGTGGGACTTGGACATTTAAACTTGAACTTAAGCCTTAATTTATTTTGAATACAGTTATGTCAAAAAATCATGTTTAGGCTAATCAGGGAAACACTGGACCGATAACTGCTAAGTTAACTACTTTTGAACTAGTATCCCAGGGCTCCCCAGGAGCATTGATTTCCCCTCAGTTTACTTCATTGGGGAATCTAAAAGACATGTCAGAATAGTAAGCACTGATAATCATCACAATTTTTATTTTCTATCACAATAGTATTGCCATGTCTTTGAAAAAAAAATGTTTTCACCCAATAACAATGTTGATAAGATTAACCATACAGATACTACCAGTACTGGAACTTATAAATTAAAATTTAAAATCATTTAACAGATTGTTTTATAAAAAATATATCTCAGTCAGTCATATTTTTTAGGAAAAAACTCTCATTGGGAAATATTGATAAGTAAACATTAATAATAAGTGTAATAAAATATCGCAAAATCGACATAATTTTTATAAAAAAGTAGGAAAGTAGGAAAAATGTGTAAAAAGTAGGACTTTTCCTACTTTCCTACTAAAAAGTAGGAAAAGTAGGACGACTTGGAGGCCTGAAACAAAGTGTACATGTAAATCCAAATATTACCAAAAGTCAACAAGGCATCTGGAAATGCTTAATTTATGGTTGATCATTGCAGACTAATCCGTTCTTGTTTAGGCATGTGAGGAAGTTAGGTCAGGTTTTATGCGGATTCGTAAATATAGGTGTTTTTAAAGTTGGCAAACCTAAAATTTACTTTTCTAATCAAATTAGGAAGGTCAAGTTTAGGTTCTGAACTGATTAATTTATGTTAACTCCAGACTTTTTTGCTCGGTTGAAATAGTGGTTGAAACGCAACATATAACAATTTAAAAATGCTTGCAATAAAAATGTAATGTTTCTTATGAGATAAGATGATGTGATCTTTGATTTCAGAGCCTTTTTGTTGTGGATGAAGTGAGTAATATAATCAAAGATGCCATTGAGGAAACAATCGGTGGAAACACATATCAGCAGAGCAAAGTAAATCAGTGGACATCCTCCGTCGTTGATGCTTGTCTTGCTGCTCTTACCAAACTACAAAAGCCATTTAAATACATTGGTAAGCCATTTACTCAGATAGGTATAGCAGCAAAGTACTAATCATTGTATTTTTTTCATAATATTCAAACTGTCATCTATTTTAAAGTCTTAGGTAAAAACTAGAATTATAATGTGATTATTAGACAACCTAGTAGTACATTTAGCAAAAGTGTTTGCATTATTACAATTGCAAATATTTATTTTCCAGTTACATGCACGATAATGCAGAAAAATGGTGCCGGCCTTCACACAGCTAGTTCATGTTACTGGGACAATACAACTGACGGAAGCTGCACCGTCCGCTGGGAGAATAAGACAATGTACTGCATTGTGTCTGTGTTCGGCCTTAGTTTATAACCACGCTGCCTAGAATTAACATCAAAAGTCCACTAAAGACCATTGAGGTCTAATGGTGGAGCCATTATCATATTTTACTATTTGTCATTAAATTTTATGTTGACCTATAACACCATCATATGAATATTCTTCACCATATAGATTGTAATATAAGTTAAATAAATTATTTATTATTTCTTAAAATGATGTACATTTTACTTTACCTGCTTAGTTGGTTTTTTTATGAGAGTAAAAATTATTCAAAGCTAGAGCACTGGTGGATGCTATGCTTACCTAATAAGAACCAACAAATATAGAAAATACCCCCGCCGCAGCAAACCTGCCGCAGACTAAGTGAATTTCCATTTACCTGGCTGGATTTCTACTAAAATATTCCCTGAAAATTCTCAGATTTATTTCCTATTTTTAATAACATTAATTTTAATGATTAGGCCTACCTAGGTTTGCTAGTACAGGGAAAGTATTGAGGTGTGTTTTTAGCAAATTTCTCATATATGGAGTAAGCTATTACCGTAGGTCTCATGGTAAGACCTGGACCTGGGACCGATTTACTTATTTGTTTTGAGGTCCCCAGAGGTATATATATATACATTTGAATGGAGGGTATTTTGGCCTCTGAAGACCTCTAAACGAAAAAGCTAATCGGTCCCGGGTCTAGGTCTTACCGTGAGACCTACGGTAATAGCCTATTCCCTATATGGGAAATTCACTATAAGTGTGATCTTTGCTGGTAAAACAACACAGACAGGTAACACATATTTGTTGCTTGGCTTCAGTTAGCCTCCAGAGATATGAAAAACCTTCAGTATAGTGCAAATGCCCTTTAGATAAGCTACATTCTGAAATAAAACAAATAAGATCTCGGATTCATAAAGCTAATTCCTACAAGGACAGTCAATGGTTTAGTCAACTTTCACCTCAGTGTGAAAGCGAGTGAACAGTTTTCACTTCTTTGGGTTCATTCCACCTACTTTCATGACATGTGATATCAGGAAAATCTTTTAACCCTTGAAAGATTCCTAGGGCGACCTTTAGGGGAAAACTCTTGTCCCGTTAAGCTAGGAGAGCCCTCAACATAAAGGTTGAGGTTTTTCAAACATCTAAGAAGTTTCTCTCAAAGGAAGGAAATTGTAAATGGGTAACAGGCAAATGAGATCTTTATATTTATATTACTTTAATAGTGCCTCTTTGCATTTAGAGTCAGGTGGAGTTGTTTCGTAGAAAACATAAGCTAAGAAAGAGACGGCATTAGACAGCTCCATGACACTTTTGCTCTTAATAAAAATACTGCAAATCCAGAAATTTATACAGATTTAGCTATGAAAAGTATCTCTTAAGCAATAAGCTATTAAAAGTTGTTATATTTTTAGTTATTTTAAACATGATCTATTTTGTTGGACATTGATCTCACTAACATGAGCACCACTTAACCATACAGAAGCACTAGTTAACCGTACATTTACCAAAGCAGAGTATGCTAGACAATGTGGTTAGTATGAGAAAGTTGTATTTTGGATTTCAACACTGACAAAGAACATGACTTGTAATATACTCTTCCCCCAAGTTCTCACTTTAACTGCAGTTTTTGTAGGGATTTCTTTTGGCAAGTGGTTCGCTCTGAGATAATCTGGGTTGCAAAATTATGTTGCTGTACACCATTAGATAAAGATACGAAATATAAGTTTAAGATTGGTCTGTCTGGTTAAGTGGAAGACAGAACATAGAAACAGACATGGGAAAAATGCAATCAAATAATAGGGATGTAGCGACTCGCTACAATAGCGCAAGTCACGTGACTTAACTGCGCGCGCAGCTACGGCAAGCACTGCGGCGAGCCGAAAAGAATAGAGTACATAGTAGTGTGTCGACCAGCAGCAGTTCAACTAGCCCGGATAAGTATTAGCATAAGACTATGTCTAGATAGGTTCGAAGGGGTTGGGGAAGGGTGTAGGTTAGGGTAGATAGTAATTAATTATGCAAGTTATTAGGTTCACCAATGGTCGTGGTCTGGAAACCAATATCCCAAATTTAGAATTCACATTTGCTAGATCTAGTTACTTTTCACGAATCAGAATAAGTCCAGATATATATTTATTTCTCTTTTCACTATATTATAATTACATTTATTAAATACCATAAAAGCTGGCTGTGATAGGCAGCTAAGGTAATATTGTGCACTTTGACGAGGTAGCAAGTTTCCTTGTAGCAGGGCCGCGTTAAGGGTCAGTGGAGCCCTGGGCAACCCAAAAGCAGTGCCCCCATTTTTTCCTAGTGCGGGCAGGCGGTGGTTGAGGGGCACGCAGTGGGCGCCCCCAAACCTTCGGCGCCCTTGGGCATATGCCCAGTCAGCCCATTTATAAAAGTGGGCCTGCCTTTGTAGTAGAGTTGAACAACGACAGGAAATGTGCGTGATATGGTAGTGGTGAGAGGAGGATATATAGGGCCCAGGTATCTTCATTTACACTCATACTACTCCACATCATCACAGGGTGAGACATATGATATGAAGAGATGCATCAAGGAAAAGGGACAAGTATGTGAACTTAAGCCAAGATGACTATTAGGCAGGCCGAAACCACACAGCACGTCATCTAATTGAACTAACCGGAGCAGTAAACCAGCCGGGGCGGGAAAGGGGTTTCACTAGAGTGTTTGTGTCTTGTGCCGACTTTACTTGTGTAACTTTAGTTACAGTGGTTAACAAGTCCACTAGTCCATATGAGCTGTTATTATACTAGTCCTTTTCAGTCTTGAAAAGGTTTGGAGCCATGACTGGTGCATTTGATATGAACATTATATATTTAGACCTAATTTGGTGAAGTTAGTTTATTTGTTTTTCCAGCGGTTGGGTTCCAGCTCTTTGATAAGGTTAAGGTTAAGTTGTTTGGTTGTAGGTTTCAGTTAATTAAATTGATGTTGAGATAAATGTTTCTGTGGCTTCAGGAGACGACGATAATTTTCCCGTGGCCGCGGGAGACGTCCAGGATTTTGACGCGATCCTGGAAGTCTGTAAAAATGTTTCCGTGACCACGGGCGACGATGATACAAACCGCAGGAGATAATCAGGATTTTGCCGGGATGGATGGGGGATGACTATGATGACGTTTCCGTGATTGTGATGAAGACGATAATGTCTAAATACCGCAGGAGATGTCGTGGTCACGGAAAACTATGATGACATTTCTGTGACCTCAGGAGGCGATGATAATGTACACAAACCACACGATATATTCAGGATGACGGATGACGATGATAACATTTCTGTGACCACGGGAGACGAGGATGTCTACAAACCGATGTCCAAAATTTTGCCATGATCGCTGTGATAACGTTTCCGTAACAACGGGAGGTGACTATACAAACCGCAGGGGATATTAAGGATTTCGCCGGAATGGTGGATGACTATAATCACGTTTCCCTGACCATGGGAGAAGACGATAATGTATACAAGCCACAGGAGAAGTCTAGGATTTTGGCGAGGTCGCAGAAGACTATTAGATGATGTTTCTGTGACAGCGGGAGGCGATGATAATGCACACAAACCGCACGAGATATTCAGGATTTTGTCGGGATGGCGGATGACGATGATAACTTTTTTGTGATCGTGGGAGACAACGATTGCGTCTACAATCCGCGCGAGATGTCCAGGATTTTGCCGCGATTGCGGAAGACTATGATGACGTTTTCGGGACCGAAGTAGACGATGATGATGATGACCACAAAAGATATTCAGGAATTTGTCACAATTCTGCAAAACGATGTTTTCATGACCTTATGTGATGATTATGGTGATGATGACAATAATGAAAATGATCTAGATATTTAGGATTATTATTTTGCAACAATAGCTAACACAACTTGGAATAATTAGAACTACACAAATTTGATGTAAGAAAAAAAATTTAAGTTGTAAGCCTTAAACTAATTGGTTATTATAGTTTACAGTAGGGATGGACGGGTCCCGAAATTTCGGGAATTTTTCGGGAAAAAAATATTCCCGATTATCGGGACGGGATTACATTTGACTCGGGAATTTTTCGGGACGGGATTTGGTCCGATCGTCGGCGATTTTTCCGCTTCGCGAGTGCCGATAACGCCGTTATTGCGAGCGATAGGTCCGCGAACGCAGGAGACGAAGTCATTTCGACGATTATGCCGTGACCGCGGAGTCCTACCGACGACCGCGCCGTGACCGCGAGTCATACCGACGATCGCGCCGTGACCGTTGAGTCCTACCGACGATCGCGCCGTGACCGCGGAGTCCTACCGACGATCGCGCCGTGACCGCGAGTCATACCGACGATAACCCCGTGACCGCGGAGTCATACCGACGATCGCGCCGTGACCGCAAGTCATACCGACGATCGCGCCGTGACCGCAAGTCATACCGACGATCGCGCCGTGACCGCGGAGTCCTACCGACGATCGCGCCGTGACCGCGGAGTCATACTGACGATCATGCCGTGATGGCGGAGTCATGCTGACGATCGAGCCGTGATCGCGAGTCATACCGACGATCATGCCGTGACCGCGAGTCATACCGACGATAACCCCGTGACCGCGGAGTCATACCGACGATCGCGCCGTGACCGCAAGTCATACCGACGATCGCGCCGTGACCGCGAGTCATACCGACGATCGCGCCGTGACCGTGGAATCATACCGACGATAACCCCGTGACCGGGAGTCATGACGACGATCGCGCCGTGACCGCGAGTCATGACGACGATAGCGCCGTGACCGCGAGTCATGACGACGATCGCGCCGTGACCGTGAGTCATGACGACGATCGCGCCGTGACCGCGAGTCATGCTGACGATCGCGCCGTGACCGCGAGTCATACCGACGATCGCGCCGTGACCGTGGAGTCATACCGACAATAACCCCGTGACCGTGGAGTCATACCGACGATCGCGCCGTGACCGCGAGTCATACCGACGATCGTGCCGTGACCGCGAGTCATGACGATGATCGCGCCGTGACCGTGGAGTCATACCGACGATAACCCCGTGACCGCGATGTCATACCGACGATCGCGCCGTGACCGCGAGTCATGACTACGATCGCGCCGTGACCGCGAGTCATACAGACGATCACCCCGTGACCCGCGAGTCACAAGTTTCTATAGGTACCTGTAAATTGTTACCCATTTTTTGGTTTTTTTAGATCAGTGCCACAAATGGTAAAAATTGATTTCTTATGTCTTTTTTGGTAACTGCAATACAGTACTTTCTTTTTATGCACAGAAAAAAATCCCGTCCCGTCCCGTCCCGAAAATCGGGAAGGAAATAAAAATCCCGTCCCGTCCCGTCCCGAACTAAAAATTCAATCCCGTCCATCCCTACAGCTAAACATTCTCACTGTAACCTAAAAACAGCTTTTAGAATCCAGGAAAAGCCTGGGAAAAAACTGGAATTCCACTTTTAAACATAGAGGATTCATGGTGTTTGTCGTAGTTGTTGTAATAGCTTTGTTTACTTAAAGGGCTTTAGTAAACAATAGGTACATTAAATAAAACAAGTATATACATTTGGTTAAGTTTATTACTGATTAATAAGCGTATTTGCCAATGTTTTACACTCAGTATGATGGATAACATTAACTTTGTTTTCTTCGCTGCACTCGCAGATTTATCAACAGTTAACATCAACAACTTAGGAATAACTAACTGTTATCATATTTCTATTATCACTATGAAACAATCATATAAAATAATAGATTATTAAATTAAAACTAAAATATCAATGAAACAATATCTTATCTTACAGTTTAGAGGTATTTACACTTAAATTATAATAACATTTACTAACATAAGGAATAGTAAAAGGCAATAAATAAATGTTTGAAATACTACAACCATATTCATGTCCAACAAAAGAATCATTCATCAATGACCATCAAATGAATGACCAGTATGCATGATAAACATTGGTGGAATAATATTTTTATTTCATGGCCTTAATCCCAAACATTAATATTTGATTAAAACTAAAATGCTAATTCAGTTGTGTTAGCTTTTCAACATTTCAAAAGAGAATGAGAATATCAATTATCAATATATGCAAAAGGCAATTAAACATTGCTAACATTCCAAACTTTTATTAATAAAAAAACAACTAGAAAATCAATTTATTATTGAAAGAAAAAATAGTTTTTTTTCAACTTACAATTAATTTTAGTCTGAGATTACTTATTTAAGCACACTGCATCATTGACTGTAGATACTGAAGGAATCATCCTATACATTGATCCAACTATATCAGGAATTTGGCATTTTTTTGACAAAGAATTCCTTTACCCCGCCTAATAATAGTAGTAATTTGTGAACACAACTCTAATAATTTGACTGAAAAATGTAAATACATGATAAGAGCGGTTGGTTTTTAAATATGATTACATCGTTTAGTGTTTAATTATGTTTCAATAGTTGAAATAAAATGTTTTTGTTTTAATTTAGACATTCACAGGAAATTATGTGTCTTTAAGTTTTAAAATACAATTTTGAACTTCTTACTACATGTTGAATGTGATGAACCTAACTTAAAATTTTATGTGATATCATTCATCAATAACCTTTTGCCTTTACTCGGCTACCAAATTCTCTGTTCGTTTTAATTATTTGGCCTAGCATTTACTTATATTGAGGGCCTTCAAACGCATTGTGCATCTACCAAATAACAGTGTACATAGGCTATCACAAAGCCACAGCAACACATTTCCCTAAAGCGGATGTGTGAAAATATTTAATTACTTAAATCAGCTGATTATGTTCTAACAACTGCTGTTTTAACTACACAACAATTGACGGTTTGAAACACAAAGCAGACTTACTTTAGCAATGTTTGCTTCAGTATCTAATATTAGTCAATTATATTTTATTCTAACATCATTTGTTACCTATTTTTTAAGTCACCAAACTTAAAGTTTTATTATTTATTATTAAGTTTAATTATACTAGTTTTTAATACAAAGCAACAGAAATTTAAAAATTTCATATGTCAGTACTCTTTCAGTGAAAAAAAAGTACAGACAGCAATAATTCAAGTTTAATCTTAATATTTGCCTAGACATTGAGAAGATGATTTACAAAAAGAAAAGCAAGACAAAAGTCGCATGGGATGTTTTAGAGGAGGAGAGCACTATTTTTACAAGTAAAAGAGAGAGTAATCTTTAAAAAATACTATGGTGGTTTTGTTCGCTGACTTATTAAACATTGATCTTGAACAAAAAAGTACCAAAATTGGGCATTTTGTAAAATAATTTGACCAACAATAAAATACACTAATTAACTATTAATAGGGTTGGAATTGGAAACTAATTGCATATAACTTAGTATAACATTTGCATGGTTCATCTCTAAAATATATAAATATATAGATTTAAATGGAAAGTATAAAAACTGATACAGAAGTAAATTTTAGAAATTAAATGTGTTACATTTTCTTAAACCTATCACATTAACAGTTAAGCAATGATATGTTACACATCAAAAACCTAAGCTTTAAACACTTAAACGACTTATTTACACTGAAATGTACAACAATTGCTAGGAATATTTTATTTCTTATTGATATAATAATATGTGTTATGTTTCTTCAATAATTTAAATTGTTTTAAGACTGTACCTTCATTTTTTTACTTATGGAACTTTCACATAAATTTCTCAGTAATAAACTTTTCTTCCTACTTATGCATTATTTTGTGATTTTTAGCTAGAAGACTAGTAATAAATCCAGAAGAGAACTAACTAATGTAATTTTAATAACAGTTTAATGTTGATAAACTTGAACATGCTTTCAAAAGGATATAAAAAGTTATGTTAATCCAGAAACAATAAATATAGAAGTATGGAATAACCACTATTGAAGTTCAAACATTACAGATTTTAACAGGATATAATTGGTAAAGCTAATCTAAATTTGGAATATAAATATTTTGTGCCATTAGTAGATTTGGGACACTAATTTATTCTCAATCAACTAATTTATTCTTCAGTAATTATTTTAAAAAATTGTATGTTTGTTTAGTAATATTTTTTACACAATATTCTCTTCTATCTGTTAGTCTATGGTTAACATGGAATCAATTTTCCATATCTGATTTACATTTGTGTAAAAAATTAGATGCCGTATTAGGTGTAAAAACAAGCAATATAAGTAAATAATAGTTAACCCAAATACGATCGCAAAGTTAAATTATTGGAAATCTTAATCACAGTTCCCTCAGATATTGTATCAGTACTTACGGTAACTCTTACACAATGCCTGGTACCTTCAAAAATAGGTCGCCAACCATTTAAAATTAAACGCTAGCCTTAAAATCTCTAAAATATAGTTAGGAATTATTGAATGAGTAGTTCACTGATAATTTGTAAATTAGTAATTGACTGGTAAATCAATGTCATATTTATTTACAAATTGAGCAGTTGTGAGTATTTTAAAACTGGAGCTGCAATAATAATAACAATCTATTGTTAATGTTTTATTACTGACTGAGGATACATTGTGAGTGCTTTTCATTTGTAAATAAAATTGAATTCATATTGTTAATTCCCTTAAGATTTTCCTGTATAATTCCAGCTAACAATTTAGTTTGGGATAAAGCATTATAAAATGATGTCTACAGTCAGTAACAGATGTTGATATAATCTATAGATTGTCCTAGGCCATTATATCAGTATATTGGAATACCTTTTTTTTAAATACACGAGTAAAAAAAGTGTTAAAAGTGAATTGTGAAGCTAAAATAAATTACAATAGGCAATTGTCAGTGGATTATGGAAAACCAAAACTGATTAACAACTAATAGTTTTTGCTGATGTATTCAAGAAATAAATATTTTTCAAATGTCAAGTTTGAAATGTAAACTGACTTACCTTTACCTATTTAGTGTAACAAGCATCGAACATTTAAACATGTTAAGTCCACTCATTTAGAATCTGCACAGATTATAACATAGTTAATAGTTATTGTAGTTTCCTGAGTCCTACTCAATATACACATTCTTGATACAAACAATGCTATTTCCACATATTTTTATAGATTAAGGCATTTAAACAGGCTTAATTTTATAGTTAATTTTTACCGTCAAAAACCGAGCTAACACGTTGGTTGATGAACCTTGACTAGAAAACCCTAATGATGCAACGGGTGAGGAACCAAGTAGCGTAACAAGTAGAAATCGTAAGCTCGAGAAACAATTTAATCTCGTTTTTACAAAATCAATTACTCCAGGAAACATTCATCCTAATATCTACCTCTACGTTTAACATCATAAAATATAATCTGCGGTTATTCCTAAGACTAGAGCACTTGACATAGAGTCGTTGCAGGAATGTTTTATACAATAAGCACGTTTGTGCCAAGTGAATGTAGGACTAGGCATCATCACAGCCATGTATATAGCCGAGTCAGTTGGACAGCAAGTATGCGGAGCAATATGTCAGTTCTTTTTTTAAAACAAAACAAAAAACCCTTAAATTAAAGTTTATCCTTTTGTTCAGAAAGCAATTAATTATAGATAAAATCAACCCAGAAACTAAATTTAGAAAACATCTCGATTTCACTGTTATATTTAAGATTAGACGGTTAATTTTCAGAAAGTGAAAATATTGTCGGATTTCAATGTAAGAGCTAGTACTGCCACCAAAAATAATTTAAATTTGGAATTACTGTTCAGTTCCTTCCTAAGGATGATCATACCTCGAATAAAAAATAATGCTGAACACCCTTTTATACAATAGGCCTTGGATAAAACTAAAACACACTCCCTTAGTAGATTTCTCATCGTTTTTGAACAGCTGAAAACAATTTTATTGATAGTTCTGTCCGGTGCACCGTAGAGGTCGTGTTTAGTTTACAATTTGTTTCTCGATAGTCATTTAAAACCTCGTTTAACCAAATAAAACGATCTTATCATAAACAATAACTCGACCACGTCATATATCCAAACAGTAAAGCACAAATCATGAAACCTAAAATAATAGAAACAACATTTCGTCAAAAAACTTGTGTTGGTTAGTCTATGATAGAACCATTGACTTGGATACTGAAGTAGACATCCCACTTCCCATCTATATGGACCAGCTGTAACAACTTTCTAATTTAATTGAACATAGTTCAGTTGGCCACCATAGAGTGTGCTAATGTCATAATTCGATTTTCTACATTAGTTTATTAGTTTTGTTTTTTACTTTGATAGTCGATGTATTATTAAACATATACTTGTGTTATTTGTGATAAGTTCTCCTTCTGGACTTTTGGTTTAAGGTTAAAAAGTTGGTGCATTCAACAGAAGTCAACAGACATCAGCAAACTAAGTCGGTGACTCAATTAAATTATATTCTCCTTTATGCTAAAACTGACTACAACTGTAACATTGGAATGGGAAATCTACTCTCATCAATAATAGTCAAAACAAGTACTGAAACAATAGAACAGAATATAAAAACGTATTACATACAGACTCAAACCCATGACTGACCATTGCTCTACATACATCCATCACCAGACTGACTCAGCACAATGCTAGCGTAACTCTACAACTCCACACTAGGGCAAGGCTTGTCCTCCATGTTGAGTATCAGCACAGTCTCCACTTTGTTCTGCAGCCACTGCAGCACAGCCGTCTCCTTGCTCTGGACGAAACGTTCATCTCCCGACAACAAGTTGAAGCTCTCGTCCTGCAACAAAACAATCAACAGGATTATGTATTTTCATTTTGGAACTTTAAGCAAACCGGTGGGTCGGCTTTTTATGTAAATTACAACAGATAGAGTAATTGCAGTGTAGTGAAACCACATAGTCCAGGCGCTAAACGGGTTGAGTATGCACTGAAAGTCTGACAAAATTTGACTTTTGATTATTGTTGGGGACATCTAGTAGATGAAAAAAATCGATGATGTCGCATTTCTAGGGTGGTCACAACTCGGGGGGGAGGGGGGGAAGTTGCGCGCGTCATCGGTTTACGTTTCCACGTCTAACTCATAAACGGTTAATGATAGAAAGGTGAATTAAGCGTCTATCTACGCCTAAATATATTGTCCTTCAAAAAGGTTGTTACAACCTTTCTTCTATCTCTTATACTTTAGGCGCTAATCAACATTTATTGCAAAAAATAAAATTTAAAAATACTTTAAAATGAAATATCGGAAATATTGTGCTTGTTTAGGGCATGTTACAAACTATTTATGGTTAGAAAAACTAACAAGTAGTACAACAGCACCAAGTTTAAAGAAATCTGTGCAAAAACAACAGAGCTACGTTGATTTCAGTAAGAGTAAACGTGGAAAATTCGTAGTAGTATCGAGGCGCGCATGGATGGTACGTAGCCCACAGTCAATATAGGTTTGATGTTGTAAGTAACTATGGGAAAGCTGAATTTTTCTATGCTGTTAGACCATGTTGAGATGATCATTTCCCCAAAAGTCCCCATTCCTACCCCTTTGTGCTTTCCTTACCCCCCCCCCCTTTTAGATAAATTTACAGTCTCTTAGAAATTAAGCTATAACTTTAAAACGGGTAAGGATAGTAACACAGTCTTTAATTAATCATTTTGAGTTACGATATTCTACAAAAAGTGTACTTACCATGGTATCCTTAATATTCATAGTTAAAAAATATCATAAACATAAAAAAGTAATTTTTATAGATTAATTTATGAAACTTTTCTTTGTAGATTTTTTATACGAGGTCGCACAACAAAATGTTTGATACAAAATTTGGGGTGCATAGTTTACATTTTAAAATGATACATAGTTATTAACAGTTTGTTTGCATATAGTGGTTATAGATAGTACAGTATATTGATTTTACAGGACTCTGGCTTTTTTGTGCACCGCAACAATGAAAAAAATTACGTATATTATGGTTTTTGTATTTGAATTTGCCGCTTTATATAGATTATGTTAACGTTATGTAGCTCATTCAGTACATATACAGACTATAGTAGATACATATGAATGAATATCGTGCATTTGCTGCTGTACGCCAGAGCCTCATTTTATTATACGGGTGTCTCACCTAAAGTGAACCAATAGATAACTTTTTTATTATGAGATATAGAATTAACTTCTTATGGGACACTACCCTTTATTTTAAGATGTTTTTTTAGTGGTTTCGATTTTTTTTAATATGTTTGCCATTTTCCAATATGGCTGACAACTTTGTTAGTCCTATGGAATACCCTGTATTTTATGATTGTTTTAGAATGTAAACGCTCAATTTTTAAACCTTTTTATTCTTGACATTTTTCTCTAAAGCTACTTGTTTAGGAGTTACATCGAAGAAGAAATGGTTTGTGAGTACATCCTGCATCCTGTAGCTCATAAACGAGTAAGTTTAAGAGCGAAAACAGAAAGAATAAACAAGTTTTCAAATCACATCTACATAAAAAAACCATAAAATAAATTGTTCCAATATCAAAGTAAGCTACCATTTTTGAAAATGGTGACCATTTTTAAAACAACAAAACCAGTATTTTTTAACGTATTTTATATATTTTTTGAACGAGGACTTATATGTGACTTATTTATTCTTTGCACTTTCTCTCTCAACTTACTCGTTTATGAGCTACAGGATGCCGAATGTACACCACAAGCCTTTCTTTTAGATATAACAGGCTGTGACTCCTAAATGGGGTAGGTTTAGAGAAAAAATGTCACGAATAAAAAAATAGCTTTTAAATTCTAAAAGAATACTAAAATACAGCGTATTCCATAAGAAATAACAAAGTTGGTGGCCATATTGGAAAATGGTTGATATATTTTTTTTATTCGTAATCATCCCTAAAAACATTTTTTACGAATAAAGGGAGTCGTCTAATAAAAATATAACTCTAAATGGAAAATAAAATGTATGTATGTTCACTATATAATCTCAACCGGGATGAAACGTGTACCCTTTTATAGCAGAATGTCCAATTTTAAAAAAGATACGTCAATTTTGGTCCAACAAGTTATATTTAAATGAATATGAGTTTTTTTTTAATTTTTAAATGGCAAAGATTGGCGGGCACTTGGAAATTATCTTAAAGAGGCGTGGAGTAAAGGGTGGGAATTGATAATGGTGTATAATTATTAAATTTAAGAATTGGGATATCAATACAAAAATGGGAAAAATCTATGTAATTTAAAAAAATTATAAAATATTGTTTGTTAAGTATCTATTAAAGTAAATTATAAAAGTAACAGGTTTGTTTTATGAATTATTAACTGTTTGTAGGAAAAATTCAGATTCTCAGTAGGCTACATTTAAATTGTATTATTAATTCAATTGTTATCTGATCTTTATTAGTATGTAGTGCTGTTTGTGTATATTCTGTAGTTGAAATCAGTTTATTTTTTGAATAATTGTATGTGATTCATGGCATTTTTTTTAAACTGTTTTAAAATATTTTAAAATCAGTGTGTCTAACACAAAACAGACGGTCTTTGACCATTGTTCTTTGCATTTAAATAAAAAAAAAAACACTGTATTGATATTTTATTACAATGAACAATTTTTCTTCTTCTTCTTCTTCTTTAGAAATCCATAATAATTCTTTTTAAATATTTATTTATCTCATAATTATTTTTGTAGATTATCGTAACGCAAAATGATTAATAAAAGATTGCATTATTATCCTTACCCGTTTTAAAGTTATAGCTTAATTGCTAAGAGGCTGTAAATGTATCTAAAAAGGGGGGTTAGAGGAAAGCACAAGGGGGGAGGAGTGTTGACTTTCGGGAAAATGATCATCTCAACATGGTCTAACAGCATAGAAAAATTCAGCTTTCCCATAGTTACTTACAACATCAAACCTATATTGACTGTGGGCTACGTACCATCCATGCGCGCCTCGATACTACTACGAATTTTCCACGTTTACTCTTACTGAAATCAACGTAGCTCTGTTGTTTTTGCACAGATTTCTTTAAACTTGGTGCTGTTGTACTACTTGTTAGTTTTTCTAACCATAAATAGTTTGTAACATGCCCTAAACAAGCGCAATATTTCCGATATTTCATTTTAAAGTATTTTTAAATTTTATTTTTTGCAATAAATGTTGATTAGCGCCTAAAGTATAAGAGATAGAAGAACGGTTGTAATAACTTTTTTGAAGGACAATATATTTAGGCGTAGATAGACGCTTAATTCACCTTTCTATCATTAACCGTTTATGAGTTAGACGCGGAAACGTAAACCGATGACGCGCGCAACTTCCCCCCCTCCCCCCGAGTTGTGACCACCCTAGAAATGCGACATCATCGATTTTTTTCATCTACTAGATGTCCCCAACAATAATCAAAAGTCAAATTTTGTCAGACTTTCAGTGCATACTCAACCCGTTTAGCGCCTGGACTAACAGTGTTATTCTTTGTTTCGTCAATGGTTTAACTCAAAAAACCAATTGTAGTTTCAACTGCCTAATCTGCCTTGTCATCTTTTTGCAACCTTGTTAAACAAATTACCAACAAATTTTTATTAATTTGATGAGAAGAGTGTCAAAATGAGCAATTAATTAGGTTTAAGGCAGATTAAGGTAGTGTAATCTTTGAGATATTTTACCTACTGTGATCCAGACAGAGAACGCTCACAAATATAAAATAAGGTTACTTTTTTACGCATACAAGATTTTAGAATACTCATGAATTCAATATCATAAAATATATAGAAAAATAGATACATTTTTATTTGCGAGTGAAGTCATTAAAACTGACCTTCAAATCACTTTAATCATACACAGATACAAAACTTGTACATAAAATAATTTTGTAAACACTTACAAACAGGAGCAACTTCGTTTTACAATTGACAATAATCACTTGTGTTTGCAAAAGTTTTGGCAAATTTTATCCAATGATACTGTGCTTATTCTGATGTGTTAGAATTTTTTGGCGGTGTTTGTAATATTCCTGCTTGTGGCCTCAAAATGGCAACTGAACGAAAAGGGATCCAAGATATTGTATCAGATTACTTTGGGGGGACAAATATGTTGTTAATTATGAATCATTTTAGAAATGACAAACCAAATCCGAGAAGTCCTATTACAAAGATGTTGATTACCACATAGTGATACTAGGGAACTCACCTGTCTGACTTTAAACGTAAGCTTGTCGCCTTGTAATGTCGGAACGGCCATGATGTCGTCAACTCTAACCATCCAGTCAATCTCCCATGCCCGACACTTCTCTACCAGAAACACGTGTCTGTAAAAGGCAACAACCTTACAGTTACACAAACACATTTACAATACAACCAAGGACACCAGCTTCGTATCCATGTCACAATCATTTAGACCTGCAATAGTAATATTTTGAGCTTATGGTAACATCTTATCCATCCATCTTATTTGCACAATATTTCAAATCCCAATACAAGTTCACAGTGGACACACTGTAAGCATGACTGGCATAGGTCTTGAATTGAGGTGCAACAAAAAAATAATTTTGCAAACTTTCGCTTGATCAAACACTGCTATGCTACAGACATACGTGATCTCCTAAAGAGTTACACAGCTCACCTAACTGAGGCAGGATTCAACCAATCATCAGATCTAATGAATTGCCACAATAACAATACTTGTAAACCCAAAGCCCAAGCCTGGAAGTTCTAAGCGCATTTCCCAGATTGTGGTACGTTTCATGTCAGATATACATTTCAGCAGTTTTTTATGTGTGTATAAATTGATGAATGATTATTTAAATGATTTGTTGTAGAATATACATGACTAAAAAATATTAGATTTCATATGAATAGTTGTAAATGAAAGGCTTTGTCATGCTACTCATGGTTAATATTTCTGCCTTGGTTGCAAACAATGTAAAAACGTTTAGCAGATAAGTTTGTAGGACGGGAATGAACGTTTTGACTGACTGTAAAGTGACGAGCAGAGTAGACTTGCACTCGAGGGAGAGTGTCGCGTGAGCCCAGTAGATGTCAGTGTCTGCATAATGTCCCTTGCTGAGGGTGTTAAGCAGCTGCATGCCCGTCGCCTCGTACAGGGAGAACGGCTTGATACCCTGCAACAGACAACACACATAAGACTAGAGAAAACACATCTAGTGTGAACAGATACACAGTGATACAAGCCTGCCACTAAATCTCATCAATACAAATTGAAATTACGCTTGTACTGGTTATATAAATTAGAATAGCATGTAGGGAAGGGTGAGGGAAAGGCTCCCATAAACACAGAGAGTCACACCACAAGACAATAGAGCTAGTAAATTAATCCAACAGTGGGTCGCCATTTCAATGAAAAAGTATAAAAAAGTATATTAAATGTTGAGATGACTTGACAGAATAATAAAAGTGACAGTGGTGTGGGAAGGGTTCTTGTACACATGTGCATCCTGTTCAAAACTCTAATAGGGAAAATCTAAAGCTGGGTTTTCCTAGGCGCGGAAGTGGAGAGCAGAGAGAGGACTCCACTTGTCTTAGGTAATTTAATGGTACTGTTTTCCTAGAAGCGGAGCGGAACACCATGTTAATCTCTTTTCCGCTCTTCGTGTTCCTCTCTCCGCTCTCCACTTCCGCGCCTAGGAAAACCCAGCTTATACTGTACTCGTTGTAGTTCTCTCATTGCTCTGCTGGATGTATTCCACACGCAGGTCCAGAAGCCCATGTGAACAGGTTATTGCAAGTTAAAGTGGAGGTTAAGAGGCACCCATTCTCGTTTAAAAATAAAAAAAATTAATTAAATATTACATTGACTTGAAATTATTACATTTGACATGATTTATCCATCTGTCAACAAACTGATTCAAAATCAAATATTTGAGAGAATAACTTTTGGTAAATTTTAATCCTTTAATGAACAATGGGGGTTTTAAGTTAAAACGTACAAAATTTCATTTTTTTACGTTGATGTAACTTGCAAAATAATTATTACACAGAGTAAAAGTTACATTATAAGACTGGTATTACTCACCAAGTAAGGGTTTGCGTATCTGGGAAGCCTAGTACGGAAAATTATATCCTCACCCATTTCAGATGCTCTGAAAAAAAAAACACAAAACATTAATCTTAAGATAAGCATTCAAGCGCACTAAAGTAAAAAAAATATTCTGCAGAGGTAAGTGGTCTTTTAACATGAAAGAATTAGTTTGGCTCCATGCAAGATTTGTTATGCTTGAAAAATTTGTACCAGGATGGATAGGAAGGAAGTAAACTAAACAAATGCACAGGGTTGAAATAAGTTAGGAGCAGCAATCTGTCACAGTAAAACTGTGCAAATTTACTTATAATCTGTTTAAAAGAGCTAGTGTATTTAATCCAAGTTGCTTTGGTAAAACGGTTTAACTAAACATTACAATAAATTTATTTTTAAAAGAGAAAACTAGATGGTGGAACTCTGAACCAATAATTTGTAAATAGATAAAAGTTAAAAATGTCCATGATATTGTGTGATTACCCATGCAACTTTACCTTTGCAATTTTCAGAACCAATTTTATCTTAGGTACATTTTTGCCACAGACAGTGTCAACTCTCTATTAAATTCAAACTTGCCTGCCTTCTTGAATGGAATAACACTTCAGATTTCAGACCATGACCAGATAGAACTTATGATTAAATCGTGACAATCACTGAATCTGACACTCTAGTCCTGCGTACTCACTCAGTTATCCTCAGCCATTTTTGACTTTATTTATACATTACATAGGAAAGTTGTGTTCTCAGACCAACACAAGGATGATCTGTTGAATCATTGTTATAATTAATATCCTAAGTTTTGTATTTTTTATATATTTTTGGAATAGTTTAACTTGATTTGATTTACTTACCGTTTGATTCCGTCGTTGGCCATGGCCACACAATCCGCTACACCCCCGGAAGGTTTAGTCAGAAGACCCATCAGACCTTTGCCAACTCCTCTGAAGAAGCTCTCCACACCTTCTTGTTGGGACCCTAAACAATTTGATAGTCAATAATAGCACAAACGTTGAATGAAAAAGGCCAAAATGTCTTTTAGAAAAAGAAGTTATTTTCAGCACATATGCCCTAACGCCATTTTGCAAAACTTAATAAATGATTTTAGTTATATTTGGTTACAAATACTGTAGCTGTTTTGTATCTTACACTGAGTGGTTGCACTCTGATAAAATAATCTTGTCTTACATTTATAAAACAACATTACTGATAAAATGTTTAGATTTTAAATATGCAAATATCATCTATTCTATAACAATAATGTTCCAATAATCATCAGCAAAGCTCAAATTAAAATTATTTTAGTCATATTTTCAAAATCTTATATATTAAACAAACTTGGGTTTTCTTTTCCACAGATTAGCCATCAAGCATCGGCATATAATTATCTATAGTATCACTCAGTTTATACGTAAACGAAAATTGCTCCCCATGTATTTCTTATGAGAGTTAAATTTGGTTTCTCTTTGTCGAGTTTGTTTGGCTCTTCTATCCGACTGATTTCATGATTGAGTTCTCAAATTGAAGGTATGCACGCACAGATTAGCCATCAAGCATCGGCATGCTCTATGATCAATAGTATCACTCGGTTTATACGTAAACAAAAATTGCTCCCCAATATATTTCTTATGGGAGTTAAATTTGGTTTCTCTTTGCCGAGTTCGTTTGGCTCTGCTACCCAACCGATTTTCATAATTGAGGTCTCAAATTGAAGGTATGCACGCATAGATTAGCCATCAAGCATCGGCATATATTGATCTATAATCCCACTCGGCTTATATGTAAACGAACTTTGCTCCCCATGTATTTCTTATGGGAGTTAAATTTGGTTTCTCTTTGTCGAGTTTGTTTGGCTCTTCTTTCCGACCGATTTCATGATTGAGGTCTCAAATTGCATGCACGCCAAGTTTTCACATAAAGCATGGGCAAATATTTACCTACTGTATTACTCGACCAAAACACATAGTTTGATTTATTTTCAAATTCTTACTTCAATGTAAAATGTACCTTCACCAGTTATAATTATAGGGATAGGGGTATTAAGATAAATCTCAGCAGCATATGTTAAAACATGCAGAAACACCTAACATGCATTGTATTACCTGATGTACCCTTAGGTAAATATGGAATGTATCCAGGGTTATAGTTTTTGAATTGAATGGACAAAACAGTACAAGTACACCGATATCTGTCAACTACCCCACACACAGGAGTTTACTTAATTTGTTGTGAATATTTCTTTGCAAGTTTAAAAGCCATTTGTTTTTATCACCTAAGAAAAATTTGTATAAAGTCTTTATATACAATCAATTTTGAAATTAATTTGTATTTTTGATCCTACACTAATCAATATTGTAAATTATTACTTGTAGTTGTAGAGGAACAAAGATTTATTATTTATTTCGTATTATATAGAAAAATATGAACATACCTCGTAGGGGTAGCAGAATTTTATTCCCCAGAGAAAAACTGATGTCAGCCTAGGGGGTAAAATTCCGGCTGCGGAACTTTTGAGTTGCACAACCAATATGAGTTGAATGAATTAAAGGTGGAATCAAACATATCTTTTAACAGTTGTGAATTTAATCAAAACAATTAAATAAAATGATAAAACGTAGGCTACCACATAGTTGTGCTAAATATGAAATTTAATTTGTTTGGATTATCCGTCTGAAATTGTAAAATTCTTTAAGCATTTTGACAGTTCTGCTGGTTTAACTTGAAATGTCAACATTAAGGTAAACGTTGTGGGTTTTCTCATCCTGCCATGGAGACCAATCAATATTTAATTTTGCAAAATATTTCTATTTCTCTCAAATACGTACATTATGTACAAAATGAATGATTCTCACAAATTTCTATAACTGGAGAGGGAGTAAATTTCCAGAGGAGTAAAGTTATGACTTAGCTACTCGGATAATTTTACGTGGGGGTAAAAATTTGAGGGGAAAATTCCAGGGGAAAATCCGGGGGTAAAATTTAAAAAGTAAACTTCTGGGGGTAAAAATCAGGCTATACACCTACAGGTTGTCTAAAACCCTAGTTATTTGGGCAGGGGTAAAATTTCGGCTCATATTGCTAATCTAATTTATCACGCTCTGTGGGTAAAATTTAAAATTCAGCCTGCGGACAAACTCAAGAGCGCTCAGGTTATTATGTCATAGTGACATCGACATCACCTTTGCTCTGGGGGTTAAATTCCGGCGACCCACCTCACACTCTAATAAAAGGTTTCCACCTTTAATAATCACAAATATTTAATTGGTTCTTGCTTTGACTTTTTAACACATAACTATCTGAAGATAATTCTACTGGAATGAATTAAGGAGTTACGTGTAATTTCACTGTCCACAAGTTTAGTAAAGGCATCATAGCTACCTCCACCCAGAAAATTATAAGTATAAGTATAAGTAAAATTCATAGTTGTTAATCATTCATTGTTCGGAGATTTTTTCCAACAGACCTTGTATTTTCACATTGGATTTTTTTTGTTCTTCTGGATGATTGCGATCCAATCAGTTCTTGATTCTACTGATGACTAGTAATCAGTGGCGTTGCTTGGTTAAATTCTAGGGGGGGGAGAAGCCTCAAATTTCCCAACTGCTTAACATAGATTTCCCAACTATTTTTTATAAAAAAAAATCAATTTCTGTACTATTTTTAAAAATCTACAAATTATTATACTACACTGCAGTCACACTCAATTCAGTATTTATTAACTTGCATTAACAAAACATAGCTAGTTTTACATGTATACAAAATTACTCAATTCAAAAAACGTCTAAAACTTCTACCAATTCATAATGAAGTTTTATGACTTCAAAAACTTGAATAAGTATTGTTTCAAATCCAAAAAACTTTACAAACCATTGTGGTAGCAGTGTAAAATTTTAGGGATATAAAATAAGCCTAGTACAAATTAGTATAGAAAAACAATATTTTATTACAAAATAATGAAATTACAATACTTTTAGAAGTCGATATTAAGATCAACACTTTAACTTTCATAAAACTTACAACTAGGCCTAAACAAGTTTGTAATGATGAAATATTATTATCAGTGTTGTGAATAATATTATTCTAGTCTAGAAAAGAATAAACCTAAAATAAGACTTGTATAAAATAAAAACGTTCAACTTGGTTGATAATAAACTTATACATACAATAAAAATGTTAACCTTCATCTTCATCAAACTAGAACTTGGACAAAAATCAAACTCAAACGTGAAAGTCAAACATCAAATTTTAGGTTATGTTTTGTCTATTGTCTATGTAGATCTGTTTCAGAGTGATTAGTTGATTCATTTTTGTAAATTCTTAATTAGGAATGATAAATCACTTTTGTAGATTTTTTAGATAATATTCAGAGAATAAATATTTCATTTAGGTTATTAAAAATTAGAGTTTTAAAGGCAATACCGATATACAAAACCTATCTTTAATGTTATTTTAATCTACCTATTAGCAAGTACTCCTGTCAGTAAGCCTGCTCCAAATACTACAAAAAAAGGTATAAAATATAGTTTATTTGACTGACATGAAAAATATTTTTGAACTTCTTGTAAACACTAACAAACAACATAATTGAACTGAAGAGCTACGCCGCTTGCACTTTCAAAATTCAAACTCGCAGTCTCGCAGACGAACCATTCAGAAAATCATCAACACAGGACAGGATCAAGGTAGCCAACATACGTCCAATAAGGAACAAAATTTCTCGTAAACGAAATTCCACCAAACTATACCGCTAATTGGTTAACGATTTCTTAAAATAAGGCGTGTTTAGCCATGGTTTAGCCTAGTTTAATCAAAGTTAAATTAAATCAAAGAAACATCAAGTTTATTCGTCCAAGTCAAAGAAATTTTGATCTTTGATGGATTTTCGCAAATATTTTTAAATTTTATTTAGTTTAAAAATATATTTTTCTTGTATCTGATTTCCCAACTGTCCCAACTCGTGGCAAGGAAATTCCCAACTTTTCTCTTTCCAGGATTCTAGGGGGGGGAGGCTCCCCCCCCCTACCCCCCCCCCAAGACGACGCCCCTGCTAGTAATAAAATGTTCTGTAATATTTGGTTTTGCAAAGCAAACAAATCGAAGCTGAGATGCAAAGCGAAAAACAATGGGATATGAGAGACGTACCTTGCCATTGTTTTGAGAACACGTTGCCGTCTGCAGCAACATAGAACAACAAACTGTTACTACGCTAACAACCAACGACCACAACAACATGCTTACAACCATCCGAGGGAGGACAAAACAATATCAACAATCAGTGCTATCAGAACTGTCGTGAGTGATAACATGAAGTCATGGTTAGGCAATCAATACACCAAGTTATTCCTCTAATTTAGAGGGTAGTTTAGAAAGTAGTTTACAGAACTATAGAAGATAAAAAATCATACAGGTATGTAGATCAATTCTTATGTATTCAAATAAAAATCTAATTAAAGTTTTAAAACCGTAGAAAATTATAAATTGGTATCTAGCTTTCTTGCAGAAAATGTTTTTAAAATTATTTTTTATAAAAAGTTATATACTTTTAAAAACAAAATTGAAAAAACAAGTTTGATGAAAATTAAAACCTATTCCCATTCCAAGGTCACAGTAGGAACAAGAAAGTTTTGCAACATTTTGCTAAACCAAGATTGTGAAAATGTCTAAAATAACTCTTAAAACAAATGCAGGCCTATGCAATAATTTAATTATCCATTCAAATGTCTGCCAAAAGATTTAAATGTGTTTAAAGTATCTTTTAATGCCTGTACATTTGGATAACTTTACTCAATATCTTTCTTAAATCCATTGAAAAACCCCATAAAGACTACACAAATTTACAATTCACTCCAAAATTGAAACAAAATTTAAACCTTTTCACCAATCATAACAATAAAAAAAGTTTGTGCACTTTAAATACTCTCGTAAGAGAGCTATAGAACAGTTACAACACTTTAAATTAAGTTTATTGTTTAATTACTCAACAACTATTTAAGGATGACAACTCAATGAAGTAGAGTTCCGTTTGAGTGTGCTAGTTAAATACATGCTTCTATCTGGTGAGACTGTACCCACCTATGATGCTAGGTTTCATTATGATGCCCGACAGGCCCAGAGCGACGCCCATCTCAAATGTGCGGCTACTCAGAATGAGAGCATCTGGTAACTCACTGGACAACTGGAGACACAGTCTTCTTTTCTATTATAAACAAGTAAAAAAATCAGCTGTTGGTATAACATCAAAATGAAAAAGGATATCAGTCCCAGCTATTTCTCCATAAGGAAATTCGCTAATAAGAAAGAAAATAGGGTGTTGGCAGAAGCATTGTCTTTGTCTAAAACAAACTTATTCAGCAATGTTATTTATTAATAAAATTAACATTAGCTGGTCCATGAGGACAAGAAGTCTACTTCTGTATCCAAAATTCAATTGTTTTCAAGTATGACATTACCTTCTTGAAGTCATCGTCAAAGTTGACAGTGTGTGTAATGGACGAGGTTATGAGAGTGTTGGTGAGAGCAGAGCCACCCATTGTGTGTCCCATCATAAACTGCGCTGCCTGTGCCAGCCCCTCACCAAACTCCTCAGGGCTCTCTAGTGTACCCTGCAAATGCATAATTAGATATGGGTGCCGTGGAAAAAGTGATTTTGAGGTTAGGAAAGATCAAATGTCAGTTTCTTGGTGTAAAAGTCAAATAACTTTTAATCAGGTGATTGGTACCAGAAATAAGCCAAAACTTAAATACAAGTTTTGTTCAAAGAAATTTGTCTCATCACCACAACTAACAAAACAATCAAGAAGTGTATTAAACTATTTCATAGATGCTGAATTTCAATTGGAAAACTACAACAAATGCACCAAGCTATTTGTGTTTATAATCTAACAATTACCAGAGGTGGCTCATAGAACAGGTCGCCCAGGCCCTCGGTGAAATCTGCCACGAGGGCGTAAGGGTTGCCGAGCACATCAGTCTGCAGCACCAGCACGTGTAACTGCTGCATCAGCTGACTGGTGTAGTGACTCAGCACCTCGGACAGTTCAGACTGCAGCGTCACCACACGGCCACGGGTCTCGTAGAACGCCGTCCTGCCAAACAACAAGCACGGAGTAAAGTCCCGCAATCTTGGCCATCGTTATTCTAGTAGTCTTTATTTCTCAGTGATTTGACTATGATTATGATCCCTAGCAAACTACGTGGCTAGGGATACAAAATTATTAATTGACTTATCTAACGTTTTCCCTTTTTTCAGAAGTAATTTACCAGCCTTCACAAATATTTTCAAGGACAATTGACAATTCAATTGGATAATTTGACAATTAGGGGACCAAAGAATGTCAGTTTTTCAGAAATAAAACTACAACCAACTTAAAAGCTAAGAAAAGACAACATTTGAAGATTTTTTTTATGTACTCTTTGACTAGTAGGGTTAAATAAAATTAAAACGTTTAAGGTTTTCTCTTACATCACAAATCAGTGAATTTGAAGCTGACATAGGTTCATCTCAGCTGAAAGTGTGTCTAGGTTTTACACCTCCTTGAAGACAATAGAAGTAACCTTTTTGACTATTTCCACATCTGTTATTACCGTGGAACCAGATTGTAAGAAACAATTGGTAAGACACAAGACTCCCATCAAAATACAAATCAAATTCGGGAACAGTGCAGACATTATCCGATGATTTAGCACAGTGTTAGATTACTGAGTTTGTTGAACTGTGTCACATTATCAAGGGTCAACTGTACTTTTAAAAGCTCCATCTCAAAACTTTTTACATTCAAAAGCGTAACATTATGCTCTGCTTACTTGAGCTTGATGTCCTTGACGTCCGTCAGTGATGGAGCGATGTTGTCCAGCAGCAGGTGCAGCACGTCGACCGTGTGTGAGCGACCCGGCAGACAACAGAACTGACCTCCCACACTGCTGCCTCTGGGCGAGAAACTCAACTGCAGCTTGAGTGGCGAGACATGCATCCACTCCACCACCACCTTGGACTGGGCCAAGGCTGAGGTATTCTGCACAACACAGAAGTTGTATGAGTTACAGACAGTCTCATTCTACAATTATTGTATGGTAAGTTAATTTCCCCCACAGCGGCATTTTCAATTAATAAGAACAAAATATTATATGCCACTATACTATAATGGACCTGTCGACACATTTGCTACCCTGTTTCTGATTCACGAAAGGATCCACGAGTCGAGGGTGCACCTCGTGAGATTTACAGCATTGCATTGGATACTGAAGCAGACATCCCATCTATATGGACCAGTTGTCGCAAATTTTTATTACAAAAGAACATATAAGAATAAGAATAAGAATAAGAATAAGAATCATTTATTCCATTGATCTTTTTACAAAGAAATAGGACACGTCATATACATTACAAAATAATCATCCAAATACAATCAAGTTTCTGATACATCCAAATAATATAAAAAGTACAATTAATTAGGTATAATAGCTGATTTTAATTAAAATTTACATCAAAATTACACTTTATAAAGTCACTTATGCTGTAGAAAGGATTTTGAATTAGCCAATTATAAATTCTATTTTGAAAATATTGTAATCAACAAATTTTGCACTATCAGGTAGTTTATTAAAAAAGCGAATTGAGTTAATTTTGAAAGGGTCACCCGTTTTAGCCAGTCTATGAGGTTTCATGCTGAGCTTGCCTCCACCCCTAGTATTGTACTCATGAGTGTCAGATCTAAGGGGGAAAGAATGCAAGTTTGACTTGGTGTAGAGTAAAACTTGAAAAATGTACAAATTAATTACTGTTGGAATTTTTAATTGTATGAAAAGAGGTTTACAATGAGATAGGGATCTTGAATTAGCAATATTACGAACTGCCTTTTTTTGAATCGTCAAAATATCAGCTACATGAGGGGAATGTCCCCAAACTAGAATGCCTTAGAGTATGTGGGACTGAAACAGACCAAAGTACGATAGTCTCAAATATTCTTGGTTAACAAATTTTTTTAATTTCCATAATAAGCAATCTACTCTTGATAACTTTTTGCAAACCGCCTCAATATGATTTGACCAACTTAATTTTGAATCAATGTGAAATCCTAAAAGCTTGACAGAATCTAGTCTAATTTCCTGCTTGAGACTCAATGTCAAATATTGTGTCTTTTCAAGATTAGAATGTAGCTCATTTGAAGAAAACCAAGCAAGAGCCTGTTCCTCAGCTTCTGCAGTGACCTGTTTCAGGTACTCTAAGTTTTTGTGACTGGCTAGTAAAGTGGTGTCATCAGCATAAATTATTGAATGGATATTGAGATTTTGAGACAAGTCGTTTATGTATACTAAGAAAAAGAAAGGGCCTAAAACAGAACCCTGAGGGACACCGGTCTCTACAGGTTTCATAGCAGAACATTTATTTTTAACTGATACATACTGTTTTCTGTCATACAAATATGATTGAATAATTTTTATTGTGCCATCTTCAATGCCATAATATGATAATTTACGTAGTAATACATCAAAAGGAACACTATCAAAAGCTTTACTGAGATCACACAAAACTAGCGAAACCGACTCCTTATTTTCAAATGCATATAGCTGTTTGAGCCAGTCAAAGAATGCGCTAGTGTCTAAAATTCTATTTTCAAACTTATTTTTTGTTGCTATCAAAGTTGATGGGTCATAACAGTTGCTATATATCACAATAAGTCATTCCATCTGTTGGAAATAATTTTTTACCAAGTCAAACTGACTTGGTAAAAAGGTTCGTGTATTCAACAGAAATTAGTAATTTAGATCAGCACAAACTATCAGTTTCTCACATCAACTACGACAATTTTGATTATAAACTGGCTATAACTTAACATGGGGATGTAATGTCTAGTTGTATCAATGGTCAAAGATTTACAGCCTCAATATGGCTCAGTTATTCAAGGAAGAATTTTGATTCCACATCAAATCATTCCACAACAAATTAACATAGTTTCTCTTCAAATAAAGTTTTTCTTGCATTTTGCAAGTGTGGGAGCTGGAAAACACGTTTTTGCTCAAGCTGCTTAGACAATTTTGCAGTAATAGGGTATCTGTAGTCAGCTATGCTGTGTAATTACCTATTGATATAATGTACAACACTGCCCTTTAACCCTATCACACTATAAAATTGTGCAAAATATTCTAGGCTGATGATACACATTCTTCTATTCTTCAACAAATACTAATAAATAAAATTAATATGCTCTTTTGTGCTGAGGTTTCCAAACCAAATTCCCTGTGGCATCGACCCACAACCACGCAACATTAGCAAAATATTTTAACTTTAACTACATGAGAACTTATAAAAAAATAACACAGTCCTTAAGTTTCAAATCCCCTAGAAATTGCTATTACACTTAACTATTTTGTAATAGGTAACACAACCTCTTAAGAGTCTCACAACTCTAGAGTTTTATTTTAGTTCTTTGGCTTTCAAAGACAAGAAAACAGATCAACCTTTATCTCCTCAATCATAATTTAAATTCAGCTGAACATACCAGTATGCTATTAAGGCCATAATAGTCACACTTATTTTGTCCATGAGTCATAACTTTATTTAGCAGAAATTTCTTCTGATGTCAGATATATTTATTCTATACTGTATAAATTGATGAGGAACGTAGTTTGTACCTTGGCTGAGGCCGGTTGGTGTAGCGTGGTGATGTCACTACGGATGCGGATCGCTGGTTTCTCTTCAGACAGCCACGGACTCAACATCTCATACAGAGAGAGTATGAATCCCTTGTCCAACCGGATGGAGAACTCTTGCATCAGTAGCTTTACAAATCTGTAGAGATAGTTAGATAAGTTTAAATTGGTTTATCTCGGTAAGTAAGAATGCAGGCAAGAGTAAAAGTACCTACACAATACTGCTGAATAAACACATTTCTAGTTTATTGTGTTTTTGTTCTAATCATAAAAGGAAATCAAAACTTGGATCCCCTTTTAGTGTTTAGATTTGGTGCTATATAGAATAGAAATATGTAAAAGATCTACAATGAAATGAATATATATACAAGATATCTTAAAATAAATACCCATAAATGAGGAATTAACATGAATTAATATACTCTAAACAAGGATAACATTGGAGACGACAAACTCTGTTAGAAATTTGTTATGTCTAGATAACCATTGGCGATTCGATGGCTGTCTGTGGTACATAAGACTGTGACACCGTTGCAGCAATGTCTTAGTTTTGAATACCAATAAGGAAATTTACAAGAGCAATGTGTTTAGATAATACTAGAGGTCGTCCAGTGGTCGAAACTCGACCAAAAATATGTAATGTGAAGACTTCTCTATTTTCACCCCACGCTGTAAATAAAACATGTGTCAGGAATTTCTTCCATTTGTTTTGTTTTCTGTTTATATTTCGTAACCAGTATGGCAACCCATAAGAACTATGTTATTATTTTTATTATTTCAAATCCATTTTTTTGTGCTTGTTTTTGAACCTATTTTAATTTATAAAGGTATTCTGCACATCTGCAGGAAAATACCTTTCTAACAGTATGCGTAGATTTTCCCTGCGATGCACACGAGCTGAGAAAAAAAGGTTTTAAAGAAACATGCTTGCCTATTAATATATAGATAGATGTATGATTACTATAAATGAATCAATTGGTCACAATCCGTTTTCTCATGATCGAATCAGGCTGGTTTTCAAACCCATTAAAAGGGGTTATTCTTAACCCAGATGCAGGTCAGTCAAGTATACTTCCTCACAAATAATCTCAGGCTATCTTATTTGTGTACCAATTAAGTTCAACACAGGCTTACGTTTATTTATCCAGTCTTCATTAATAAAATATATTTTTAAAATCAATATAATATTTACATTGATTACAAATTTTACTACATTCTAGTTATAGAAGTAAAATTACTTGATGAAATGGATTAAGCAACACACAACATAAATCAACATATTTCTGACTTTACTTGTAAACATCTTGGTTGTGCTTGGGCCTGTGTCGCTTCATCACTGCCAACTCTACACAAGGCTTGACTCCCACCTTCCTCACAATGTGTGGAGGGACTGCTGTGGAGTTGACAACTGTAGGGAACACTGCGTCCTGAGTCTGATTGTCCACCTAAACACATCACATACTTTTGTACAGATACTTCAGCCTTTTTTAAATTTTAAATGATACCATAATAGTTTAATGCTAGTTTTATTATGTTTCCCCTATTTTATAGGAGAGTAAAATTTCAAATGATTTAAAAAAAGTTTTTGGTGAACACACACAGCAAGGATAAGAAAAATATAGCAAAATTGCGGATTTGAGGTGCATGCAACTCACAAAGATTTAGTCAAGTTAACTTCAACATGAGACATCCACCAATTATTTTAGATCCGCCTTTCCCAACAAGCATAGTAGACAGACAGATGAAATCCTCATGAGTTTAACACTAGACCTGACAAACAGGATTTCAAGCCTCAATTTAGAGTGTTGTCTCCAACCGCTCAGCTATAAATCAGGCCTAGCTGTCCACCCCGTTAATAACACTGGTCGACCAATGGTTGTAAGTGGCGGTTTGTTCATGTTTATTCGTCCATAGTGGTGTGTAGGCTACATGTATCCGTCTAACCTGCAGCCTATGCAGCTTGAAGTGCAGATAAGTGTGGTGATGAGACTTGCGTAGCTGCAGCCACACTGCCGGACTGTAACGTCTCCTCAACTCCCCGTAAAATGGCTTGGTCATGTGCATCTTCTCAAAGTCAACCTTCACATAGACAGATTACCAGTACTTATACATCTTATTTATTGATAGTAGCTTAACCCACAAGCTGCAACTGGATATGAACTAATCAACGGGTATTAGATACTCATTCAAACACATTTATAAGCTTATCAGAAATTTTAATGATCTATTCATAGAACAAAATATCCACTTCTGTGCTAAATTTCATCCGATTCTATTAAGGGGATCTGACAAATTGTGAGAAACTTCCATTCCTCCAAATACATCTTAATAACAATAGTATTAGTATGGATACCATAAACAAATAAATTGATAATTCTTTAGATGAGTATTTTTTTTTACAGTGCAATTTTTTATATATAATCAGGTAAATGACGACCGACATAAGATTCCAACTGTAGAATAGATTTGATACAAAAGCGACACTTTGTGCCGTTGAAAAAATGTATTGTTTTAGTTTTAACATTAAAATATAAAATTTGTATTACTTGTTTATATAAAGTTTAATAAAATATGTTAAGGCTATTTAGTAGCAAATAACATGTGTAGATTTTACAACAATTTGAAAGGCCCATAATTTTTGTTGAACTAATTATACAATTGATGTACTAGACAAAGCTTTGAACCTCCCTTTTTTTGTATGGACAATATTTACTCACATGCACATACTCCTTCATCTGCGCCTTCTTACAGTCGAGTTTCCAGCGTTCCTCTATCCAGGAGGCGAGCTCCAATGTCAGCATCTTCCACTTGTGCGCCACATTCACTTCCCACACTGCTGAGGAGTCGTTGGCACTCACGTACGCCACCTCTCGGACACTAGGGTGGTGGCTGTTGTTCACCTATGAAATTAAATGAAAATCCTTCTTTATTGAGGCGAACTTAGGTTCTTCTACCTCTAAAAATCTAATAATAACAACAAAACATTAACGGAAAATACAATTAAGTTTGTAACGCCATCCTGCCAAGCCACTGCTATCCGGTTGAGGTAATATTCTTTCAGGGCCACCATCAGTCGGGATCAGTTTTATATGGATTTGATGGGAAAAAGTATGGAGTTCCATTAGGCGGCATGATGTTACTAAATATTATTTATAACAAATAACGTAGACGTGTAAGAGCGGGTATCTCTTGTACCTATTCACGCAAAAATTAAAATTCTTTGCAAGATAATTTGGAATTCCAAGACTGATGGTTGAGTGAGTACTGCCATACACCTGGCCTTGACATACAAAGCATACAGTCAATTGGTACAGTATTTTGAATTGTACACACATACAAAGGCTATTCAAAATATAAAAGACAATTATGTTTGGTGTCACTAGATGCTAGGTCACACAAGGACCAAAGACAAATCCCCATAATTTCATCATTATCAAAGCTTAAATGTGACTTGATAACTCTTTTATCAAATGTATTTTGGTGTGTGCATGTTTGACAACTCGGATCACATTTAGCAAAAAATAACAAATGTTCCCTGCAGCCGACTTCGTAATAATAAAATTGGAAATGTGTGTTGCAGTAGAAACCCCAACCATTTGTAGAGTGCAGTTTGTTTTGCAAGTACACCAACACTAATAGAATTGGTACATGCTTGTGTAAAAGGAAACAAAACAATATAATTAAACTTCTGTCAAGAAATTGTGCATGCAAAAAGAACATCGTGCCACTCTCTTCATCACTTCACTTTTCTCCTCTTTGTCTAGCATGCATTTTGTTGCTTTTATCTTCTTGTGCAGTTTCACAGTTATGTTATGCCACTCATCCTACACTCATCTCCATTCATACTTGGCTTAAAATACCTACTTTGTATGGTCGCCATTTCATAGAACAGTATTAACAGTATTTCGGTTGAGGATTCAACTGAAGACTATGTTTAATAAAGATCTCGCACTCACCAACGACAAACCAATGCCTCTCATAGACAAGAAGATCTCCAGATTGGCTTTCTCTGCGTCTATCTTGCCTCGTGCTTGGAATGCCACTCTCTCATCCTGAGTGAACAGCAGCACTCTCTGCGGACCTTCCAAGTAGCTCACCCAGAACACAACCACCTTGTCTTTCCTGGTCTTCTTCATCAGCTACAACAAAATAGACTAGTGTTTGTACAAATTTTTGTAGTCTAGCTAGACACAGTAGAGCCTTGGTTTTCCAATCATCGGTCATCAGACCATCTAAGTTATCTCAAGAATGGTCGAGTACCATGAAATCACATTCTACTTCAGTGTGATATAACTGTACACCATAGTGGGTGTGTAAAAACAACCCATTTTGCTGCTCCTGTCTGTACATGGAAGATATTTAGTTTAAGACCTATTTACATCTGTGTGATAATTTCTCGATTGTTTTAGAGGGACATACCACACGAATCATCAACCCCCCTAACACCTGAATACCTCTTTGTTACCCCTAATGTCTTTATCAAAATGTGGCATTTTTTCAGTTATGTATATTTTTTTTATGTACATTTGTATGCACAGGGAAGAAAGGGGTATGTTTCAATGAAAAACAAACTTAAAGGCTACAAAGTATGACAACAGTGAAACTTTGTTGATTCAATGATTTGAATATGTTTGTTTACAGAGGTTTTTTTTTAATTATTTGCTGTGTTATCCGACCTGTTCCCCTATATCTGACCTTGTCGCAACAGTTTTAGAAAGGATAATCCAGACAACTTTATTGTAACTAAGTATTTTTGCCCAACCAATCAGTGTTTGTTTTACCTGTGGTCGCTGTAACTCGTCCGACTCACTGTCATCGCTGCTACTGCTTTCGTCTTGTGGCGGAGTTGACAGTCGCTTGAGACTGGCCGACAACTTGGCTGTCACTGTTGCTGTCGTTGTCGCTGTCGGTGTCACCGGCTGTTGGCGAACCATGTGGAAGCTTACTCTCTCTTGGCCATAACCATCCTGTCAAGAGACGAAGAACAAAATTAGGAGATTGAACTATTGATCAGTTTTAAATAATTATTGTTTTGCTGTTTAATGTGGTTTTGTTTAGTTATAGTGCTATTCAGAAAGTAACTGATATCCTAACATAACAAGTCAAAATAATTATTTTGGGGTAAACACTGTTTTTAAACATCAAGCTGTCATAGCATGTACTGTGTGTCTCATTTACTTTGTCTGCAGCTGTGAAAATAAACACTGTAATCATGCCATTCCACTGATCGTCAACAGAACTTGTGATAGTGTTAAAGCCAAGTGTTGTAAACTTGTACAGTATGGAAATAACTGATTTTAAATTAGCTTAATAATTCACTCGCAAAATAAAGCAGCACAGTTGTGACCTAGTTTCGACCAAAAAAACCCAAAGACAAAACCGTAAACATTAATATTTATAGTTACAGAACTATTTAACTACTACCCCTAAATTTAATTGAGCTTAGTTTATGAACCAATTAATATAGCAGAAGCTACCAACAAATTTTCTTTGGCGTAAATGCTCTAATTTGAATGTTGGAACAGTTTAAAAACAGATATTATAATTTAAATTTATACAGCAATTTTGGTTTTTTTTTTTAAATAATAAAAGGATGTTAAGAAATTTAAAGAAGTGATTATTAAACGAAACCTCACCTTGTTAAAGTCAGCCATGAAGCCTTTGCATTTTTTGTTGTAAACATTCCACAGAAGGCAACGTTCTTTGGATGGATCATCCCAAGTGTAGAGCATTGACTGGTAAGGACTCAGTAGAGCTACCTGGAATCAACAACTTGTCTGAAACACCATCATGGACAACCATGTCATCTTATTTTGTTTTCTTTTGACAATGGTGTTTTGACCATTGTTAACACAAAACAGACTACCAACACTTAATTAGGTTCTTGTCTGGTTATGGTGTTTGTTCACTACATTCTACCACACTATACTCTATTAAAAAATTTAGGAAGTTTGAGGGGGAGCAATTCCATACCCTCCACCTCACCCAAACATTTAAACAACAGCCAACAGCTGATCAACTGATCTATACATTAAGCTTAAAAGGTGGTGGGGGAACTCAGGAAACCTCCCCCTCAAACCACCTAAATTTTGTGAACGGACCATAACCCTAGAAAGCATCAAAGGTAGATAGGCTAGTTATCAACAGACATGTACACTCTTACATCCTAAAACAACACAAGAGTTTCATTGTGAAGCATGTGCAAATGGCTCTCAAGGTGACTGACAATTCCCACACAATTCCCAGAGTAATGCAGCGCCAGAGCTTAGCAGAGGACACGTTATGCACATTGGACTTCATTAAGTCAAACTTGGGTATTGGCTGAACCCAATATTGTCAATAGCCCCTCGGTGTTTAAAACATTGGGTTGGATAAAAAGAATACCTCTTCATAGAGTTAAATCCAAGTCGCTAAACCATTGCAGCTTTTTTAATTCTACGACAGAAATCCAACATGAAGCCATCAAAAGGCAACCATTCACTAGTTTGAAACTGCCCTACAACTAAATGTGGGATCATCTGTCAATCCTTGTTTGAACTATCAATAGGTTCTTAGGATTGCTAAACCCTTAGCAATATGGGATTACCCCTGAACAAATGTACTTAGGAATGGTTATAAAAGAGATTATTTTTTATTATGGACCAATTTAAAATGAAATCAATATATCAAGATGGTTCAGATTGTAGCCTTAGTAAATGTACAGACCTGTCCAAGCTGCTGCTGATGGATTTTCAAGAAGAGGTCCTCACACAGGTTGTCCACCCTGACTGGAGCGTCGCCCGGCTGGTAGGGACGGAACATGATGTAGAATGGCCTCTCTCCCCCTCCACTCACTTCCACACACAGACCACACTGCGGGCACACAGTTAGTTATCAGAACATGTTACTATAGTTATCTATCATTATCATTATGTTTGAGATAGAAACACAACATTTAGGTGTGCATCTTAGGCTGTGGTTTCCTAGACGCGTAATAGATGCACAGCAGTTTAGATGCGCTGCGGCTTTTATCCAGGTCCCAAAACGCAGCTGCCGTGAGTGGTTTCCTAGATTGCGTACAATACAAATGGTAGGTGCGTAACTTAAGTTCACGGGAGAGATTACTAGTGGCTACTATGGTGTTATACGATGATTAGATAATGAAATGCATACTTTGGTCAGTTTTGAAGAAGCGTAAGCGGTGAAAAGTACATGATTAGGAAATGTACGTGGCCCTCGCGGAAGTTTTAACCGTAGTATAAGAGCAAACATGTCAATTTAAAATGTAAAAAATAAATTTTAATTTAACCTCTCCAACTTTGCTTTTACTGTTATTATATTTAGGCCTACCTATTCGGAATTTACCGAATTGACGAATAGTATATTATTTACGAGTATAACTGCAATAATCATTTCATACTTATACGCCAGCCCCGTAAGAAGGACGGGTACTCTGCTAGTAATTAATATAGGATTATTACTAAAATGTTCAGGGGTTCTTAAAATAATTATGGGGGCTCTTATATTTGGGAGTCTGGTGTTGTGCTGGCTTGAAAAGAATGTTTGTCAACATTAGGTTTATTTACAAATTACAAATATGTGAGGACAAATTAATTGTAGGGAACATTTAATAAGGGAATTAAATATTAAAATTACACATAATGGGGAAATTAACACTAACTAACGAATGATATGAAATGTAATACTATAACAATTTTAATTGTATGAACAACGTACTTCCATAATATGTAATTTCAAGAGTCGAATTCAATAGATTTTTTGTTGTTGTTGGGGAATTTTGCCATCTGGACATCATTTACTTCCAAATCCATTGCACAAGACATGTCTAAAACACAGCGTAACTCAGATTTGACTGCTCTGAGAGCAGTCGGTGAAATACGCAGCTATTGGTGCGCTCGTATTAGATGTGCGCACATTAGATACGCAGCCTTGGAAACCGCTTACACGAAACTCCATACGACTCTTAGATGCGCACACGCAGCACATCTATTACGCGTCTAGGAAACCACAGCCTTAAGTTAAGACACAGGTTGAGTGAAGAATAAAGTGGGATGAGCTTTTTCACTGACATAAATCAGATATTTTCAAGCCATCAAAAACTACAAGATTTTCACAAGATCATATCATACACCTTTTGGTTGTTAGGTGAACACTAACACGTAGGGGAAAATGTTGGAGTAGGCTATGTAAAAATTCATTCAGCTAAACAAGTGGCCTGTGTTTTGCCAAACAAACTAAAACCTTCAGTGGCTGAACCATCACACGTGTCTACTTTTAGTTATGACATCTATATGAAAAAAATACTTGTCTGGATCATTTAAGTAACTAAGGTTAAGACAACTACACAAGTACATTGTACTAAAGGTTTTTTATAGCTTGTATTGTCTCAGGTGGCCATTTGAAGAAGCCCTAATATATTTATCTATTCTGATGAGGTAATTGGTTACCCCTCTATCCATGCGTAGAACAGTCTGATGAATGTTGGCGATGGGGAAGTGCTGAGAGACGACTTTGCTGTCCCGGAACTTGACAAACATTCTCATAGAGTCTGTGTCTGGCCAGAACGGAACACACTGAAACAGTAACACTTAGTCAGACGTGTGTGAAGACCCTTCCTGAGCTTTTTAAAATAGGAAAAGTTGACACCCTTTTACGGTGTCGACAGTTAATGGCAACTAAATCGCAAAAACACACTTAACTTGAACAAATAACAGAACAAAAGGCACATAACTAGCTTAAACAAAATATAGGTACAAAAAAACCTGTTTAAAATTTTGTTATCCAGGAAGCAGAATAAACAGTTTTTGTTATAAAACCTTAACTTTATTTGGATCAAACAAGACATAAGTACACCTTATGTTTCCAAAGAACCAGATTCTCCTTTTTTACAACCTGTGGGCAGTTGGGGAAGCACAGGTAAATAAACTACTTTGTAAATAATTACGGCTATTTTTGTTACCAGGTATATACACAGAGACGGATTTACCTGAGAGGGCGCCAGGTCTATCCAGAGGTCGGCTCGCTCGTTGTCCTCCATGAACCTCAGATGTCTCCGAGTCTCGTTGGTCACTAGGAAGTTCGGTAGCAACGTGACAATGCGGGTCATGTGAGGGGAGGAGCAAGAGAGACTTACTGTCAGCAAGATACGATACCTCCGTTTCCTTTCTCGATCCCTACACAACAAAGGGAAGGTGAACGAATGCTATGATTCTTATGTGAGCAGATCAGCAGTCAACTAATTGTAATTTGGAAGTAAATGCAAGACTTGTAGCAATTCATTAACACATCTGAGTGACGACCTTGCACGGGTATTGCGGGAAACCAAATATCCGAAGGCCAAGTTGAGATTTTAACACTTGTTTTAAAGGAATAAAGTTAATTTGAATGACTTACTATTAAAATTGTTAATACATAAAAAAATATTTTAAATGGGAAAATGTCTATCCTTAGGACAACAACGGAGGTGTACCATATTCTGATAATTTGTACCATAATGTTACAATAGTTTGACACTCATAACATCATGTAACCACAATTTCTGTTTAGGTTGGCAATATGCAAAATCAGGCGATATTTCTAATAAAACAGCTCATGGCTATTTCCCGTGACGTCATATCACGCCACCATCACACCACCTTTCCGAACAAGCCTAAATCCCCTCTCCTCACGTCAGTCCACACCATGTATTAGTCCCGTCAACACCGTATACCCTTTGCGGCCCTCTGAGCCCCTTTTAAAATGTAACAAGTGTATTTATTACAACGCCCTATCCCTGACCCCAAAACGTACAGTACGATGACGACGTATCGTACAACTGGCGACGAGGAACACGGAATATTATCGCGTTTTAAAACTTAAATTCGCGAACAAAGTGACAGTGCAAGTGAACAAAGTTACAGTGCAAGTGAACAAAGTGACAGTGCAAGTGAACAAAGGGACAAGTGAACGTGAAGAAACGGTCGACGAACGTCAAACAACCGCGAATATTGACTCAGACTCATATTCTTGGCGGAAACGTTTTCGTGAGTGTAGAAAGGTACACCTAACATAACGTTATTCTTTGTTTTATGGACGTAATATTAGACTACGGACAGTTAAATAAGTGTAAAAAAGGCACTTATGCCGTTGACTGAAAGTTATTTCGAACAATTCGGACAGTTAGCGGAAACGTATTTTTCAACAAACATGGCAACAATTGGTAATATCGGTCCTTTTGACAGCGCCGAAGAAACTTGGCAATCGTATACAGAGCGATTTGAACTTTTTGTAGACTGCAACGGGATTAATGCCACAAAGAAAGCGAGCACACTACTAACGGTAATGGGAGTCAGGACGTATAAATTGTTAAAGGACTTAATCACACCTGATAAACCTTCGTCCAAGACGTACGAGGAAATTGTAGACACGGTCGGTAAACATTTACACCCGAAACCGTCGTTTATTACAGAACGTTTTAAATTCAGCCGCAGACATCAGTTAGAACACGAAACAGTGAGTGATTATATCGTACAACTTAAGCAGCTATCGCAACATTGTGAGTTTGGGGACAAGCTTCCAGACCATCTACGAGACAGACTGGTATCAGGCCTCAAGAACCACCACATCCAGAGACGACTGCTGGGGGAGGAGAACCTGACCTACGACAAGGCAGTACAGCTGGCAACGTCAATGGAGTTCGCCGAGAAAGGAGCAGCCCAGATGACGCTTAATCCAGGAGGACGACTTCAGCGCCTCAGTCAGACGACAAGGACAGCACCAAGCGGAAGCGGGGGAAAATTCGCAGCCAACAGAGGTTCGGCAACGTCACAGCCCCGGGAGTGCAACTGCTGTGGAAAGAACAATCACAATACTCTGCAATGTCGGTATCGTGAGTACAATTGCAATTTCTGTAAGAAGAAAGGACATCTTGAAAAAGCTTGTAGATCTAAGAGTAGAAGTGTAAATAAGCCCCATTTTAGTAAACAGTATAATGATGTATCTAAGACTAATGGACAGTCTAGGGGAGGAAATAAGTCGTATTTTAATTCAAAGTACAGTAATGCTAATGCTAGGCAACATTATGTAACAGAAAATGTCCCTGAACAAAGTGTAGACGAAGACACGGTATATGACATATCTAACTTATTTCAGGTACAGGGAGTAGAAGTTAGGAAAAAAGTAGAACCAATTAGAGTGCAATTAGAGGTAGAGAGCAAAAAGATCCTATTTGAAATTGATACCGGAGCTTGTGTGTCAGTTATATCTGAAAAAGATTACAAAGTAAAGTTAAGTCACGTAAAGTTACTACCAACAAGCTTAGTTCTTAGTTCGTACACACACGAAAAGATCGTACCTATCGGTAAACTATGTGTAAATGTAAAACATGAAGGTATTTGTAAACAATTAGAGCTGTATGTTGTCCCTAACGGTGCAAACCCATTGTAAGGTAGGGATTGGATGAAAGCACTGCAGCTAGTTGTTAGTATCAAAAATAGTAGTAAAGTAAACAATGTTCAATCAGCTGTGGATGACAGCTCAGTTGGTACACCTGTCAGCTGTTCTGCTAGCAGAATGGTCGACACTAGCGCGCCGACTGAGGTGGCCGACACCGCAGTTACCAATGTAAACAAACAAACAAATGTCACAGTACATCAGCAGGGCAAGCAGCTAGTTAAACAGTTGTATGAGGAATTCCCTGATGTTTTCACAGACAAGCTAGGTTGTTTTAAGGGAGAACCAGTCAAACTTAAACTAAAACCTAATGCAACCCCTAAATATCATAAGCCAAGGACCTTACCTTTCACACTTAAAAATAAAGTAGAAGCAGAACTAGCACGTTTAGAAGCTGAGAGTATTATTTCACCAGTAAATTCAAGCCAATGGGCTACCCCTGTAGTACCAGTTTTGAAAACAAATGGTCATTTAAGATTGTGTGGAGACTATAAAGTAACGCTAAATCCTTTCTTAGAGATAGACAGACACCCTTTACCTAAGATTGAAGAATTGTTCTCCAGTTTGCAAAATGGAGACAGGTTTTCTAAAATAGATTTGTCACAAGCATATCAACAACTAAGACTAGATGATGAAAGTAAAAAGTTATGTACAATTAGTACCCATAAGGGCTTGTTTGAGTACAATAGATTATGTTATGGCATATCATCTGCTCCTGGTATTTTTCAGCGCACAATGGAGCAAACCTTACAAGGAATACCAGGTGTAGCGGTATTTCTAGATGACATTCTTGTAACAGGACAAAATGACTCTGAACATATTAGTAAATTAAAGTTAGTTTGTAAACGACTACAAGACAATGGTTTCACAGTCAGTAAAAGTAAATGTAAATTTTTCTGTGAAAGTTTAGAGTATCTAGGGTTTGTCATAAGCAAACGAGGGTTGGAAACTTCACAAGACAAGGTCAAAGCCATTGTAAACGCCCCAGAACCAAAAGATGTCACCCAATTAAAAGCATTTTTAGGCTTAGTTAACTACTACGCTCGTTTCATACATAGAATCTCAACCATACTTACCCCTATGTATATGTTATTGAGGAAAGACACTGAATTTGTATGGAATTTAGCGTGTAAGAAAGCTTTTGAAGAAGTTAAGCAAAAACTAGTATCAGCCCAAGTACTAGCTCATTTTGACCCTAAGTTAAAGTTAACGTTAGCATGTGACGCTAGTGCCTATGGTATAGGTGCAGTTCTAAGTCAAATTCAAACAGACGGTACTGAAAGACCTATTGCATTTACAAGTAGAGTGTTAAATGATACTGAAAAGCAGTATTCACAGATTGACAAAGAAGCTCTTAGTATAGTGTATGGAGTAAAAAAATTCAACCAGTACTTGTATGGTAACCATTTTTTGTTAAAAACAGACCACAAACCGCTTGTAGCTATTTTTGGACCTAAACAAGGTTTACCTGCATTTGCAGCTAGTAGGCTCCAACGCTACGCATTGTTTTTATCAGGTTATCAGTACGACATTTCTTATGTTAAATCCGAATGTAACGGAAATGCTGATGGTCTATCACGTTTACCAGTAAGTAATCCTGTGAACGATGAAATCAATGACAATGACTTAAATGTAAATATTGTAGGTACCTATTTACAGTGTTTAATTGAGAGTGAACTTCCTCTAAGTTATGTAGAAGTAAAACGAGAGTCAGCACTAGATCCTATACTAAGTAGAGTGATAGGTTATGTTAGATTTGGATGGCCAAATGACGTAAATGAGAGGGATCCTATGTTAAATCCATTTTTTGTGCGACAGTCACAATTAACTTTTGAACAAGGACTCCTAATGTGGGGTTACAGGATCGTCATCCCAAGCAAGTTTAGAACACATATTTTACAAGAATTACACAATGGCCATGTAGGGATAGTAAGAATGAAGGCGTTGGCAAGATCCTATGTTTGGTGGCCAAATATCGATTTAGATATTGAACAAATTGCTGGTAATTGTACATCATGCTTGAAGGAACGTGTAACTCCGCCCAAGTCGATTTTGCACACTTGGAATGTACCAGATAAGGCGTGGTCCCGGATTCATATTGATTTTTTCGGACCTTTTCAATCAAAGTTATTTTTAGTAATTAAAGATGCTTATTCAAAGTGGCCGGAAGTGTTACCCGTTCCATCAACGCAAGCAAAACACACAATATCTCATCTTAGAGAATTGTTTGCTAGATTTGGCTTAGTAGATCACATTGTCAGTGACAATGGACCACCTTTCACAAGTACAGAATTCCAATCATTTTTGCAAAAAAATGGAATCAAACACACATTTTCTCCACCATACAACCCAAAGACTAATGGCTTAGCCGAGAATGCTGTAAGAACAGTAAAACACAAACTTAGAATAGCACTACAAGACACTTCTGATTTGAACTTAGCATTATCAAATTTTTTGTTTACATACAGAAATACAGTACATTCCACAACCAATCAAACACCAGCAGAGTTAATTAGGCAGATCTCTGAAATCAAGGTTAGACTTAATTAGACCTAATGTGAAGGATGTCATTAGTAGTAATCAAAACAGACAAGTTTCAGTTTATGGTGGTGTCACAACTCGTAGATTATTTGTTAATCAACCTGTGTTAGCTAAAGATTACAGGGGAAGGGAAAGATGGATAGAGGCTACAGTTATTGAAAAACTGGGTCCTGTAACTTATTTAGTTGAACTAGAATCAGGCGTTCAGTGGAAGCGTCACATAGACCAGTTGATAGCTTTACAGTCTAAGCTAGGGCAGCAGTCAGATTTAGTAGTAGAATTTCCCAAAAACGATCTGACAACGTCGCTTCCAGACAGACAAACGGCAACATTGCAAAATTCGCCAGACTACACACTGACAGGGAACAGTAGCGAAGGTATGCGAGCTCTTCCGGGCACAGTCGGACAGAGAACTCCGATATTGACTAGGTCACCTGACGCAAACCAAAACATTGAAAGAGCGGGGTCATTGGCTTCGCCTCCAAATGTAAACAAATCGCCAAATGTAAACAGACAGACGCCTACTAGACGCTTTCCTGTACGGGAGCGCAAACCTGTAATAAGATTAGACCTTTAATTGAATACCCGGACATGACTTGTATATAGATTTATTTATTATATATCCTTATCAATGATTTTCAAATGTGTATTTATTGAATTGTGTGGACCATTATGTGTGTTATCATTATTTAATATCATCAAGGTTCAATGTTTAATGCTATTAATGTTTATGATTTTAAGTGTGTATTTCATTTACTTGTGTTTTTAATGTGTGATATTATCTCAATATTTTGACTATATATATATATTTAGAAACTGATGATTGATTGATTCTTATTCTTATTTAAATGATTGGCAAACAAAAATAACTAGTGTACATGTTGCTCGAAATCGAGCAATTGCAAAGAAGTACAGGAGTTATTTATAAACAAATAATTTGTTTAAAAACTAATAACAGTCATTATTTTCGGTGATTTTAAAAGAGTCAACTACAACATTATTAACCAATGGAAATACTCACAATTTACATAACAGTCCTATTCCGTTTTAAAGGGTTAATTTTTAACAACCAAACTGTCCATGGACGGGAAAAGGTAAGCTTACAATTTAAGTCAACGTAAAAAGGCTGTCAGCTTTTATAAAGTACCGTACCTAAGTTATTTAGCCAATTTGTAGACAATAAGGTGTAGGCTACTTTAAACTCTACAGGACAGAGTTAGGCAAAAACTGGCAGAACTCTGAAATGGTGGTTATTTATCATAGGCTTACTCATATGCCAAATCCTTAAAATAAGAATTTAATAACTTATATCATCAAACATAAACCAACATCCAAAACTATACACATTTTTAATGCAACATAGATAATTTACACATTGACTGTTTACAATTAACATATGTTCTTCTTCTCACTATTAGTTTTTCCTTCGCAACGGGAAATTTTTTTTTGGATTAGCTGTCCGAAATTGTGAAATGGCATTTGACAGTTCTGGTTGTTTAAACATTTAAATGTCAAAGCAAATGTAAACATTGTGAATTTTCTAATGCTTCCATGGAAACCAATTATTAATATTTAATTTCTGACAACAGCTGGAGTTTCAAAACAGTGTTTGTTTCCCAAGTTAATCTTATGGAGAAATACGAAACTTTAAAGGGCCCCAGAGCCTCACTCTCTAATAATTTCCCTAAAAAGAAAGTTTCCTGCACAACTTCACGTTACGCTCTTTCCAATGACACCAAAAACATGTCAATCAGTTCAGTAGTTTCGGAGGAGTAATTGTCACAAAAATCCTGCTTGCGTATTAAATAAGTATAGATAATGAATTAATAAGATATTCTGATATTGTTATTTGTGATTTAAGTTTTCAAGATTATAGTAACCGATAGCATCACAAAACTTAAGAGGGGAGGATTGTACCATATTCTGATAATTTGTACCATAATGTTACAATAGTTTGACACTCATACCATCATGTAACCACAATTTCTGTTTAGGTTGGCAATATGCAAAATCAGGCGATATTTCTAATAAAACAGCTCATGGCTATTTCCCGTGACGTCATATCACGCCACCATCACACCACCTTTCCGAACAAGCCTAAATCCCCTCTCCTCACGTCAGTCCACACCATGTATTAGTCCCGTCAACACCGTATACCCTTTGCGGCCCTCTGAGCCCCTTTTAAAATGTAACAAGTGTATTTATTACAACGCCCTATCCCTGACCCCAAAACGTACAGTACGATGACGACGTATCGTACAGGAGGAGAACGCAAAACTGTGACTTAATGACTCTTCAAACCTGACTGCCCCACATCTCTCAATTTGGTGGTCCTACAAGTCACACTGAATAATGACACCTCTTGTCAGCAGAACAATTAGGCCATTAGCGTAGCGAACGAGCTAACCTGAAGGCAAGTGAGCGCAGCGAACGAGCTCCAACCTAAAGGTGAGTGAGCGTAGCGAACGAGCTCCAACCTAAAGGTGAGTGAGCGTAGCGAACAAACTTCAACCAGGACGTGATTGAGCCATGCGAACGAGATAATCTTGAAAATTAAGAAGTTAAACGGGGCAAAGCCCGCGGGTTACAGCTAGTTACCTATATTAGTGGCAATGGCTGAAATGACCCAAAGTTGTGTTTTGGGGTAGTATTCTTAATATTCAAAATGTATTCCTAATAAATTCCAGACCCACACATCTGATGGTTACTATTTTAAAGTTTTTTTTCTTTTTCAAGAGGGGGTTGAATATTAAAACTGGAAGTTGAATGTTTGGTTGTGCTTAGATATGAGTTTAAATTTATTTATATAGCTTGGTAGGCAAGCTTTTTATATGAAAACCAACTTATAGTCTTGAGGAGTTTGAGTAAATTTAAGAGAACAAATAGTCAAATCTACCTTGTAATAAGAGCAAAAAAAATTGTCTACCATATTGGAACGCTCACATGTTACCAACACAAAACTACATGAAAACAATCTTCAGATTTTATAATAAGATAAGAAGTCTACTTGCACTATTTAGTATCAATATTTTGTTGTTAAGTTTATATAATGTTAAATATTTTTTTATTCAGATTTTAACTGGAAATAAAAAAATAGTCTACAACATAAAAGGCAACCTGCAGACGACGAGGCCAGAGCAGCCCACGGTGTCTAGAGAGAAGGCGGATGACCAGGACGAGTGGTAGGCCCGGAGACGAACACAACGTCGACGATGTTTTCTATAGCAGAACAACAATGGCTCCTCACTTTGCGCCTCGTACACAACATCAGACAGCGATGCCTGCAAACATCACAGTGGAGCGTAAGCAATCAATTATATACTGATACATACCTAATAATTTTATACTTCATTCTAACTCAGTTGGTCTTATTATCAGAGTAACGTATGTTCATAATTTGGAAATAAAATCTTTTGGCACAGTTTATAAAATGAAGTGGCATTGTTGCCGTAAGCCTTCTCATGAACAAGTTGGTAAATATGAATAAACAATGTTAAACATTAAACGTCATTGGGAAATTTTGTTTAGGAGTTATTATGCTTAGAGGCTCATGCATGTAAATGCATATCAATATCCTATAATTATTGACAAGAGCAGAGTTGCTGGACCGAAATTAAGATTAAAAAAATCCTACATCCTATGGTGTTTTACACTTTACTTCAGGCTGCCAACATGATTGTAGCATTATGACTTAAATAAAAGCCATTTTAAACACTGGCCCTTTGGAACCAAAGCCCTGCGCTCTATCACTAGCCCAGCGGTCGGTCCCTCCAGATCTACATTAACCATGAGGACTAAGTTACTAAGAAAGTAGCATTAAATATTTGTTGAAATTTGATCTTTGACAATTTTTACTAACGATAGGCCTACTCTAGCTTAGATTTTCTTGATATGCTTAGCTTAGCTCTAGCTTAGAGTGGACTTGGTTATAGATACCCGTATCTGTAGAGGGAGTCCGGTCTTGTTGATGATCCAGTAGGGCGCATGCAGCAGAACGTCACACACCTCACTGCGCTCTACTCTGATGTTGAGTCCCAGCTGTTTGTTGCCGCCCTCTGTGTCGTGTTCTGTTGCCATGGCAACCACCTTCTCCTCTAGATCACTGCTCAGAGTCCACGAGCCCTGCCATGGAATGCCCAGGTATGAAGGCACCTGTCCAACAATAATAATTTGTTAACAATAATATAATCATCTGTATCCAAACACTCATTTTACTTTGAGGTGGATTATAACCTCGCCCAGTGTCTGAAAGGTCATGGCTATTTTCGGCCGTATCTGTTCAGGACTGGCATCATCACTGCACAGGCCTTTTCGACAACACAGAACATACTCCTCCTAAGGGAAAAAAACCTTGCCTGAAGGCTCAACATGAAGTAGAACTGCTGTCGGTGGACATTGTCAAGATGATGACAAAGGATGAGGACTATTGGACCTGTGTGTTACAGTTTGTCCAGGGTATTCTCTGCACGAGGAAGCTCAACCTCAACTAGGATGCTGACTGGGTGATAAAAGAACTAAATGCCAGAAACTGCAGGCCCTGAGGTCTGTGTCCAACTGAGTAAACATATTTTTTTGTGAGTAGACTGATCAATTCAGGAGCCTCACATTACAGGCTGGCCACTTATATCTGTAAAATGTGCGTAAAAAAATGTTTGATCATTATGAGTCATTGTAACAAATAACAGCAGCAGTATACAAAACCTGAAAACTTACTTCGACAACAATTTTGTGCATTTTCATAAGATTGAGGAAGTATATGTTGGCCTTGTCGCCAGCTTCGATGCGAACGTCATACTTGATGGATGGTATCTTGAGCTGGACGGCGTATGGCAGACGGTTGTGTACAGCAAGTGGCGGCAGCAGACGGATCAGGTAGTTAGGCATGGAGCGTGACACTCTACTCATAGGCACCCCTTCCTCACACAATGCCTGTTTCAACAAAATGTGTTACTGATGAGCTTATTTGTTAAATAAAACCGCTACTTAGAGGTAAATAGAAAACGGTACTATGATACCGGGTTCACTCAAGACTAACTAAAATACTGTAGAAGTAATCCTTCCTGTAAAAAGAATAAAAGAGAAAGGCTTACAAAGGTCCAAACCACTTAATTGGATAGTTTTTTCATGATGTAGTTTTGATTTTTGGGCTTTTAAGAAATAGTCCGGGCTAAAAAAGAGCTGATTTTAATTAATAACGAAGTTAAGCAGAATATTTAAATGTGTTCTATACTCACCTAGTATTCACCATTCAACTAATAAAGTAAATCAATGAGTAATGTTTAAAGCAACAAAAATTTCCCTATCTTGCCAGATTCTCTTGTATAGTAATTTTGGTAAAAAAGACACGGCTGATTTTACTCCTAAAATTTAAAAACTGAACTATCCACAATAAGTGTGGATCTTGCTGAATGACTGTGAGTTTAAAGTTGTATATTGGGCTTGTTAATAATTTCTCAGTATAAGGAAGTAATATAATATTCAACTTTGTTACTTTCTGCCCATCTTCAATAAAAATGTAGCCTAAATAATATTAATTTGTGAAATAGTTAAAGCTTATTACTTTAAAAATTGAATAAAAAAATCATTTTCCTACAGTTACCTAACAATGTACATGTTCTCTCACTGATTTGAGAAAGCAAAGTGGCCAATTCGCTCATCAGTGAGACAATGTTAACATTGTCTCACTCTAATTACTTTGTCTCACTCCAGATTTGCAACGTGAAGGCACGAAATAGTGAGCGCGTAACATGCAGACAACGTCGTATGCGCGCGAAATACGTTGGCAGCACTGGCTGTAAATCAGCTGGTCAGCTGTTGTACTGTTGTATTTGTCACTTCACATTAAATGTTATATTAAAAGTTTACTTCTGTGTAAAAATATGTTACGTTTCATCACCAATTTATTTCTTTTATGGTAACTGTAGGAAAAATATAATGTGCAACTTGAGTGCAAAGTACAATTGCCTCACTCGAGAAACCATTCCTCACATTGAGGTTTTCTCTCGAGTGAGTCAATTGCTCACTTTTCTCACTAGTTGCACAAATAACTATTTCACCAAATACTTACACGTGCAGAAAAAACAGTCTGGTCCTTTTCTTCTTTTGGGACACAGAAAATGTCTTTGGGAGTGTTGAGATCAGCAGCTAGGTCTTGCCACCACAACCCCGCCTCACTAACATGGTAGCTACTGTAATGTACAACAGATTGTGGTGAGTAGTGGTAAGTACTGTAGATGGGACACCTAAGCTTATATAGGAAAGTTCAAGAATGGGAAGAGGAAGTTTTCTTAAAGCGGATGTGGAAAAAACTTTACCAAGACAACAATTCTAAAAATAATAATGATTCTAAATAAATAAATTAATAATTCTAATTTGTAAAAATAATTTAAAAAAGGGGAACTAAAAAAGGTATTGCTTAATAAATTTAATAAAATATCCTAGATTATATCTTAGTTTAAAAATTTAATTTGAAAGAGGGGTGTGTGACACATGGATTCCATTAGTTTCGTTAGTGTTATTAAAGCCGGGTTTTCCTAGGCGCGGAATCGGCGAGCGGAGAGAGGAACGCGGAGAGCGGACTCCACTTGTCTTAGGCAATTTAATGTTACTGTTTTCCTAGAAGCGGAGCGGAATGCCATGTTAATTTCAATTCCGCTCTCCGCGTTCCTCTCTCCGCTCTCCACTTCCGCGCCTAGGAAAACCCAGCTTAATACATATTTCAAGGAAATTTATTAGAAAACAAGATCCCTTGTTGTTACAAGATAAAACCTGTTTTCCATGTAAATACCCATAAAAAAATTATTCTGTTGCTAATTAAAATTTTTTAAACAACAGCAAGAGGTACATGAATGGAAAAGTTGTAATAGCTTGTTACTCCTTTACTTATTTTACTTTCACTGATTAAATTGCTACTGAGGCTTGTTTTACCATTTTAGGGTACAAAAATGTAAATAAAAATCAACACAACAGGTTGGAGTTTCCTGTTTTTTTGTTCCTCAAAGTCATACCAAATATTTCAGAGAAGATAATTCCCTGCTATATTTAAATTATGGACTTTTTGACACAACTTTAGACTATCAATGGCCATTAGAATAAACAAGGGAACTGGCACTTTTTTTGTGACAGAGGTCTGTACTCTTTTGCTGAACCTGCAATTTATCTGGAATGACAATCGTCATCAGGCTGTGCCAACCCTGGGCATGGATTATCCCTCAATAAAAATACCATAGCGAGATTCAGTTCATCACTTACTCTACGTATGCAGGCAGGATGTGCAGTTTACAGTGGTACGCCACATGCAGGGGCACATTGTATGTCTCGTCAGGTTCTACGATGGCGATGCGGTTTGTATCTTCAAACGGATTGGTGGACTCTCCTATGTGCTTAATACCGAGGGCTTCAAGCACTGGTTTCTTGTAGTAGATACCCATAGCGTAAGAGGTCTCGTTTCTTATCTGTGGGGTTAAGAAAATCACAATTATTATTTTTTTTTATTATAACCTCCTACTAGAAGTTTGGTTATTTAAAGGTTATACATTTTGTGACTTAGCTGCTTCCCTATGAATCTTACATGTATAAATAAGGTTTAATTTGTGATAAGATATAAGTAGGAGCCATCTGTCATTGTTTATTAGTTAGAAAAGAAAGAATCGAAATGTAAAAAGACCTTGGGGTCACAGACCAAGATCCAATGAACAATAACACTGTTTGCTCACATTTGGGCTTTAAACAAATATTGTTGAAACAAGGTCCTACAAAACTGGCTCAATGGTTTTGTAAGACCTTTTTATACTTACAAACTTAGAGGCACAAGTTAATGATACTAATGTAGTATTTAGTTATGCATTATGTTAAATACAACTTTATTAAGGTTTGAAATTACGGAATCAGTTTCTTAAATGCAATACGTGCAAAATCTCTTGAACTAAGAATAAATCCACTGATATAATAAATAAAACAGCTGACCCAAATAATCAGCGATAATGCAATTATTTAAAATGCAAACCCATCAAGGTATTAACAGAATGGATTTTATACATTAGTTTATTTTTTTTGTATGGAATGTTTTCAATACTCCGTCTTCTATCATCTGTTGCGACTTTTCAAGCTCTTGATCATCTCATCCATGTTGTTGGGTTAAAAAATATAGGTACCTTAATAAAATTAGTTCTATAACATTTTTTTAAAATTAAATTTTTTCACCTACTTAAATGTGTACTTGAACAACCTACCACCTACTTTAAAACCTACTTTAAAGTTATGTAAAAAATCTTACCACGTAGGGTACTGAAGTGAATTAAAAGTCCATTTAAATTTATGTAACATAAGCTTATATAAGAGAAAGAGCTAGGAGTATTACCTGCAGTGGCGACCGCACAGTGATGTGACAACCCCAATCTCCACTGTCCAGGTTGACCACCACATAGTAGCGAGCCCCTGTTGTGTTGGTGCCCGTGGGATGCAACAGATGCACCTTACTGACAGTGCGCCTCGGACACAACACCTCTAGCTTCTCAAATCCTGCCAATAGAGGGTGGTTTAGTGACTACTTCTGAGTATTAGGTAAATATAAAATGTTCCTTGTGTGTCAGAGCTTGTCTAGCTAAAAATGAATTTAACTCACACAAAAACTTATCAAGTATTACAATTGAAACAACATCAAACCCTTGATAAATCATTCATAATGGTCAAAGTGGTAAATAAATGTGGTGTAAATAAAGTGCTAAATAAATCATGAATCATCAGAGTGGTGATAGCATCTCAAATTTAAAATTTAGCGCCATGATAAATACAAAATGTTAGCAGAATTGCTCCTAATCAGTTTTTGCTCACAGTAAATAAGTGAGTGGAATGACCAAGATCTTGAAATAAAACAATTGAAAGCACAGAGTCCAGCACTGTAACGTCGCTAGGCCTACTGTCACGACGACGTTATAACTAGACAAGAGACTTAAGTTATGGGAAATTGAAAAAAAAACTACACAATTATGTTAACAACCACGGCTGCCAACCAGGAGGTGAGACAGCCGTTGGACTTGGACAGACTGGAGATTAGTGTAGTGGTAAGGATACATGGGTATGGCTTGGCCGTGGCAGCCAATGGGAATTTATTAAAACATCACCTTGACGTACGATGATTAATCATTGATAAAGAAAACCCCTCAATATATTTCATATAAGTTTGCCAAAAGACTGTTTAATAATTAATATATAAACTGTCATATGTTTTTCAATTGTTTTGTAAACAGAAAATAGTTTAGTATGTTGTTTTGTTGAATACAATAAAGAAGATACCTAGTTTTTGTTAAAATTTATTTTGTCATTTCTAATGTTTGATATTAATCGTCCGTGATATCAAAGGAATTGAATCACGTACAGTATAGTGAGGATATCAATTGGCGACCGTGACAGGACTTTTAATTTAGAAATGACAAAATTAGGAGTTAAAGATTTAACAACTGAAATGCTAGAGAAAGGCCTGGAAGAAGGTGAGCAGAAGGAGGCAGGAAGCAAAGCCTACGACCTTCGATCACGGGTAGGACGGAATACCCAGTTGGCAGAACAAATACCACAACCTGACCCGGTGAGTACTCTACTGTCCAAAATTTTGGAGAAACTAGATATCCAATCAGAGAAACTTAACACACAGTCGGCAGATATTAATAGTAAAATGTCATTATTTATGGAACAAATTTCTCACAACTATTCAAAATTAGACAAAAGAATTGAATCATTGGAGTCAGATGTTGTCGTGACCATTGATAAAATTACAAAATTAGAAACAAATTTTGATGGTAACTCTGATAAATTAAATGAATTGGAAACTAAAATTGATTACATGGAAACTAAATTTCACAATCAAATTCAAGCTATTGAAACACAGATATACTCACAGGAAAAGACAATTACTTGGAATAATCCAAAAAGAAGAACGGAGACTACAGACTTTGTGTGGATTTACGTCAAGTCAACAATAAAACTATTGCTGATAGCTTGTCAAGAAAACCGGTAGACAGTGGTGAGATATCCAAAGAACTCATGGAGAGGGAAGTTCCAGTCCCAATGAAGTTAAGACAGATTGAGCCTGTTCTTATGGTGGCACAACGGGAAAATTGTGACATTGACTTGGAACTGATAAAGAAATGGCAGAATGAAGATGCAGCTTGTAGTAGAATGAAATCCTGGATAACCAAACGTTACAATAATTCCGAAGCTATCCCATTCCAGTTTAAGACATGCTATAAGAACCTTCGCTTGGAAGACAGTTTACTTATGTACAAATCTCATCTATCAGAATCTTTCCCTGTGATTGTAGTTCCGAAGTCTCAGAGTGTAAGTATTCTAGAGAAGTACCACGACAGCCCTGAAGCTGGCCATCCAGGACAAGATGAGACCTACACTTCGATTCGGCGTCGTTTCTTCTGGGTAAATATGCATCGGGACATCAAGAACTACGTCCAATACTGCACTATCTGTGCCTGTACCAAGGATAACAACCAAAAAGCTAGTACAAGCATGAGTGGACGTCGGCCACTTTTTCTTGGTCGGGAAATAAAAAGAACTGGTGATTGGAACTTCATGCATGAAAAGTCTCCTGAAACTATGAATTTGACTGCATGGCATAAAGAAAACGTAAAAAAAATCAAACATATGAATCGACAAGCCGAAGAGAGTTCGAAGAGCAAGAAGCAGAAGACCATAACGATGCTTCACCTGGGTATAACTTAAGGTCTAGAAAGAGGAAGATTTGAAATATATATTGAGGGTTTTGGGGGGGATGATTGACGTACGATGATTAATCATTCATAAAGAAAACCCCTCAATATATTTCATATAAGTTTGCCAAAAGACTGTTTAATAATTAATATATAAACAGTAATATGTTTTTCAATTGTTTTGTAAACAGAAAATAGTTTAGTATGTTGTTTTGTTGAATACAATAAAGAAGATACCTAGTTTTTGTTAACACTTTTAACCCTGGGCGCAAAATGCCCTTAGTATGGGCGTTACTGGGCAATTTTAGGGTATTATTTAAAATTTGTAGCTTGGTAAAAAAAAACTTTTTTTCTGGTAAATAATATATCAAATTAAAGAGAAAATAATAAGCTTTTAAATGACATATATTTTATTACATTACCGTAGGCTATAAATTACAGGGTTTCAGTTTGAAATAACAAAAAAAATGGAGAAAAACAAAAATTGCAACCGCAAGTACTAACCTAATTAAAAAAGTATTTAATATTTACTGTAGCATAATTATGGCATTTATATCATGTGAAATTGAAGAGAACAACATGCCCTTTCAGGAAATATATACATGCATATAGTTATATTGCTTACCTTACATATTATAACACGAGAATTTGAAATGTCTTGTCGTATCAGATCCCGAGCACATCTAGCCTAGGCTTTAGTATAGTCTGCTTTGGTATGATACAGTCTAAAACATTCAGGCACACACAATGGTGTTTGGCACTCTGGACACCACCAAGAAGTTTCTTTTCTTCCTGATTTTCCTGTAGAAACTTTGTTTTTTTCCGAACACACTTTGCAAATTCTTGTAGGATTTTTTTTCTTGTCCGTAGAGGGGATTTTGTCAGGGAAATGACGTCCAATAAGTCGATTAGATTTTGTGGCTCTTGCAGTTTCCTCTTCTTGTAATAAAGTCCCTGCTTTTTCGCTCAATGATTTTCCAATTGCTATTATAAATTTTTCAAGGTGACAGAGGGGTCTCAGGTTTGCAGGTCTGGTTTTTCGATATAAGATAAATGCGTTGACAATTGACATCATAAACAAGTGGAAGAACATTTTTTTCCACCATTTCATCTGTTTCCTCTTGAAAGGGTAATAGGAAATAAACTGGTCATTTCTGTCCACACCTGTTTTTTTATTGTTGTAATCCAAAATCAGATCTGGTTTGTGTTTTTGCAGCATCCCTTGTTTTGTACGCACCGTAACTTCTGATGTAGTCATTTTATGAGCTGTTGATAGAGCTAAGACATCTCTAGTATCTTTCCATTTTATGCAGAGTAAATGGTTTCTTCTCATGAAAACAGTTTCATTTTTTTGTAGCTTTTTAGTGGTGACAGTCTTGGGCAACTCGGTCCTATTGCTCATGCAGGTACCGACTGCTTTAGTATTTTTCTCCCAGAGAAAGTCAAAAAGCTTTGGTGAAGAGTAAAATCTATCATTATAAATAGTATGTCCTTTATTGAGGTAATCTGCCAACAATCTCTCATATAGAGCTACAACTGTATTACTGGAGTCAGACTTACCAGTGTAGGCTTCAAATTTTAGTACATATCCTGTAGATGCATCGCACAAAACATATAATTTCATCCCGTACTTGTCAGGCTTACTTTTATTATAAACTCTAAACCGAACTCTACCCCTGAATCCGCAAGTTCCTTCGTCTATGGTCAAATCTTCGTACGGTGAAAAACACATTGGGAAAGAAGTCAGCAAATGATCTATATATGGTCTTAGTTTATGTAACGGATCGTGGCCTGGAGTGTTGAATGGGATGTATGTTGAATTATCGTTGATGTGAAAATTTGCCAAAATTGCTAGGAACCTATCCCTGGCCATGACTGATGGAGCATACATAGATTTTATAAAATTGTCTGTTGACCAATAGTCACTAAGTTTAGGTTTTTTCACAACACACATGTGCAATACAATCGAGAAAAAATGGTAAATTTCATAAAGCTTTACGGTTGTCCATTTTGACCAGACACTATTTTTCCTCAATTTGTTTGATCTTCTTAGTTTATCGGTTATAGATTTTGCATATTTATTTGTCTCTGACTTCAATGATTTGATAAAAAATTCAGGAAAAAATATAGAAAACACATCAAATGGAGTTGAGTTCTCATCAATAGCAGCCGTAACACCAGCGCCTAACTCGTCAAATGCTGGTAGTGGTGGTGGGTTGTCCTCCAACCGCCATCCAAGTTCCTCATCAGTGGGTTTTTTTTTCTTCTTTTTCCTTGGTTGAGCCTGCTCTGGTTCAGGTTCAAAGTTTCCATTTGGCACAGGTAAATTTGCGTTATCCGGTAAGTTTTCATTTGGGGATACAGATCGTTGTCTTTTGGTTTTACGATTATGATTAGTACTATTTGACTGGCGTTTTACTTGGTTGGTTACTATAGGCCTAAGAGAACCTAAACAAGAAGTAGCTGAAGGCTGTAAGATATTATCTTCACGATCACTAGGCAGAAAATCTGGATCTTTGTCAACATCGTCGAAATCAAAATCACACAGTTCGTCATCCGAAGAAACTATCGAACTATTAGGCCTAAGTAATTTTCTGTTTTTGCAGATTTTATGATTAGGCTGATTGGGTGGTTGTGCATGACTAATTTCAAGAGGGTTAGGCCTAAATGGTATACTATCTGTAGGCCTAGTAGTGTCTAATACTGTTTCTGGCTCATCACAATTTTCTTCATCAGAGTAAATTGTAGGGTTATATTTACATCTAATTGGGCCTAAGTTTCTACTTTCACCTTCTTCAACTACTGCAATTGATTCATTTTGACAGTCATCATTTTCAATGTCACTTGGTAGTAAATCATAAAACACCAACTCATCAGGATCATTTTCATCAACCATGTATGTAACAGCACTAACCTCATTTTGAAAAGCATCTAAATTACTTACAACAAACTCACCTTCCGAACCAGAATCATAAATAGGATCATTCAAGTTTTCATTTACTGATATTGTAGTAGAACTAGGTCCTGAACATAAGTAATTATTATCACTAAAAGATTGATTTTCTTCATCACTATGGTCTGATTCTGACAAGAGTTCTCGAATATGACTCAACGTTTTTTTATCAAATATATCGCTCATATTTTACACTAAACACAAAAAAAATTATCCACAACAAGGTATTGCTCATAACAAGAACTATTACGCAATCATAATACTTGTAAAAAACAGAAAACATTCACTTTATTGAACACATAAACAATTGTAAACAAAGACAGCCATTAGCGCAGACAACAACAACAAAGCGTCGTCGTCGTCATCACTAAGCAATACGATGCAAGGCTGCAGACAGCTGGATCTTTTTTTTGTGTTACCAAACAGCTGGTTTTTTTGAGGTTGTGGGGTATTACAATCGAAGCCAGAAGACCAAGGAATGGTTACGTAATAACAAAAATAGCAAATGTGACGTCATTACGTTGCTATGGAATTTAATATTGAAGCCCGACCTATACTCGGGGTTAGTTCAGTGTGTCTTACGTCATGCCCCGACCTATACTCGGGCTTAGGGTTCAATGTGTTAAAATTTATTTTGTCATTTCTAATGTTTGATATTAATCGTCCGTGATATCAAAGGAATTGAATCACGTACAGTATAGTGACGATATCAACCTCACATGACATCACAGATGTGGCATGATCATAATATGGTGTGATGTTCACACACGAACACACATCACACATTTACATTTGATACAAATCTGATCCTCTACAAGAAACACACTGTTTAATCGATATTGATTTACTTACGGTATATTAAAAATATGAAATCATCAAATAAACTACAACTAACTACATACAAAGAAAATAGAGAGTATTTCATTGCTAGTGCCAAAAGTACAATTCCCTAAATCAGTAAGATAGACAGTAGACTAGCAATGTTTCGATTCTCCATACCTATTCTCAATACCACGATTCTTGTTCATTGGTGTCAGTAATCGATAAATTTTGATGTCTACACATCTCTAGTAGAGGCTAATTATGGAGAGCTAATCAGTAATCACCTGGAACCTCTATCCTCAGCCGTTGGTCCGTGACTCTGTTGTACAGCTTGGCCACAGTTTCAGTTGGAAACCTCATAAGTGGAGAGAGAATGTCACCTTTACCATGCTCAACATTGGAGTACACTGAGAAGTTACCCTCAAAGCTGAAAAATACAGGTGTATGATATACTCTGATGAGAAGTCAAAAGACAGGATGGGTATATTTTTTATTCCAATTTTTACAATAATTTTTAGCGAATTTCCCATATAGGGAATAAGCTATTACCGTAGTACTCATGGTAAGACCTGGACCCGATTTAACGATTTACTTTTTTGTTTTGAGGTCCCTAGAGGCCAAAAACACCATCCCGATAACTCGAGCAAAAATGATCGGATTTTGATGAAATTTTGTATAAACGTGTAAACCTACATTTATTCAAACGAGTTCGCTAGCCAGCATGATTGGACTATGGGCACGAAGGTTTATGGGTGTTTTATGGGGTAAAAATTGGTTTTTCCCATTTTTGACCCAAAAAACATAAAATTTAGCAATTTCTTACCAAACCATTTTGTAGAGCTTAAAAAAAATTATTTAGTATATTGAAGCGTTATCATTTCAAAAGGTATGATGGAAAACAGTATTTATAGAGTTTGTAAGTAATTCAGGATTGTACTTGTTGTTGAGATTATTACTGTGTTTGTAGGGACACAGTTGTAGAGAGACAACAGATGATGTAAGGTCATAATAATGGTAGGAATTTATCTTGCTGTTGTCACAATAGGCGATCAGCATCTTGACTTTGTACGATTGGAGATTCTACAGTTATTATGTACTTTGGACAGAGTTAGAACACTAAAGCCAGGTAACTTGAAATACACTAGAGACAGGTAACCTGCCCCGTATCCTACCTGCCTTGGCGACGTGTAAACGCTGCTTTAGGAATTTTTCTACAAAAATCTCAATTAATAACATCGCTTCACTGACCTCTCAATGTCGTTCTCAGACTCTGAAGGCGTGTGTTCGTCCAACAAGTCACCCGAGGCTGTGGTGGACGCTGGACTGCTGGGTAGAGAGTCAGACCTTGCGTAACTCGCAGTCATCACAACCTGACCTGGGGTGGCCTGACAAATCAACCACACACTTAGTAAAATATGTTACAAACTAAAATAAAATGAGGTATACAGTGTAAAAATATTCTGAATTGTATGAGTCTGAGTGTGTTTGAACAAACTACACAGTGGAATAGCACCATTGTACAGTTGTAATATCAAATTAAGTGTGTGCTGTCAACTGCCTGGAATTCTTTACTCGGGTTACATCTCTTCTTCTTGGTTCTCAATAACAGTTTATTGCTAATTAGCTCAGTAATGCACAAAATAACGATTGATTACCAATACCAAAAAGAAAAATGGAAGAAATGTCTAGTCATGATTTAGTCATCATAATGAATGTCAATAATGCAAAGTCAAATTTCATAATTCCATGAAATTATATAATAAATACCAGTTCATCTTACCATATTAGACTGAAAATTTAGTATTAAAACAATGCGCTTACACTAAAACTATTATAGTAAAACGTAAGATCTATTATTATCTTCTAAGATAATAAGATAATAAGATTTATTATCTTCTTTTCAATATAATAAATAATCTCAAGATCTCTTGTTGTAATTTTAACCTGAATTAAATTAAAATATATTGCTAAACTGCCATGAGAAGGTTCAGGTTAAGAGGGTCAACCTGGATTGGTCTTAACACATAAAAAATCTAAGGAGGAAAGCTTTATTGGCTTAACAAAAAAGCCTAGCCCAAATTGATTTGCTAAGCCGTGCAAGGTGAGTGTCCTAAAATATGAGAGCTTTTTTGTTTGGCACAACTGAGATGATTTAAAAGCAAGATTCTTATTTCACCTCAGTCTTGCACAGAAGAGTAACGGTAGACGCAGGGGTCAGGTCGTTGACCAGTGCCAGGTTGGGTGCCTTGTGCAGCGCAGGGGCAGACTGCCGCGTGAATGACGCAACCAGGTCAGAGATGACCCTCAGAGCGACAGGAGACACGGTCAATTCCAGGCGGTCTCGTGACTCGATCATCACGTAGGTGGCCATCCTGTCTACTGACTCTGCCTCCAAACCCGAATCCACCGAGTCACCTGCGTAAAGTAACCTCTTTACATTAAACATACACAAGTACAATCATGTAATTAACCTTTGAGGGAGGTATCCCATTCTGTCCACTGGCTGTTTCAGGGAAGCTACTCCACCACTTATTTTTGCCTAGTGTTGAAACTGATTAATGTTTTAGCAAACGTAAGCTATTATTGCTATTGTTTTAAGTGTAGGATCAATTGGAGGGGATAGATTAGTTACCCTAAAATCACCAAAATTTTGTGAACGGAGTATAACTATTGCTATCTAGTCTCTCAGGGCTCGCGGGGATGTGCGGAGGTAAACACTAATACACATAAATTGCGAAAAGATTGCTATACCTGATACTGAAATGTGACTCTTCTACTCCGAGAATGAAGAATTTTCAGATACCCAAGGCAGTATCAGGTATACTGCACCTTTTCACAATTCATGCAAATGTAAGTCAGAATAAGCAACACAAAATAAAGAAAAACACATAACTCAGAAACCACTGAAGCAATTCTGGACTGTCTTATGAACTATTTATGACTAAATTTATGGAATTGTTTACATTGTTCAAACAAATTTTGTGTGTTTATCTATGTTCCGTTTGTGAATTAATTCAAACATTTTACACTGCATGGTTTTTATTAGCCCCTAAGGCTTGGGAAGTGTAAGATACTCACCAACCATCAATCAGCTGTAAATGGTTCATCATATGATGGTCACATGAATATATTACGCCCCAATCATGACAACGACCTACATAATATGATGAATTATATGTTTTTCATATCGGTAGGAGAACAAATTGAACACATATATTACTATACGGCAGGTCAATTATAACGGTAGTTATACTCTATGCTTCTTCCTCTTAAAAATTAAGATGTTACATTTTGCAAAAAAGACAGCTCAACTAAGAACTAAAATATGTGTGCAAATTAAGCCAACAAATATTTAGACTAATTGATATTTAAAAAATAATTATTCTACAAGTTGATATTTATAAGTAAATCTTTTTCTGCACAAGCTTTGTACGCTTGAATCAAATTAAGATAATTTTGTCTTAAGCAAAAGCAAGCAAGAAAATTTATCCAGCAAAAAGCGAAAAGAATAGAGTAAAATGAGTGTGTCAATGAACAAAAACGGATTAAAGAAGCGCATTTAAAAACTTAATCTACTGTTTCATGCATGCAGCTTATAATGATTTCAAAGGTGTTTTCTTGGTTTTCCAGTGTATACAACCATTGACTATATACCATGGTGAACCTGGACCATAAATCAACAATCTATACCACCAAACACACAAATCTGAACAACATGGAGCTAATTTAATTAGCCATTAACTTATTTTATTTAACTTATTTATTTAACTTATTTTATTTTATTAGCCATTAGCTTATTTTAATTAGCCATTATTAGTTAATTTTTTTTTTTAATTATGGTGTAATTTTTGATTGGTTGTATTGGTCAATTATACAACCAATCTCAGTAATGCCGATTCTAACAATCAAATTAAACTAAATGCTGAATAGTAGGAAAATATCCAATAAAGAATTTGGTTTTACTTTAATATTACAATAACAAAATTTCCTAAGCTACTGAATAAAACTGTCTCAGTAAATACAGAAGGATTATTAAACCTTGTTACAAAGAGATATTCTCTGTTTAACACGAGACAAAACTATAAAACTGCTAATACTAAATAATTGAAATAACATCCTTGAAAAAAAATATTCTCTCTTTTTAGAAGTGGGGTATTTACCACTTGTTATTTAACAAACTTCTGGAAATCATAAAAATAAGAAAACCTATTTTGAAAGCATATAATGAGGGTGTTTAAAGTTTGTAAATTTTTAGCAGAACAATATGGTGTCATCGGTCTGACTTTTTCAAGCTTTCCATGGGTTTCTCCCAAAAACATAATCTTTTTCCGATTTGAATTATTTTTATAAATATTTGATCAAATATATTTTTCAACTTCAGGTCTGGTGTATGACAGTTATACTGAAACTATGTGTATGATAAAGCTTTATTGCTATTCTAAACAAGACAACGTTACATAGATACAACTACATCATCTTATACTACATTATAGGCCTAATCTAATCTGCAGTGTAACAATCAGCAGATGAAGTGTAGAGTTTTACAGCTGAGCTGAAGAAAAGCTCACCACACATATTAACCATAGTAGGGAAGGTTGAAGGCTCCACGGCAGGGAAATCAACAGCAGGCGTGTGATCAGGCACCACACCTGTGGAAATCTATTCTAAATGTTTTCCTTACACTGTTGCGATTGGTTATTTATTTGCCGTTCTAAATAAACATTACTTGAAACAGATTAATTATAACAAATCACACTTTACAACAAATCACGTGAGATAGTAAGATATACAAAACCAAAGAAAAAAAAAGATAAAATGCCCCTTCATACTTCTTATTGCTATTTAGTCATGTGGTTGCGTTGGGCTGGGTAGTTTTTTTTATCTTTGTATACAGTTTTTTATTTTTTTTAAGGTTAAAATGTGTTTATTCACACTGAGAGGCTCAATCTCCACACATTACTTCTGGCTAAGCCGTTTTAACTATGCCATTAGGAGTTATTTCCATAATTTGTGTATTATTCCAGCTTCAAGAACAAATAATTAATCAATTGGTTTACCTTATGGCTGCCAGATGTAATATAAACTGTGTTCCTGAAGATGCCACACCTCTGGCAAAATGATCATAGAGCAAGAAATCCACAATTGTTCAAGAATCTGGCAACCATAAGGTAAACCAATTGATGAGTTATTTCCGTCTTGTTTTCTTCCGAAGGCTAAGGCCGATCGAGATCGACCTTCTTAGTTCGAACGATGGCATCAGCGAACTGCTTGACACAGTTCCAGGTACCCTCCCCCTGAAGCATAGCTCTACGATGTTGTCGAGGCCGATCTCAGAGATTAAAGTCATACGTCGTTTATTGCCACAAAAACGTTTTACATTATTCTGGTTTTCCCAGATGAAACAGGTGACATTGTCAATTATAAACATTACAAAATTAATATAAATAAACTAGGTAACACAAATTTTGCTTTCCTATTTTCTTTAAGATCAAAACCAACTCAATCTTCCATTGTGGAACGGTATTGTTTCAGGTTAGCAAACCAATTAGAGAACGAGAGTGTTTCGCAGTATATTGCACAGTTGATGAATTTGTTGAGACATTGTGATTTTGGCGCAAATTTGAATGGCTATTTATGATATCACCTTGTTAACAGCTTAAAAAGTGAAATTTGAAGCAGAGACTTTTATCAGAATCCGATTTATTGTTCAAAAAAGCATTTGAAATTTGTCACAGCTCGAGATGCACGGCATCTCTTTCGGTGGGAGGCGACAATGGCCATGGCAAAAGGATCCAACATCCAACGCATGGCGGCGGCATTTGCGTCACCATGCCCATCACCTCAGCAAGCCAGACCAAGAGGTTACCCGGCGGCACATCCCACAACCGGCATGTAAACAACAGGTACCATCGTCTGCAGCAGTGTCAGTAGTGTTTTTGTTGTGATGGCTTTGATCACATTGGCAGGAATTGCCGTTTTTAAGGCTGCAGGTGTCACAAATAAGGTCAAGGAAATCATTTGGCAAATGTGGGCTGTTCTTAGCAAAACAGTAAACCACAGTTTTAGTTTTTGTAACAGTAAAAGTGATTTTAGATATAATAGAATTATGCCTAAACATAACTATGTGGATAAGGTATTCGTCCGATGTTAACTATTGGATAGACCATTGTTAACTATTGGTAGACTATTGAATAATGTAAATGATATTTTGAGATTATAGGTAATTTGTTTGAAATTAATGCATAGTCTAGTAAAATGAGTAAGGTTTAACCATTTAAAACACAGGTTATGTTAGAATACAAATTAGTGTCTTTTGAAGTTGATACGGGTAGGTCAGTAGCTGTAGTAAGCGAGGCTTATTACAAAATGACAGTTCAAAGTCTTTGAAATTATTCTCTATCTACATAAAGTTAAGTTCGTACATAAATAAATGTGGCAGTCCCGTGGGTAAACCAGAGGTAAATGTAGGCAGTTAAGAGATATTAGTAAAATTTTAAGTTGGTATGTATTAAGGAAGGAACTTATTCCATCAGGGGACGAGACCGAATTAAGGAGCTAGGTGTTGAGATTTCATAAAAAAGTAATGAGAAATGATTTATTGCTAAAAGTAGTAACGACTCAGAGAGTAGACATTAAATGAAAATTAAAGGAGCTAACTAATGAGTCCCCTAAAGTGTTTTCAGACCAGTTAGGGCAAAGTAGTGTAATCTACCCATTTTCTCATATTTCCTTAGCAGCGCAAAACAGGTGATTATAACTTCATGTAGTTGTGCATTTTATTTGTTACCTAGAAACCAATTTCATTATGAATATTTCAAATGCGAGAAAAGGTTTATTTTGTGAAAGCAAAGTAAAACTTTATCTCATATTTGGAGTATTCCAGACCCTCGGCCCCAGATCTCCCAATGTCATGGTGGAAGCAAGCAAAGTCTTCTCCATGACTTTCCCTAAGCCTTCTTGAATCCACATCACTCGATCCACTGTTCTTCCCAAACAAACCCCTAAATCTTTCAATTTCAAAAGTTCTCCTTACATACGTTGGTTACTTTATCGGCTTTTCTGACTTTATGACCCCTGCTTCTACTTATTATTCTGAACCTAATCCTCTTAACTATCTTCCACACAATTATCAAACTTCTTTTCACCTTTTAGGTATTTTATTTCAGACGGCCAGTGCCTTCAGATAGGCCTAACCTTCTTGACCCCCTTATCTCTCCTCCACCCCTCCCCCACCCTCTGTCACACACTGGCCTTTAGGTTTGTCCAAAATTTCAACCTTTCTTAACATTCAACTTTCCAAACTCCCTCCCTCTGGGGCTTTGAGGGTCAATACTTTTAATGCGGCCACTGGCAGTCTCAAGCCTGCAAAATGAGCTTAGCTCTTGAACGCAGAGAGGAAGTATTAAAATGAAGAC